TACAAACCCAGCCAAATGTTTGTCAGAAAATTATTTTTTTATTTTTCGGGGCATTTTCAAAGGGTTCACTTTGCACTTGAAAATAAAATCGGAAAATCACGCCAAAATTTTTTTTTCTATAAACTCGCGATTTATAAACGGGAGTGTTTAGAACTTGATGACATTTCACTTTCTGTGAAATTTCAGTTAAAACTTTTGCTCTAGCTAGGCGATACAGGCGAACAATCAAAGTGCGCCACGTTAGGGGCCGCGCCACGTTAGGGTACATCAACAATATTAGGCTCCCTGACTAATGCCAACGCATTCACATATCACAAGTTATCAACCTCATAAATGTTCTTTACACCGTGTTACATACGTTACATTTGAATTTCAGAAAATAAATAACTGTGAAAAATGTACTTTGGGTTGAGAAACTATCTCTATACTTTTAAGTTGCTTCCTACACATATCATAGATTAAAATAAACACAGAAATTTTACTGATTTTTGAACTAATTTTTTTAGGTGCATGTCACACTTTAGTGACCCAGTATCTAAAACATACACATATGGAATTCCTGAACCCCCCGGATCAATAGATAAGGACGCATAGAGTATGTAGGCGCGAAATAAGCTTCTATAATGAGGTAAAACGTATCAAAAATCTTGTTTGACACTCAGTGTTTACCACTGTAATTATTTCTATTAACCTTAATTCTCAACTTGTAACAATTCACAATTTCAATTCACCAATTAACCTGTGAAGTTTCAAACTTTCACTTCTTAAAATTCAATCACAAAATCTTCATTCCATCTCAAAAATTCACAATTCATTTCTTAGATTCACTTATTAATTACCAGATCTTCAAATTGACATCAATATTCACAAGTTGTAGTTCACTTAAGTTTTATCAATTTTCTCTTTAAGTTGAAACCTTTCTCTTTCTATATTAATAACATTACCCTTTCAGTAACACTTCGTCAATTTTGATTCAAACACTTCTTCAAATTTTGGTTCAAACACTTCAATTTTGGTTCAAACACTTCTTCAGTTTTGGTTCAAACACTTCTTCAATTTTGGTTCAAAACTTCTTCAATTTTGGTTCAAACACTTCTGCAATTTTGGTTCAAACACTTCTTCAATTTTGGTTCAAACACTTCTACAATTTTGGTTCAAACACTTCTTCAATTTCGGTTCAACCTTCTTTTCTTTCTGTATTAATCTCAAGTCATTTAGATTGTCAATACCACATCATTACTATTTGTCTTCGGTAAAATAGAATAATTATTAATCCTTCTTTCAATTTTGTTAATTTAAAAATTATTTACAATCTCACATTCAAAATCCAAATCAAATTTGTGGTATTAAGCCAGTTATTTAATACAATTGTGAAGGTGACTGCCGCCAGGTCCTTGTCAGCCTGCCAATTATCTATGCAGCATCACTCAGGTTCCAAAGGGTCCAGTAGAGGTAGGGGTCCTCGAAAAGAGCTTCCTTTCTTCAGGGTAGTACGAGGCTCAATCTACTCGGTAGAAATATCTCCCAAATCTTTGTGCTATAGTTAGCATCTTCATAACTCTCTCGGATTGCATGGGCCTTTAATGTCCGCTTTTTATGCAGACCACAGATTTGCAGTATAGAACTGTGGTTGTTGGCTGTTCAGGCTAAAGCTGGCAATAAAATCAGACTACATGTATCTGTATGATTTTAGTTTCAGGACAAAATAGGTCCTCTCTCTCGTGTGTCTGGCGAGCAAGTGCCTGCAGCAGCTTAGCATAGGCAAAAACCAAAGATCTTATAGCGCTGAAGGTGCAAGATGGGGAACTCCATAGAAATTGCGAAATTGCCATGGACGCCATTCGAGCAAGCAAACCATTGTGCAAACCATTGTGCAAACAATGGTTTTCACAATGGTTTGCTTACTGAAATGGTGTCCATGATGATTTCACAATTTCTATGGAGTTCCCCATCTTGCGCCTTCGGCTTTATAAGATCTTTGGCAAAAACCCAAGCCACCCCCATGCAAGGAATTTTGGATGTTCATATGATACTCTACCGATCACTCATACCTCTAACTATGGCACACACAGGTAACAAAGCACTTTCCTTGCTACACCCACATACCATGAATGACTTACTCAACAATATTGAATATTCATCACTAGGCTCTGCTGGCATGCCTGATAGGCCTCTGTCCAGCACTGCCACCAAGGGTAGAGATAGAGCTGTGCCAGGAAGGGCTCCAGCTACTAAGGCTACTTGAGTGAGTATAAAAACTAAATCCGACAAATCGGCCCTGGGGAACATGGCTGCTTGGCCTTTGTCCTCGGGGCTAAGTACCGAGAGAGTTTTGGCTGGCAATACTGGGCCCCAAGATACCGGTATTGCCTATTTGGCCGCTGTCCTCTGGTCCCGGGGCCAAGGGAGCCTTTGCCAACAACACGTTGCCCAGCAACATGTCTGTTAGGCCTCCACCGGTCTTAGGACTGAGACAACCCCGACTGACATTCCAAGTGCACCAAGTCAGCACATCGGTGGGCCCGGAAGGAAAGCTGGCAAGCCCAATAAGGCCCCCCAAAAAAGTCTCCGGTTTCTGGTATGCGCGCGCGTCGCTGTAGCCATGCGCGTCGGCAAAATGAAAACTTTTTTTTTTCAATGAGAGATGATGTCTCAAAACCGCCAAACTCACTGGTTTGACTGGAATCCTGCTGCTGCACAATTTTAACGTGTTTTAATATGGGGTTATGATCCAGAATATGCTTTATGTGGCCTCTCTGGACTCCCATATATTTGCACTAAGTTTAGTCGGGCACCATTTGCAGTCATCAGCGGACATTTGAAGCAAAAAAAACAGGTAAAAAAAAAAAAAGCCGCGTCGCCGCACCACTTTTTGGGCAAGCTCCATACCAGAAACCGGAGACTTTTTTTTTGGGCCTAAGTCTGGCAGCTGGGTAGATAGCTGGGCCCCCGGGCCACTACCGTAACCCCCCTTTCGGCTACAGACCTCCAGTTTCAGACAGTCATTAAAGATATGGTCCGGTTACTCAAGATACCAACAGAGGAAGAACCACAGTCTTATCTCCCAAACTGTTCAACCTTTATATTGAGCAACTATAGAAAGATTCAAGCTCTACCAGAATGTAAAATAGGAGGCAGGAACATCAATAACCTCCTCTATGCTGATGATACTGCATTGGTTGCTTTATCTTAGCCATACCATCACGCAGGATGGATGTTGTGAAACAGAGATAGGAGAATTGACATAACCAAAACAGACTTTCTGAATATGTGACCTGTTCTGTCAAAAGCAGACGCTTCTGGGCAGAGGTTAAAATTGAGATAGGGCCAAAAAACGCTGTGGGGGTGATTTTTTTCCAATTTCTAATTTATATGCAAGTTTTACTTTCGTCTACAAAGTTAAAACTCAAATTAAGGCTACACTTGTTGAGATGCTACGTCATCTCTTAGTTGAATTGCTACGTCATCTCAACACTGATGGAGGCGGCAGAAACATGGACTGTACATCAAGAATCCATTAAAAGACTGGAAGTGGTAGAAACGTGGTTTTACAGGAAAATGCTGTTATAAAGTCACAAATGAAGAGGTCTGGACAAAGTAAACATGAAACGAACACTAATGATTGACATAAAACAAGAAAGACAGTATTCTGGTCACATAATCCGAGCTGATAGTCGTCAGAGTCAGCTCTTAGAGGGAAAGGTGGAAGGGAAGCAGAAGAGATGACACCCCAGACGCAAAAGGACAACAGACATCTTGGAGGGGAGCGGCAAGACGTATGAGGGATGTGTGAGAGCAGCGCAGAACAACAGACAAGGCTGGAGATCTCTGATAGCCCACCTGCTGGCAAGCGGAAGGCACCAAGACTGACCAACTGACTGAACATTGTACTGCCGAAATATCAAATGCATGCATAGTACATACATGTTTGGGCTGTGCGTTGGGCGGGTTTGTCAGTCATCAGATCTGAATTTCACAACATGTTTGCATGTATACACAGCCTCCTGCACACACTGGTTAAAAAAAGAGACCTGACTGATGGAAAGCACATATCTTTCCTGTATTTATATCAGCCTGTGTATACTGTGACCCTGCTGTATCTCCTTTTTCTTTCTCCTAATGAGTCTTCAAAAAGCTACATTGTATATCTGCAAACTACCTTGGCCAATTTTAGCCAAATGAGGATAGGGTCTGTCTTGTCTTACCTTAGCTGTCCAGCATGTGGGGTCACCTTAGCTGTCCAGCATGTGGGGTCAAAGGTCGCTAATGGTCACCAGTGGTGGTTTCCTCAAAATTACAAAATGCTACTTTCGATTGCACATTCACGAATCTGTATGCCAGAACTCTCGAAAAGGTATGCTTGCGTAAATGAATGCACAGGTAACGTAATTGGCTGTCTTTCTCAAAACCGAATGCACGGACAGTGAAAATGATTTAACTTCCGTTAAATTGAAATGGGATTAAAGACGTGCATTCAAATTCAGCCGAAAAAGAATGACCGATTTTCAGAACTGAATGAACATTTCATAAAATTGGCCAGGAAAACATATTAACATTGTTAAATTGTTAATTATGCATTCCTCGTATATTTTGAAAATACACAAAATTATTTTTTCAGCATAATTAATTTTAGCCACGTGATCTTGTTCACTGCCCCCAACGTAATATAGGGCAGTTCAAAGTTCACTGTAAATTGCCCTTAAAATTCACCGTAAAGGGGAAGAGGTAATGGTCAGACCAAATCATCAAACCTGCTTAGATCTAGCGCAAATGTCTCTTAGTGGTCAGCTTAAGTCATTTTCTTGGGGAAAAATATCGGGAACAAATCGCTAAGGCCTACTTTTGCTATGCGATCTCCTTACAGCCACCTACAGCGTTCATGTCCCTGCATAATGAGTTTGATTCAAACCGGTTGATATTAGTGATTTGTGAAGCACATTTTGCTCTAGTTATTATTAGTCCTTAATTAGTCTGATTTACCCTTTTTTTTCTTTTGCCAGTTTATCTCTTCGTGATAGTGCAGAAAAGTATCAATACGACATCAGGTTTTGTGAAGCCATTGATGGTCGGGAGACAGAAGATGTTGGAGTGATTCAAACAGAACTTACAGGAGAGAACAAGTCCTCACCTGCGAAAGTGGTAATAGGAAGAATAACCGCAACTGATATCAAAACTGGAAGTGAGTCTTTATTAACTACCATAATAATGCCACCCCACAAAAAGAAAAACAAACAAAAAATACAAAGCAAAACAAGCAAAAAACCCAAAGTGAATTTTTTTTTAAAAAGTATTAAATTAGTGCACTGTATGCATTTAAGTTGTTGAGTTACTCTACCACGTTTGAGGTCAATGCATTTTGGCAAAAACACCCCCAGAAGTACCAATATAGCAATTGTGATTTTATTTGCATGTGACACATTATTTCAAAATGATCTTTCATACTTGGTCCATGAACATCCATCCTCCTTGAGTCAGGAGCATGTCAAATCAGCTAACACCTCAACTAGTTATTTATTTATGTAATCTCCATGTAGTAACAGATTGATAAAATTGGAATTACTGATGCTATTTCATTTGTGGTACATATATTGCTGATAAGTTTGTGATGTCTATTTATTTTGCAGCTGATTGGATTTTACTAACGTACAAAAATGGAAAAGAGTATGGAAGTCACTGTGGACAAGAGGCCAGACAGGCACACATCATGATGTTATGCGACACTAAGCACCTCATGGTCAGTATACAGGGTCAGGACTCCAACTCAAGTCCAGACTCCAGTCCACTCTTTGACAGACTTGGAATTGGATTTTTGGGGCTTGCATTTGGACTCTGATGTAAGGACTCCAGGACTCAGCCTGAGTCCTGGCCCAAGTCGGACTTTAAAATTACTATTTTGATATTCCCAATAGTCTTAAAAATTAACTCTCCAACGTTACCAAATGACAAGCGTCAGAGTATGTCCCAGGGTTCGAAATTAGCAGTAGCCCGCTAGCCAAATGCTACTCAAAACAGCGACGGGCTAGTCTAACTATTCCTTAAGTAAACCCGGCTGGTGAGTCGAAAATTATTGGGATATGACAAAGATGAAAGGACAGGAAGAAATAAATCATCAAATTGAGAAAGCAAACCTGTATCACTTTGTGTCTAATGTTATCAACTGTTTGAAAGGGTTACATTGTTAGATCTGTTTATTAAAACACTGAAGAGATTGCCTCAGAATAGATCAGAAAACAGTTGGAAATGGGTAAAAACAAATTTTACTTACGACCTATTTTCGTAACACTGAAGAGATTGCCTCAGAATAGATCAGAAAACAGTTGGAAATGGGTAAAAACAAATTTTACTTACGACCTATTTTCGTTTTGAGATTGCCCTTATGGCTCACATCTGTTTTCACATTGCATACTTTAGTGGGAATGAAAATGATGATGATGCAAATATTTACCTGCGTACATCCGATGGATTCTAGATTTATTCGGACTCATTTGAATAACGTTATAATACAGTTTTATAAACGAACATTTTAGATTTATTAGTAAATGAAATTAAATCGTTCAAACTTATTAAAAAAAAATTGTCCTTCCCAAAGCCATTTGAGTCCCCTGTTTAAGTTTTACCCAATGACCGCCACAAAATTATTTAAAAGATTGTCATGATTGAACGAGTGATCGAGTTTCACGAGTCCACATGGAAGTTTTCGGAAGTGAGAGGTAATATTTTGGCACGATATTCCTCTTTGCCGTCTTGCGAATTTTTAGTTTCCATAAAATATTTTCTTACGAAATCAATATAACAAAACTACATGTAATTTAAAAAAACTCTGAATTTGACACGTTAATTTTCCTTTACGAGGGGCCCGGAAAGCATCACTTGGGGTCAACTTTCAGCCTCTATACACACGTTTTACATGTATGCACATTGTTGTTTATGAGACATTCTAATCAAAAAAAAGAAGAAAAAAATGCGCTCTAGGGAAAATGCCCACGGGCTAGTTAAAAGAGCCTGATTCAGTAGCTGGTTGGCTAGTGAACAAAAAAGTTAAGGTCGAACCTGATGTCCTAGAAAACTTTTTTTTAACATGAACTATTGGTCCAATTTGTTTTGATTTGCTTGCACTAATCATGGGATTCCATGTAGATAATCTTCAGGAAGGTTCTTTGCCAAAAATCTGATACAATTAAAGTTCCAAGAACACAGTGTTACATTTGAGAGGTTTCAGGAAACTTCCGTGCACACAATGTCAACAGAGTCTATGAAGTTAATAATGTGACCCTTTTCCATTCTCTTATCATTTTAGGGAACATCAGTTGTTGTGGAAGAGAATAATAATAAGGAGAAGGATTGCTCCTATATATTTGAGATGACCACAACTGTAGCGTGTACAGTATCTCCAGTATCTCCTTTCCCCGGCCTAAGCATCGGGTCCGTCTTAGTTATCATGTAAGTCTGATGAGTGATTGGTACACTAGCAATACAAGTCCATCACAAGCCTGTTACAAGTTTAATATCAAGTCCCAGGTCAACTTGTGACTAGACTTGTAATTCATCAAAAGTACGTTGACTGCATCATATGCTATCATATGGTATTGTGATGTGACAGAGAGCGCTAGTATAGCGTGGTGTAGCGATATCTGTTAATGTACTTGCGCATCCATCATGTCTCACAGTAAGTCAACGCTTGGTGACGTGCAGTGCGCGTGCCAGGTCCTGAAGGTAAGCATCATAGTCAATCCTGTGTAGGGTTAAGCTATTCAAAGTCACCTAGCTTATGACTAAGTCCTGAGTGGTACGTGTGTTGCTTTGGAGCTTGGTACATGTAGATTGAGGGGCTATTTGGTGGTGCGGCAAGAGTTTCTAGTAGGAGCTGCTTACAGTCAATCGTAAAGGGTGGCTCATTTATCTTGCAGTTGCGAGGGGCATAGCTGTTGCAGTTGCACGGTGGTTCTCGAATAGGGTAGGCTTGGACAGTATTTCGGTATTACCGGATAGTCAAGGTTTTTTTTAATAACCGACTAACACCGACTAATGATTCATGAATACCGAAACACCGGTGAAGTCGGTATAGAATTTCAATACCGCGGTATTCTTCCTTTGTGTTCAGAATCTTCGCAAAAGCCTTTCAAACAGAAAGACAAGCAACCTCTTTGACATGTTTGATTCCATTCTTTGTGGTTTCAGGCATCCAGTTTCATGTCTGCATTGTCAACTACCGTTGACAGATTGAACACAATTGTCAAGCTCGACGAGAAAACCTGATACTTCGGCAGCTGCAATAACACAAAGGCCTTTGAAGTTCTGCTAACGCCGCCGTGTTTGCGGTTTTCTTTGTGTGTAAAGTGTCTCCGCTGAAAGTTCAAACAATGTTTTACACATGGAGTTTTTGACGGTCGTGACAAAAACTGGTCGTCTTAATTGTTTCTCCGTGGTTGTTCCAGAGAAATCTTACATCATCATGCGTAATTTTTGCCACAACATAGTTCCCAAGAATATCAGCAACAAGAACAAAAACCTTGTCAATCTTGGTTATATGACCGCCGAAACTTGCAGGCTTCAGTCTAGTGCTATATGCGTGCGAGATGCACGTGCAAAGGGAAGGGACGCCTGGATTCACATGCGATGCTGAGCCGTCCGATCCGGGGAAAATGAGAAACAAATATTTCAAGGAAAGCGCAATATCAAAGCCATCATGATGTCTCATCATGGGCCTTGGGAATAAATGTACAATCAGGCAGTGTCGGCACCGACGCGCAAAAGGAAAACAAATCTGGACTCGCCTGAATATACGAGGCAGCGAGTGTGAACCATCCGGGAAAATTAAGAAAAAAAAATACTTCAACGGATGATTTCTCAACGTGGGTAAAAACTCTTGAACGATCTGGAAGCGTACACTTTAGTGTTTATGTGCGTCATGTGCGTGGTGCGTGGCCGTACATGCCAGTGCATGATACGTCATACACGTGGTCCCACACTGGTTCCGCACAGAGAGAGTCGGAACACGTGCTTTTCCCCACCCATTGCATTTATCGATCTAAAGCTGTGTCCGTACTCGCCTTTTTTTGGAAGGTTTTACCGAGACGATGGTGAGATGAAAAATGGTCAAACACCCTTTTAAAAGAATCTGATTGACCACCTAAATCTACGCTCGGAACATTTTTTTTTTCATTCATGTTTCGGTTCGATTGGTCCGTTAGTTATTCATCGGTACCAACGTTCAAAGGGAAGGGACTCGCCTGAGTATGCCGAGTCGTCTAGATAAAAATCCGGAAAAGAAAATACTCCAAAAGAAAGCGTAATACAAGAACCATGATTTCTCACCGTGGGAAAACCCCCCGTAATGCCCGCACGATCACACGTAAAGCTACGCCCGTCCTGCTGGGCCCACAAGCAGAATTGCACGTGCTTTTTCCCACGCACTGTGTAGATCAAGCTGATTGGCCATCTAAAACGGCGCTCGAAACATTGTCCATTCATGTTTTGGAATGATTGGTCCGTTCGTTATGAAGGTCGCGGCACCGACAACTTCATATTACAGCGTCCACAATTGCTTATGCGTAATATTGTGATGTTTACTATTATCAATCACGGACCGATCACGTGAGAAGGAGTACGATATTTTTTGTAGGAGTCCGATTTTCACATGACACCGGCGAAGCACGTAAGGAGTCGCTGGTGGCCGGCATTAATTGCGTGAGCCTTTTAAGTCACTCACAATGGATACCAACTGAAAAGCATACGTTCGCTAGGATCTGGGGATCATCACGTGGTCGGCCTCTGGCATCGGTCGACGATCTGCATTATTTTTTAGTGGACCTTGTCAAGTCAATGACTTACAAATTCGAAAAATGCAAAACCACAAAAAGTAAGCTTCCCCTGTTTAATAATCTGTTACAATGATATGTTGTTTTTACAAAGAAATGGACTGATAATGAAAGTTTGAAACCAAGACACTTTTAGTGTAGGACTAGGAGATTTGCGGCGTGAAGCATTGGCGTGATTTATGCTGCGCCGGCGGCTTATCAACTCGGCACGTGGTGTGGTGGTTAGTTATTTTTTCTTCTGATAATGACGTAACTAATACCCCGCTTGACATAATACCGCGGTTTTAGTGAATACCGCGGTTTTTTTGTCACTCTATACCGCGGTATAGTAAATGCAATACCGTCCCAAGCCTATTCTCGAACAGTCTTGAATTTGTGATGTAGCGGCCTGTTCCATGATCTTTGCGAGTAATTTCAGCTTGGAGATGCGTCGGTAGTTCATTCCTACATTCCTTCAGTATCCATGTGCGAATCGGATCGAGATGACACGTTGTCGATGGCAACTAAGGGATTAGCAACTTTGGAGAAAAAGATGCCAACAAGTTTTGCGACCCAGACACTCCCTTGCTTGACTCTGCTGATTATCTCAAACGTGTTAGAGACTTCACGATCAAAACAAACCGTGCATAGGTGTTTTCTTGGAATGAAGATACAGTAAACTCTGACTAAATCGACATCGTACAACTCATCAAATTGCTCAAGTCGGCTGTCTGATTAAAGTCCCGATTGTCCGTAATGTATTTCCATTGAATTTTTTTATTTCTAAGTCGGCTTTTATAAGTCGCCATTTCACTGGAGTCGTTGTGTTACTCTCAGTCCCCTTTCCATAAAAACCATTACAAAATCCTTTGTAAGTCGGCATTCAAAAAATCACGCATTGGCATCAACTTTCTGACTGTGGTTGGCAAGAAGTTTCGAGTGAAAAGTGGTTTGGCACGGCCCGTGATCGCTTCAAGCATGGTGTCGCAAAAGGGTTTCCTACAGCATACATCGCATGTGCATCGTGAGCATATCAATACCAGTACCCCCTCTAGTCTGTACGCATGTGCTCTGTCCATTTTGAGGGTAGTCTTATTGACAGAGTTGTAACCAAGTCTTTTTTTGCAAGTCATTTTTTGCAAGTCAAGTCAAGTCCCAAGTCAAATTTTAGCAAGTCTCAAGTCAATTTTTTTCCAAGTCAAGTCTCAAGTCAATTTTCCCAAGTCAAGTCAAGTCCCAAGTCATTTTTTTCAATTCAAGTCAAGTCTCGAATCATTTTTTAAAAAGTTCTAGATGCACATACGACTTACGGGAACCAGTTAATGTGTTCGACGATGGAACCGGAGTAGGGAATGTAAGGAGATAAAAAAAAATCGTACTTTTCAAACATAGATGGATAGATAGATTTATAGATTTATATAGCGCACTTATCCGGAAACCCGATCAAGGCGCCTACACACACAAAAATAGTCAAGCTCCAGTCAGAGAGAAATAACTAGTGAAGTGGATGAGAATTCAGTTCTCTTTTGAAGATGTCCAGGGATGTTGTTTGACGGAGTGTGGCAGGGAGTTTATTCCAAATGGCAGGTGCTGCCTTGGCGAAGGCACGTTGACCATAGCGGATAGTCCTAGTTCTTGGTTCAGCGAGTAAGTACGAGCCGGATGATCTGAAAACCCGACCTGTTTGTTTGAGGGAGATAAGCTCACGGAGATACTGAGGAGCACGACCATGCAGGATTTTAAACACAAGGAGGCAGATCTTGCAATTGATCCTCTTGGGTACCGGTAGCCAATGTAGTTCTCTCAGAACAGGTGAAATGTGGTCGTATTTTCCAGATTGCACAACATCCTCTCTCAAACACCTTATTTGTATCTAAAGAGTCTAAAAACACATTTATATATAAAATTTTCAAACTTGTTCCATCATGTTCAATGTTTGAAGTACGCCTGACAAAATGTCCTTCCGAACGTTTTTGTTTAATGCATGATGTGAATTCTTGTTGCTTTATGGTGGATTGGGGGTAGCAGCCGCTTTCCAGTCGTTTAAACCCCAGTTGCATTTAGCATGCTTACGGTAAACCACTCAATGTGTACGTGTAGCCTATGGTCTCTATGGAATGACCACTCTATAACAACGGATGGTACTCAGACTACGCACGGCACAAACTTCACCTCAAATGACATGCATGAGGTTGAGTATGATACGTTGCCCATAACACACGCAAATAGATAGTCATGTACATGACGTATGGCAGGCTTAGGATTCCCAGCTATCGCGTGCTGGTTGCTAATTCGCTATGTATATCTGTATTCTTTTCAACCGATTATGCTAGTGCGCACGAACGCCCAGAGGCTTATGGTGTTTTTTGGGGGAACTTTAAGAATCGTGTTAATGTCAGCAAGTAAAATTTATTCGAGTCAAGTCAAGTCTCAAGTCATATTTTTTTAAGTCAAGTCAAGTCTTAAGTCATTTTTTCCCAAGTCAAGTCAAGTCTCGAGTAAAAAAATCGCTGACTCAAGTCAACAACACTGCTTATTGATGACAGTCTAGTGTAATGTGTGCGTGGTATACCGGACCATGCTCGCATTTAATTTGTTACTGTGCACATACATATGTACATGTATTACTATTTTGTACACATGGTCTCCACTTTCAATATCCCAAACGTGATGATATAATTTGAAGATTAATTTGCTGGATTCAACTGAAACATTAAGGAGATAAACCAGGGTAAATCAAGGCCAATAAGTGCGATGAGTCATGTGTGCAAAAAGGTCATTCATGTAAGCGTCAAAATGACAACTTACAGCAGATGTTGGCATTGGCGTGAGTCGTCACAAATTCTCACGTCCCGAGAGTGCCGACTTAGCCAGAGTTTACTGTATAAGCTTTAAAGTTTGGTGGGAAACCTATCTTGGTGAAGATGTCAAATAATAGCTGGTTCATTGTTCATGCAAATGTGAATATGAAGCAAATTTGACATCACAAAACGTTTGCTATGGTATTCACCAGAGTTTCACGTGTTCAACTTTTGTGAATTGACATTACGAATACTTGCCATACCTTCACAAATTCATGTTTGCGCTTAATATGAACTGGCTTGAGCCTTCTTCTGCTAATAAAGTCAAAAGCCTTGGTGAGATTTGATGAATCCATAAATAACGGCATGTTGTGTTCCTGACATTTTTCCAGTACTTGTCTATTTATGTTATCTGTGGACCTTCCCTCATGGAAGTCCCATTCAAATTGGTATAAATGCGATCAGTAAGCAGAAGTAGGGCAAAAACTTCCCAATAATGATAAGAAGAGATGGACCTGGTAATTCATGCAGACCATCAAGCTACCTTTTTTGTGACAAGTTATCCAGTCCCAAGTCAACTTTTTGGAAGATACATGTACCTCAGCACTGACCATGCTTGGCAAATGTTCCTTTGTCGTCGAATATGCTACAGAATTCAAGCCACAAAATTGGTCACATGTGGCACATGATTTTGTTGCACTTGAAAACAGAGAGTGCCAGCAATGTGTTCCCTTACCTGAATGTGTGTAATTATTAAATCAAAACATCCATTAGCTCATTTTCTGTAGATGGAACTTGTGACAGAAGGAAGTTGGGCATTGTCATGTTCGTACTAAACAGAATTAGTTTTTGGACCCTTAATGGTACCGTGCCTAAAGTTCCACATTTTGATGCTACCATAGCTGGTACAAAAACCTTGAATTTTCATCTTGCAATAGAGCTTACTAACTGCTTCAACTCTTGAAAATGACCGTAAACCAAGGCACTTCAACTCAGAGGGGCAATTCTGTCCAGTGTAAAGTACATGTACTATTGGCTACCCTGTGGCTTCCTTAATCTTACTAAGAAAACCACTTAGTGGATTTTGAAGGATCTTGGAAGGTTAGTGTACATTACATGCACACTGCATTGTTTTGGAGTGAATACCTGTATCAGGTATTCAAACTCATCAGCTTTTTGTAAGCTCCAACTACACTCTTTATGTTTCGATTGCAGATTTTGTTTGTACAAAGCAAACTTAAGTTCAAAGTTAAAACGGGCCCTTTGGCTTTTTTGCAGAACCTTGTCTGTGATTGCAGCATATATCATCTTAGGGTTCATCTTTCAACGCTTCTTTATGGGAGCCAAGGGCATTGAGCAGTTCCCGAATGTGTCTTTCTGGAGGGACTTTGGAAATCTGGTGGCTGTAAGTAGATACCATATGGTCTTACCATTCAAACATCATTATTCACTATCCAAAGAGTTTACTGGTTGGCACAGCACTGGAATTCCACCAGTGCAAACATGGCCACCACTCACTGTGAACTCATGTTTTTTTCCTGAGCATTTTTTGTGTTGGTTTATTAGGAAGTTGGAAGAAAAATCTACAGGTGTGCTTGTAGTTGTATGACTACAGTCTGCAGTGAAACAGTTGACCATTGTGCGGTAGCATTTGTTGACCAATTTTCCAAAAGATTTTACTTTGCTTGAAAAAAATGTGCATTACCAATGGCTGGATCAGTTGCCATGTGTGTGGCATGATCCATCACTAGGAGAAGTCCAGTGACCTCACTCACTATTACACAACACTTGGATAGTTAATACCGAATATGGTTAATATTTCTTATTTTGCAAGAATGCTGTTGAGCTCCAAACTTTGCCCTTCCAATTAAAATATCCTCCACTACATGTTCATGTTGTTTTTTCTTTTAAAAAAATTCATATGAACGTTTTGCAAAGTTCTCCTTTAAGTTGGATCAAATGACCATGGACAGCTGAGAAACAAATTATTATGACATCAAATTGAATCACAACATCACCAGAGTTTCTTGTTGAGTTTTTAAAAAATCTTGCACATTGGAAATAATAGTGGCAGACAACAATTCAGCCATATAATATCTGCATCTATCAACATGACTGAGCTGTTAAGCCAAGTGATAAATCAAAGAAAGAGCAGAGTATGATCTTGCTACTGCAAACGCAACAAGTCCTCGTGACTCATTCCATGGGTCCTAATTATTGGGGCAAAAAAAAGAACAAAAAAAGAACTGACACATGTAAAAAATGGTTGTGACTTCCCAACAGGATGGATGTGTACTGGTATTCCGCACCAGCCCTCCTCAAGAGTCAAGGAGTTACAAAGGACTAGGGGATGACCAGCTTGGCTTCGATGAAGAGGAGGAAAGAGATGATCACATGTTGCCTATGTAGGACTCTGATTGGTCAATAGCTCTGGGTTTTATATTTTTCATTTATCTTCTTTTGCTTGGCACAGAAGGCATTAAGATTCAGTTGTAATTGTTGCCCATTATGAATACAGAAGCAGTCAGGTTCATTTTATGGCATTATATTAGCAGTCAAAATGCACTGTGATAACTTTCTTGTTGCCTAAATACTTGCACATTGCTAATTGAAAAAACCTTTTCAGATAATTGAGATAAGCTGAAATTTATGTAGGCCATGCATCACACAGTTTTTAATTCATAAATAGCCAGAAATTGATAATGTTTTGGTTGTGGAGATTCTTTATATTAAGATTTCAAATCCCTTATACATGTATATTCTGTACATTCAGAAGTGATGACATGCTGAATCCATGAAATTGATCAATTTGCTAACACCTGTGTTGTAAAGAGTTTAATTGAATTTTGATTAAACTTGTTTGATAAGGCCAAAAAAAAAAATATGTCGGTCTCTGGTCAGCGCGCGCAAAGAGCACCAAGGAATGGAAATTGCACCAAGGCAAATGATCGAAAGCACCAAGGCAAATTATGGAGGACACCAATGTACATGAGGACACCAAAAAAGCGAAATAGTACCCACCTTGTCTGTACAATCCAAGCTTGAAGAAAAAAAAAAAAGCAAAAAAAAAAAAAAAAAAGCCGCGTGGCTGCGTCAATTCCGGAACTTTGGTCTGACCAGAGACCGAATATTTTTTTTGTTGGCCTAATATGAAAGGTCTAACTAGACTCTGTCTATTCTGATAAATTTCAGTTAATTGTGTCAGATACAAGAACCATGAGCTCTGCAGTTCTGTTAATTCCTTGAAAATCACGAAATCCAAACAATATTTGTGCTGTGGGAATTTGATGGAATTGGGACATTCAGCTTGTAGCATAGGATCAGCAGCTAGACTAAAATCTTATCATGAATACATGTACACTATATGTTCCATCAAATTTCCATGAATTTGATTGTAATCCCTAAAAGAAAACTGTCATTGATTCTGTAATTTTGCATAACTTGTCCCATTACTGAATCAATCCAAAGGCAAATAGATCTTTGGCTTTAGACCTTTGACAGTTTGTCTGCATATTATGCCAGATGTTTTCAACAGTTGATGTACATAATGCTTTTTTTGCCTCCTAATTTGTAAATAATTGGATATTTACTCAGATATGTGTTTGTCAATAGTTGCAATTTCCAAGCAGCTAAAAAGTTGGTTTGTTTTAATTGAGGTACTTTGGGGGAGGAATAAATAACCTCGGATCTTTAAAAAAAAAATTTTTTAATTTTTTTAAAAATATTGTGTAATGATTGAAAGTAGTCAAATCTTTATATCTTGTTTTATGCGCACATGGGCACTTCTTTACCAATCAACTTTTTTTAAAGGCATTTCAGAAAAAAAAATACACATATAGTTCTATACTAGATTCAGTACTTTAAACTAGGTCATCCGAAAAATATCTTGAAAGCTGCTGGCCAATGAATTCGTGTTCAAGCATGGGTCACATGATTGTGCCATGTAATTTGTGGAAGTAGTGTTTTGAGTAAAAAAAAATCAGGTTTTTGACCCCAGTTTGGTCATGTGACATGTTGGGGCTGGGCTACTGATACTTTTGACAAAGTCTGGTTGAAATTGGTCAAAACATGTAGGAGCAATAGACAATGTCAACGTTTGTTACCAACAGAGACATGATGACTTGTTTGAGCTGTTATCTCGCAGCTAAAAAAGGAGATTGTTCTGCTATTGTTAGGTATCACGGCAGATATTACTCTGGGGATAGTTATGCAGAGTCGAAATAACTTGGCTTCAGCTTGGAGTAACACATGCATCTATGCAAGTGCACTATTCTAGCAATATTTATTCTTAATTTGTTTTTTTCGACTGTATAAAAGTTAACTCCATAGATGATACTTCAAGGACAAAAAAACGGAACGTTACTACCGACATATCTATTTATTATTTTTCTTTATACAAGTTACAAGCGTACCAGATTGTAAAACTATCAATACATGTACAATAAAATCATAAAATGTTGATATTGAGTTTTCAGTTGACTATCTCTTGATGAAACACAGTGGAGAGTTTTATTCACATTTGGGAATTTCTTTTTTTTTTCTATTGAATTTTAAGAATATAATTGTCCACAGCCATGACAGCAGTGCATTAGGTATATCTGTTCACCCTTTTTATTCATGGTGGGCATTTCACAGTAATAGTGTCCTTTCCTTTGTTTAATGATTTTATAAAACATCTCATGAAAGTATCTTTCTCTGTCAATTTGTAGGATATGCTGCGCAGTAAACCATGTATCCCCTATATTAATCCCCCTGCAGTCACAGTACTATTATATTGCATATAAATGTGTACAGTTCAGTTTTTAGTTTATGTAGAAGACAATAACTGGAGTCCCTTTTCAAATCAATTTAATATCATCACAATGTGCCTGTGAAACTGTCACAACAACAAATGCAAACTGGCATTCTTGCTGCTTACAGAAAAGTACTTTATAAAAACTTGGTTCATTCATTGACTTTCAGTTTTATATATTCACTAATGTCCATGTTCTCTTAGTTCATTAATTATCTACAGACAATGCTCTTTATTTTTTTCATAAAACTCGGGCAAACATACATTAAATTTGTGGTTTTCTTTTTGGTTAAATTTTGTGGGAAATTTTGCTTTAGTGTTGGTTGGTAGCGTCAACTTTCTAATCTAATTTACAAGTACATTATTACCTCCTGTTTGTACTGGATATTAAAACATGCTTTTAAGCATGACATTTTTCAGACTTTTTCTATACTGCTGTCCTTTTTTGTTTGTTTTTATAAAACCATTTTTTTAAGTATTAATTTCATCAGTTCCCTTTCTTAGACTTGGTCATGAATTGGCTCATTTCAATCTCACTTCATACAACTTGCTGTACAGTGGCATGCATTTCTCCACAAATCTCTGCACATCGGGTGATTGCTCTGACCCTCCTGAGACCTCGGGGCCTGCATCTGGTTTCTGGAAGCAAGAACTCCTCTTGACATTGTCAAAGGACCCGGCGTCTGCAATGACATACTTGAGATTCTTGCTGACTGCCCAGTTTTCCACTGCCCTGCCCCCTTCCTCCCATGTAAGCAAATTGTCATTGTATGGCACTCCAGTCTTCTTGCAACAAGCAGACATGATGGCGTGCGGGTCAGCCAACAAATCATCTGCATCAATGACGATAGGCTCTGCATCCAAACCTTGCTGTTTTATGTACTCGAAGAGCTCTAGTAACTCCCCATAACCAATCTCAGGAGGCATTATTGGTGGCTCAAGCTCATCCAAAACAAAGTCTTCCACTTTCTTTCTGCTGTAATCGCTTATGAGTTTTTTCCAAGATGGAATCACCTTTTTCGGATGCCTAATCAGGAAGATAAACTTGTAGCCTTGTGGGAGATGCTCATAGCTCTTGTTCAGGCAGTAGGCCATATCTTTGCAAAATATGAGTTGTTTACCTTGGAAGGGGGCTTCAAGCTGTTCCTTCACCCACTTGTAGGTACAGATTGAATCATCAAAACCTGAAACAGCATCACATGGTTTCCCAGCAACATCTACTGAACCACATTCAGAACTGTCGGAGGGACGCGGCGCACTGTCGTACGGCCGGTCAGGTCCGAAAAGATATGCGGTTGTGTAGGGCTCATAGAACATCTTGGAATCAGGAACTCCATTCATACATTTTAAGAAAGCAGTAGACAAGGTTCTGGGGAGGGCCCAGAGGATGACGCGAACTTGTTTCTCCATAGGTAAGCGCAAGTGATCTATATGCAATGATTAGGCTCTAGACATCTGTGAAAAAAATAACCTGCAAATGGAAATCAAAAGGTGAATTTTAATTACCACTGGACAGTATGCCAGTAATCATTAGTTTGACATTCTTTCATCTCCTGTAGGGCTGTGTATGGTGAGCAATTACTGTAACTGGCACAATACCAACTGTATCCTATTAATGGCTACAAGTTTGACTTAGCTTAAACTACATGTACTATAGTAAGACCAGTATACATGTACATGTACGTCACTGCTGTTGCAAGTGTTGATAGTTAAAGCATAGAGCAATTTCGCTGGTTTGAAGCACGTCATATTTTTTTTATGAAATATAAACTTTTTCGATATTCGCATTCCCTATTGGGGATGGATGACAAGCCTGCATGTAGCAGTACCAGATTATCGATACGTCGCCCAAGCCTAATGTTTGTATCCCAGTATGCATCACTCATAACATATGGCTCATATGTCCGTGGACTCGTGTCCATCTGGAATAAAGCTTCGACTAGAGCTCAATGTGTCCAGCATTAACATTCTTAAAATCAACCAGGCCTCCTCATATAATACCATCTTTTTACATGTTGCACTAGTAATTATAATACTATAGGCCCCCTAATTATTTTCAAATAATTTTTGTAATGGTTATCAGAATAAAAAAAGTTGGGCAATCCCTTATATATCAGTTTCATATCATGAATATGAATAGGAATCTTATACCCCTGTCTATCAGAATCAAGATGTCACGCTCTTGACTCCAACACTGACCTACCCCTAGAACCATGGGGGTCCTCACAAACTTCTAGGGGTAAACACTGACCAATCACAACGTTCCTCTGGGCCTGATGACTGGCACCTGAAAAGAAATTTGAAGATGATTTCTTCTTCAGTAAACTTAAGAACTGAATTTTATTTACAAATATATTCATGCATACATGTAGGTGACATGTGACATGACCATTGAAGTTTGGAAAAAGATTGAAATAAAAAAAAAAACTTAATGCAAGACTGGTTCACTACCCCCCAGGGGCCGGGTTTGCATGAACTGCTTGTTTGTCATCCATACCCATGATGCAATCAATAAGGTATATTTTGTGCTCAGAGGGGCGAATGAATTCCAAACCAAACAATTTCTTTCAAGGTTAATTGTCATACCATCTGAATCTAAACTTCGAAAAAGGAGATCAAGTTCTAGCGCCCTATAGTTAGTGGATCTAGTTGTTGTATCCACACGTCATCGATAACCATCTCGGATCTGCTTGATTGAAATCCACATCAAAAGTTATAATGCATCATTGATTTGTTGAATATCTTTCTCCATGATTAATTCATAAACTCGTAATATTAATAGATCTATACGTGTAGGCCCTAGTACAACAACCCACGGAGCTATACACAAATCCTGTCTTTTTTTTACTTCATCAACACAACAGCCAATTTCCTGGGATTCCAAACATGATCTGAACATATTTGTTTCTGTTGTTGAAAATATGTTCAGCTCCACACCCACAAGTCAACTACTCCATGAAAAGACATGACGATCATGAACTAACCAAACAAATGGGCGAGATGTTTCGTATTTTGGATACTATTCAGATTCAGGGAGCGAAGGTCAGAGGCCAGTGCAAACCAGCTCTTTGTTGAAATATTTTCAATCAATAGAATACTAAGTAAAAAACACCATAATTTAAAGCCCAGCTTTATGTCAATAGAGGGCGGTTTAGAATGTCTACCTCAGTGTGGTACCCAGACTTCATGGAGGCATACTTACACTAGTTACACTAGTTACAGCATTTACAATGCACATACCCGACTCACGCTCTATTATAAACGCAAAAATCTTTGTTCTTGTAATCGTGCTTAATGTCTGGCAGTCTAACTGTAATGTAAGTAAAACATTAATGTTTCCTTCAATCGTAGGAATTAGGAAACAATCATTTAGTAGTATCCAGACGCCACTTCTTTGGTTGTGTCATGGTTCTTCCTCCATTGTTCAGTCACACTTGACGGCGATCGCGATCGATCGTGTATCGTGCGATGCCCAATTATGGCTAGCTCACGTAAACAAAATGGCGATCGTAAAGTGTATGGCCCGGTTCCTTTAAGGGAACAAAATCCACTTTAAAATTATTGGGGTAATCCTTACCTTTAGGACCCCATTCCTATATAATGTTAAAAGACTCACCAAAACAGCTGACTAAATGACACTCAAAAGTGACATTCTGATATTTTTGACACATTTCAACCGCTGCCAATGACAGTTGACACCTTCTTGAATATCAGCAGGTTCAATTTTGTAGAAAGAGGGTAGGGCTTTGATTTATGAGGGGTTAAAGATGATGATGACAAACAGAAAATATATTTAAAAAAGCAAGATGGCGAACTGCAAAAAAAGGTAGGAAAGTCACATTTTCTTTGAAAGTGCTTTCAAAATTACAACTAACATGAGTTTATCTGAAGAAACAAGACCGCTTTAGCCTGCAAAAGTCACTTTGGTACTGGGCAGTCACCTGCAAAAGTCAGTTTTTGAACAGAAGTCGTAAAAATAGAGGTGTCCTAAAGATAAGGATTAAATTGGTCCTACCAAACTAGTTGGCGACATTCTCAATAAACAGGTATGTCATAGATCATTTTGTAGATAGAGGGCAGGGTTTTGATTTTTGAGGGAAATTTGGGGGTAAAATGACGATGACAGTGTGGCGACAACACGCAACCCGAAAATAAAGATGGCGATCACCGCGCGATGTACTGTGAGCACGCACGCCGCGCTGAATCACAAGGCACAAACCGAGCAGGAAAATCATGATTTCTACCCCAAGAATTTGTTCAAAATTGCAAAACGAGTGTTGTTAGAATTAAGAAAAGTCTGCTTTTGATTGTAAAGGTGATTTTTGAGCAATAAAAATCATTTTGGACTCTAATTCGTTCAAAACAAAACGGGGGCCCTACACTTCACGATCACCAACAAAATGGCAGCCAACACAAACTCGACAATGTCGTCGTACGTTCCACATTGAAAAAAAAACCAACTTTTAAAATAATTTTAAATTTAATCTATATGCTGAAGTAGTTCGAGTAACTTGGACCCAACCATTCGGACATGGTCTGGTGATAGGGTCCAAGCTAAACCACATATGCCAAATTCTGTTTCAGTTAGCAGTAATATCAAGTATTGCAAGTTTGATAGTAGACCTTAATGTTAGCTTCACGGAGGAAACGCTGGTGTTGGTAAACTCAAGAGTTATGGTTGGGAATGTTTAGAGCCTTCTGAAATATCACTTTCTGTTAAATTTCAGGGAAATCTGTTGCTCTGGCGAGGCACAAGAGGCAAAAATCAAAGTGCACTGCGTTAGGGGCCCGCGCCATGTTAGTGGCCGCGACATGTTAGGGGACAATACATGTATTTCCAGCTCATTAGATTAGAGAAAAGCTGTGAAAAATGAAAACATTTACACTGTGAGTGTGAGGTTTTACCAGAACCTCAGAATTTATTTCCAAATATGAAATGTGACGCATGATTCGGACTTGACCTTTGTGACTCATGAGTTGGACTTGTACTCCGACTCGACCTGCATGACTTTGGACTCGAACTCGGGAGAGGTGACTCGGACTCGGTGTTTGGTGACTCGACTACAAGTCCGCGTTGAGGGGGCAAGTTGGTAAGGGGAGAATACATGTAGGACAGGGGGCGAGTTGACTAGATACAGTACCATTGATAGAACCCACCGCCACCGGTATTTTTTAAATCCTTGGAATGTCCCCAACAGGAAAAAAGACATCACCAGAGAAATTTTAGAAATGCAGTCTGTCAGGGGCCGTTTATTGGAACTCCCCTGATAGAGCTTAAAGGGAAGATACAACATTTGCAAACATCAAAAAAACGAGATGACAAACATCAAAAAACGAAATGATCAAGTTATCATGAAATACCTCACTGGATTGTTAGGGAATGACAGTCTAAAGTATCCTGTAAATCGTGGCTCCTGGTGTGCTGACATTTTCAAGGAAAATTGTATCTTTCCAATGCTGGTCAGCCAACCAGCGTTGGAGAAAACTTTTTTTTTCTCAAAAACTGCTTCTAAATTTTCATATTTAGTTATTTCGCATTTTCTTTGCAATTGATTACACACCTATGAAAAGGGTACAAGCCTGCTAGACTGATTATCTGACCTTACAATACCCCAAAGTCTATAAATTGCTTCGTTTCATCTTAAGTGGGGTCAGGGAACCACACTTCACCAACATGATTGGTTTTCTTGGTTTTTCCAGCATCTACAAGCCCAAAATGTGAAACAAGTCGGTTTAACAATATTTTCTATCGCATACTAATCCTCCAAATCCATTTATGTCAGAAAATTTCAGTAAAAGCAAATGTTGTACATTCCCTTTAATGCCATAAGCTTAGCACACTTTGACTGATGTTAATACAATTTTGCGTAATTCATCTTCATGAATAATGTGTGTGGTTGCATGGAAACTAACTATAGAGGGCGTTAGAGTTAACTGAAATAGATACACTTTTATTTTGACGATCATCTGAATAATTTCTCATTCGTACTTGTCACAGATGTACTGTTCAGCCTGAAAGCCAGTAAGCCACCAAATCTGAAACAGCATCGACGTGTAAGTGATGATTATCCTACTACTTTAAATGTTAAAAGGCATAATTTGTTTAAAAGCACTGAATGCATGTGTTATGTGGGTTTTCAATATGTGATTTCCTTGTCAAATTAAGTGACCCCCGTGTATAGTTAGCGACAGGTTTTTTTTGCCATATTAACGAAAAACGTTTTACAAAAAAACCTGTTCACAGTTGAAGTGCCTTGTGCAAGCTGTCTATTTTTTTGTGAATTTATTTAGAATATGCATTAAATGTTACCAACAAAAATTGTTTTTCTCCAAATCTAGCCAGATCATTCACCGATGTCCTTGGTGCACAGCACCTGAGTGATGGATACCAGTAATGCACCCTCCCTGCAGAGGGAGGACACACTAATAGTACCCAACAATCCCATAGTAAGATCAGCCCAAGACAGGATCCTACAAAGCCTTCCTCAAGGGCTGAGATACTGTGTGTGGATGGACAGAGATGAGGATGGGGCAAGCATGACGATGAGGAAGGGCATCTTCACGTCGCAAGAGTTCCAGGCTGGCCTGTGGTTTGGCCCGTATGAGGGCTCGGTGGTTCTTCCTTCTGCGGGCGGGGTTAAAAACAAAGAGATGTGGGAGGTAATTAGCTATAACCTATGCCTCAGACAAGAGTTGTATTTGAGTTAAAAGTCATTACAAGTCATCCAGACTCATGTTTTCTACACGCCTTTGAATTCATGACATATGTCCAATGCATTGAATTGTTAGTGCTTGTCCCCTGTCACTTGTGGCCTGACTTGTGAATTGACTTGCTATTTGAGGTGTGATAGACTTTTCATCGACTCCATTACAGATGTGTGCCTCAGATGGCTGAGACACAAACTTGTAGTTGGTTCTTTCTTTCAGTAGGTCCTGCAATTGTTACAGCTGTTGAAAGTCTAATTGTGGCCCTCCGTATCTGTAAATTTATAGTTGGTTGATAAGTTGTTGAGATGGGATGCTTCTGTTCATAAATCTGTGTTCTTACACTGTCAGAAACACATACTCTCCTCGGTCTAGAAGTATGTACTGATTCCCTGCTCCCAGCAGCATGGAGCTATTGCTGCACCCAGAAGCAGGAGTCAAGCCTTGCAATGAACATCCTCTGATGTAACTCTTGAAAGTCCACTATGTGAGAACTTAAAATGGTTATCTGCAAAGTCTTAGAACCTGTTTCTGCATGTTTGATCACATTTGATCAGCTGTCAGGCCCCTGGAATTTCCAGGCATAGATAAAAGAAGATTTGAAAAAATATGACATGTAAAATACTTCTTGAACTTTTGAATCCTGTCTTAAGTAATAAATATAAATTTCTTCTACAGCTACACTGCAGTGGCAAACTCTGTCATTACATAGATGACAGCAATGATGAAATAGCAAACTGGATGCGTTATGTCCGCTGTTCCAAAGATCCTGGACCTGATGTCAACCTCTTAGCCTATCAGCACCGAGGTGCCATCTACTACCACAGCTTTGCTGCCATCAACCCTGGGAAGGAGCTTCATGTCTGCCTACAGCACTTTAAGTTAGAAGAAGGCCTCAGTGGCTTAGGAGGTGAGAGAAGAAGCCAAATGTTAGGACTTCTAAAAATAGCAAACAATTTACATAGAAATGATATTCATGGGGAAAATCCTTTTTATCGCCCTGGCAGTAAATCAGAGGGGGATACTGCGATAACCTATTCCTTCTGTGTGTGTATGGATTTGTTTATGGTGTAAATCAAGGACACACACGTGCAAAATCATCGCTGAATCAGTACAGAAACCAAATCGAGGACAACTCGGCTGGAAAAGGTGTACAAAACCAATGAGAGCTGTTGCAAAATTTTTTAGTTTTAGTAGTATGGAACGCCGTATTATCGCGGTACTTATCACGTTTCTCGTTCGGAATAGAGATTGCCCACTAACCTTCCCGAATTGTCCTGTCTTATGTGTAGTATAACTCTTCTTTTTTAAATTAATATAAAAAAATCTGACGGGTGGTGTGGCTTATTCCGTGTACGATGCCTGTGAAAATAGACATGCGCGGCGTGTGCGAACGGAGGTGGACTCCCTATTATCGCGGTATGCGGGAAGTGGTTTTTATAATGATCCCAACTTTTTTGTTCATAGTTTATGTTTGACCAAAACACCCCCTGAATAAAGTCTGATATTTTCCCTGTAACGTTCAAGTTGATTAAAGACAAGATGTCTGCAGGATGATTTCTTAAGACCCTGCCCTTCCCCCGAAAGGAGAACACAAATCCCTGAGGCAAGTCTACTGATCGGCGATTGAGGGCGCCATTCACTTTACACGGTGTGTCGTTTTATTTTCGCTAACGCGCGGTGCTTATTTTGATCCCGTAAAAGTTGTTACGATTTCGCGCTGCAAATATCGTCGTTCGACTTCATTTTACATTTGCAGCTGAAGAATGGGAACCAGACAATGGAACTCTCATGGACAGAGCGCAATTAAAGATTTATGTTAAAATATAAACGGTACCTTTTAGCAGACACGGTGAGGGAAAATTTTGCAAGTTTTGGAAACCGTTAATATTTATTAAAATCGTTAAAAGTCCCGAAAGACACAACATTTTTTAATCGTCCTTTTTATACAACTCGGTAGAAAATCCTTGATGACTGGTGAACTGGATAAAAATCGCCACTTGAAGGAGTTTTGACACTGTAAAAAGAGAAATTTCCCATGCCGCGATAATAGGGATGCCGCGATAATAGGGAGTCCGACTATACCAACAAAGAAAAAGGGAAGAGGAATAAAAAAATCCTTGATTTACACCGTAAACAAACGTGCTAGTCTGCGGGAATGTCTGTGTGTGTGTTATGTTTTGGTTAAGTTAACTCTTGTCAGCACGATAACTTATTGCTAAAACAATAGAAATCTTGTCAAGGTGGTAACTTCAGAAATACTTTATTTTGGAACTTGAAATTTGGTTTGTGCGTTGTTCTTGGTAGTCTTAAGAAGCCTGTTACTTTGGGGCTAACAGGTCAAAGGTCAATGTCACCATTGCTAAAACATTGGAAATATTGTCAGCACGAATGCTTGAGAAATACTTTATTTTATAGGAACTTTGAATTTGGTTTGTGGTTTGCTGTTGGTAGTCTTAGCAAGCCTATTGATTTGGGGGCTGAAAAGGTCAAAGGTCAAGGTCACTATTGCTAAAACAATAGAAATCTACCATTTTGGTTAGGGACACTGACTTGATAAAAACCTGCCAGCATGCCAGGGGGATGGCGCAAGTATCACTTGCAGTATTCTTATAATTTTTGATTTGGACAAAGTTTTTTTAACATGTGGTGTACATGTAGAAAAGCTCATTTGGAAAGTGTGTTCCCTATTTGTTTTTATAACAGTGTTTTTCTAGAGATGTGTTTTTGATGCTGAGTACAATATTGAGTAAACCAGAGGTGAGAATGATTGAAAACGTACTGTGAAAAATCTCTGAAATGGCATCAAACGTGCATCGGCCCATTATCAACATATATATATATCTTTTGAAGTGGTCAAGCACTCATCTAGTGTCTTTTTCCTACTGGTATATTTCAGATCAGCCCCACATGTGCACTGTGTGCCGTTGCGTGCACCTGAGCCAAACTCTCCCTGCTGTGCGTTACGTCCACAAAGAGGTGCCCAGAAAGAAAACAATCCAACCAGCTAAGACAACCATATCACCAGTCACAGCAGCCACCAAAAGGCTTGCTCTCAACAGCAAGATTGACAAGTTGCGACAGAAGCTCAAGGTGGGGACAGGTGGAGACTTCAGCTCAGCCAGCACCCACACTTTAAACTTCAAAACCATGCCAACTTGTTTGGCCTCTGGTAGCACCAGCTCATCTGACAGCACATCAAGCTGTGGTGTTAGCAAAAATGTATATCAAAATGAAACACAGTCTAAATTTCCTTACAAAAGGGAATGCTCAGAGAGTAGTAGTGAACCTAGCTTTGTTGGAGAAAGCAGATCCGATCTGCCACATGGTATTGTAGGAGGCAGAGAGTTGTCATCGTTGCCATACAGTTTGGAGAAAGACCCCACAGGGAAAAAGAATTCCAGACCAGACATGGATGCTGGAAGGGATTGCATTGCCGAAGGAAATGACTCTAGTAGCAGTCCTAGTGATGAGGGTAGGAAGCCGGCTCCATCTCTTGTTGATTTACTATCAACTGCGTCCAGTCTGAGTCCACCAAGAGCAGGAGTTGATGCTGGGAAAGATTTACAAGTTGGCATGTCTGAGACATTGACAAATTCAAAAGATACAACCATAGCTGAAGGGACCAGTAAGATGGATAGTCAAGCCCAGGGGATGAAGCCTTATTATGGTAAAATGGTGCTAACGTCTGCCTTTCTGAAAGAGAAGTGTAAAGCATTGGTTGAGAGGGTAGAAAAGCTCCTGCCGAACCGACAATTTTTCTGTCTATATTGCGGATGGAGGTTCAGGGATCTTCACCACTTTATCAAGCACAAGAGAAGACATGTAAAGCTTTATCGGAGGGTGAAAGGGAAAGATATGTGTAAGGAATTGTGCATTGGAGTTCAGGATATCTTAACAATGATTAAGGGCCGTGGGCCTTTTGTCTGTTCTGTCTGCAATCGGTCATTCAAGGAGATTCACAAGATGAAGATGCATGAGCGATCGCATGCTAACCACACATGCCGTTACTGTGGTAGAATGTTTGGTTCAAGCACTGCACGCATCGTCCATGAGCGTGCCCATACTGGGGAATGTCCATACCCTTGCGATGAATGCCCCAAAGCGTTTCGTACAAACTACATGAGAACACGGCACAAACAGCAGCGCCACAATACTGAGTGGCTGCACAAATGCGAGTTTTGCGACAAGAAGTTTAAAGTCAGGAGTGCCATGACCACCCATATGAAAACCCATGACAAAAAGCTGCCTTGTCCGGTCTGCGGGAAAAATTTTGCACTGCCACGAGATTTACTAAGGCATGTGAAAACACATACAAATGAACGACCATTCCAGTGCGAGTACTGTCAAAAGTGCTACAAACAGAAGTCAACACTCACTACACACATCCAGAAACATTTTGTTGGTGACTTTGCCTGCCAGTACTGCCCTCTGAAGTTCAGAACAGTACAAGCGCATGCCCGGCATGAGAGCACTCACACAGGAGTCAAGCCAGTATTCAAGAGGGTTGAGAAACCTTTTCCCTGCAGGTACTGTGACAGAGTTTTCCCCCGGAATGTAAAGAGGAAAGTACACGAAAGAGTTCACACGGGGGAACTTCCGTTTCAGTGCGAGTTGTGTGAGAAAGCATACTCCAGCAAGAAAGGACTGGAGAGTCACATGAGAACACACTCGGATGAGCGGCCCTATCCCTGCCTTGTTTGTGGGAAGAGTTTCAAAGAACGCAACACACTCAAATGCCACATGCGAATCCACACTGGAGTGCGTCCATTCAAGTGCGAGCAGTGCGACAAAACCTTCCGAGTGAGTGACGCACTAAAAAAGCACCGTCGGTCGCATAGTGATGAGCGTGCCTACAAGTGCCAGCAGTGTGAGAAGGCTTTCAAGCAGCTCTCGGCCCTTCGAAAGCACGAACGCTGGCACATTGGTCTTCGGCCCCACATCTGTGATATTTGCGGCCGTGATTTTGTTGACAGGTACCGCCTGCGGATCCATCAGAGCATACACCTGGAGGTGCGCCCACACAAGTGCAACATGTGCGACAAGAGCTTCACTGAGGCTTGCCGGTTGAAGAGACACTTGCGGGAGCACGAGAATCGGCGAGAGTTTGGCTGCGAGATCTGCAACAAGAAATTCAATTTCAAAGACCAGCTGGAGACTCACGTCAAGACCCACAGTGAGGAGAGACCCTTCCAGTGCCAAAACTGCCCCAAATGCTTCAAGAACAGCAGTGCCTTGCACCGCCATCAACGGGTCCACTCTGACCAGTCCTTCTGCTGTCCTGTCTGCAACAAGGGCTTCAAGTTCATGAAGTCACTCAGGAAGCACACCCTGCAACACCTTGGCAAGGATGTCATGTCCTTTGCTGCATCATCTTCAAGTCTCGCTGACCTGTGTGGTATAATACCGCCAAGCACCGACTCCATCCCAGGCAGTCAAACTCAACTAGACAGCGATAAAGATCCCAGTTTGGAGACAATTCCATTCCCCAATCATTTCATTAAGCAAACCTCCAGCAGTCAATCAAGTACACACCTGAATATGTACCGTAAGAGTCTTGGCATGTATCCTGATGAATTCCAGGACAATGACTCTGACCAAAGCACCATTGTGGATGAGCATGAGCAGGTTCATAAGTTGACTTCTAAAGACGATGGAGCTCCTGATAGTCCTGTGGGTCTTTATCCTATCACTCCTCTCAACCAAATCAAAGTGGAGAGGTTTTCTGAAGATGAGTAGGTTGAATCCCTCAAAGTTATATTCCAGAGCATTCATGTAAATCAGGATAAAGTCTTTTTATATTGTGGTTTGGAGGAATGAAATGTCACAGTTTCTGATGCTCAGATGGTAAAAATTCTGCCAATACAAAGAGTTACAAAACGGGGCAATCCAATCTTCTTTTTGTGCCTTTTTTTTTTGGGGGGGGGGAATGGGTTAAGAGTTGGGTGTGTGGGCGTCGATCGTCACGGAAATGTAAGAGTCGGTCCAATTGAGGGTTTTCAGGGCCTATAGATTCATTGATATATCTTTGTCCAGCTTATACGTCCATGCAGTCGGGGTGTTAGCTCAGGAGATTGTTGTCTCGTACCTTTTTAATTTATCAAACTTGCCATGTACAGCGCCGCTTAGAATGGATGCTGAAAATACTGAATTTGTTGCATGTATATTTGTACATCAAGTATCATCATTTTTTAGTAATTTGTTTACATATGACTAATTAAGCCCGATAGATTTTTAGTGAAAAAATGACCCTTACTGTACTTTGTAACAATATAATGAGTAATTGTGGACTCTTAAGACTAGTAGTACATGTATCAAATGTTGTAGTTCATAGTAAACAAATATTGTAATGTTTATGTTGAAATCTTTTGTCCTTTATTAATGTGGAAAGAGTGTCTTTTAACAATTTGTGTTGATTTTATTCTATGTCCAAAAAATATCTCTACAAAGTACAAACTGTCAGTTGTGCATATTGTATAGGGTTTGGGCTTGGAAAATTTGAATTTCTTAGCTGTAACATGCATGCTGCAACACCAAATACGTGTTTCCTTAAAGGGACACTAGGTCCTGGAACAGCCCAATTGGGCTACAAAATGCGCTTGGAACGAGATGATGATAATCGGAAATAACTTTTAAAAGTAGGATATAAACATCCACACAACTATCCTTTCAAAACTGGGCGTTTTTGTGTTATTGCTGTATTATGCGTGCGAGAACGAATTTCGGGGTCCACTTTTGCGACCCCATAAATTCGAGCTGTTTGGATGCTAGTTGTGATTTCATTCGTACGCGTAAAGTGTTCGCCTTTTGCGGATGTTGAAGAAACCACAATTTTTTGCATTGGTGATTGGTCACTGCGCGCTGTTCCCGAGACATACAACGTGTATAGCGTACATGAGAACGACACAGAAAAACGTATTCATACTCCGTCATGTCCGTTTTTTTTCCGTCTTTTCTCGGGAACGGTAAGACATTAGGTTGGTTTCCTTTCAACCAGATGTTTGAAATAGGCTAAGTAAACAATCCAAAACATAACATTTTCGGGGATTTCAGGACCTAGTGCCCCTTTAAGTATATCTTGTCTCATTTTAAAATATGCGTTCAACAATGAATCATTAAACATATCTTATTAAGTTTAGATTTTCCTTTAATAAAACCAAAAAGTGATTAGCCTATGATACCCAAGGTTTCAAAGGCACATGTAAAAAAAATACAGTTTTTAACAGTGCTGTAAACTTGTTAATTTTAACTGTCATTTCTGATGCATTAAATATACCTTCATATGGTAGAAATTGGTACACACGCTTTCCAAAACCTTTTAATTACACAAACTGACGATTGTTTCCATTGTCCAAACAATATGGTGCTTAGTTACACATACATGTACATATACATCTTTCAAATGGCCAGTGTCTCATTATTATTATTTTATTATTATATTCAGTATTTGCGTGCTTGTAATTAAAAAGAGAGGCTTTTTGTCGTCTTGACTACAATAAAAAGGTTTTAACCAATGCTTTTTGTACATGAGGTTTAAATCACTGCTTGATTGCCATGCAGGTCAATACCAGAGTCACCAAGTTTGTCCAAGTCACCTAGTTTCTAGTCCAGTGAATATCATATATTATAGCGATCCTAACCTGTCTGTCTGATGTCTTATTGTCAACGTTTTTGTTGTAAAAAGCCTAAGCAGTGTATGCAGGTCCTTAAATGGTGTGTGCTCTGATTTCACTGTCCTCTGAAGTGAAAATTGCTCTTATGGCAAATTTGTTTCTTTCAGACTTAGAATACATGTAGTTAAATATTACAACATTATCTCTATGAAAACACTCCAAAATGGTATCACTAGTACACAAAACATAATGATGATGAAAAATGTGGCAAAATCGCTTGACCAAGGTTTATCACGCCCACTTGGGGTCAACATACAAATTGAAGTCAAAGTAGTAGATTAGTACGTGTATATAACTGTCGAGCGTACAAATTCGTACAAGAACCCTTCTCATAAATACGTCAATTGAGGGTGCACTGATCATTACGCCGAAAAAAAAGTCTCCGGTTTCTGGTCTGTGCACGCATCGCCGTAGCCATGCGCGTCGGCAAAATTAAAAAGTTATTATTTCAATGTAAGATGATGTCTCAAAACCGCCAAACTTGACTGGAATCCTGCTGCTGCACAATTTTAACGTGTTTTAGATGGGGTTACGATCGAGTATGTAGCCTCTATGTGGCCTCTCTGGGCTCCCATATATTTTGCACTAAATTTAGTCAGGCACCATTTACAGACAGTGTTGTCATTTTGTAATTGTGCCTCTGGAAGCCAGACTGATGGAGCGATGGTCGTATATATGGAACCTGTAAACGTTTTTTAATTAGCGCAATATGTAAGGGAGCAGACTAATGACCAGCGTGGCAGCACACGCATGACGTTTCCATTTTCCCTGGTTTTTGTCTTGACAATCCAAATTTCCCGGAGAATGTTCATGTTGGTCGAGATCGTAAGTGGGTGCAGAATTCTCAAGCCTTATGGCCTCACTGAGGTCACCTCAAACTCCACCCTGAAGGATATTTTTGAGAGTTTTAAGGGGATCCAAGCGTCATCTGCAACATCACCCGACATGTGAAGAAAAAAAAAGTAGGGAAAAAAAAGCCGCGTCGTCGCACCACTTTTGACCGAAGACTTTTTGGGGGGGCCTTAGTAGGGCCACTGCCACGTTTTACGATGATAATGCATCATGTTCATAAATCTCTCAAGTTTTCACTTTACGACTCCACCCAGCTAACGGATGCCGTGTCAACTTGCTAGTCTATTCAAATGAACTGTAATAACAGTATTAGTATGACCTTCCTCAGGATTTGATTTATGATTCATCCATGCAATGGATTTTAATAAAATCTGAAACTTGTGAGATGAAGTTAATTCAGCACAAATTATGTAAGGGTTCAAGATTATATACATGTATGTTCTGTTTTAATGCTGTCTTAGCTCAAAAAGAAAATGCATTGTAACTAATTTTCTGTCACAGCACATACTTGTAAATAAATTTAAAACCTTCATACTGGACCAAAAGGACACAAATTAACATCCAATGTTTCTAACCATTAACATTAAAGTATAAGCAGATTAAAATTGTTTTTTTTTTTCAATAGCTCTATTAAAACTTGTTACTTATTGACATGCAGATTGGTGCTAATTATTGCTACTGTATGAGTGGGCTTTGTCCATGTTTGATCATTATATATTTCACTCATAAGATGGAATTTGCCCTTCATAAGAAGGGCAAAACCTAATTTGATATATTTCACTGTAGTAACTATCATGTAGTTTGTATGTTTATGCTATTTGTATGTTTTTTAATTAAACAAAAATCCTGTGTAGAACCAATAGGATCATGTTCATTTATTAAAACACATTCTTATAGAATATGATCGCGTGTGAAAAGAACAGTACACATTTTCAAATGTTCGTGTGTTGTTGAAGGCACAGATAAGCTGGATAAACGTATATTTCAAGATTCTCCATACCACCTTTCCTTCAGTGACATCATAGCCCTGAGTAAAAGGTTGATGCAAACTACAGCCAAATCCTACTTCTCCATGGCTGTGACTTTCTCTTGGGAGTGAGGTTGATCCTGTCTGTCTGTATTTGTTCCAGTTTGTCTCTGGATGTCTGAGATGGATGATGTCTAAAATGGATGATGTCTAAGATGGATGTCTAGTTCCTAGTCTTGTTTCTTCCCTCTTTCTTTCCTCTTCTGCATCTTGCCTAGCGCCCGGTACAACTCCTGCTTTGCCTCCTTCTGTCGCTTGTCCCTCTGTTTTTCAATCACATTCATCTGTAACAGAGGGAATAGGTAGTTCTGAATAACCCCACTGAACTTTGAGGAGTCATTAATCCTCTAAAAAAATGCATGAAAATGTCAAGGACATGTGTCGCCCTTGTGATTTAATACTGGGAGCAAACAATAGATTTATGACAACACATTTTCATAGAGCTCAATTTCACAGAATTTAGAAGCAGAATATTATGCAAAGCAAATGTAGGTAGCAAACCAACTACAGGTGATGCACATTGCAGGATTATTGGACGGGCAAACTGCTTTTACTGAGCATTTCTGTGCTCAATAGTTCTATGGAATTGGCCTCTGGACACTAAATAACTTTTCAATGTACTGGTGTACCCACTGTAAATGCGTAGAATTTGAAGCATTAGGGAGTCTTTTTTGTCCATTTGAGGAATGGATTACAGCATGTCTCTGTATAAAACACTTTAGGAATTGACATGATGCTGACCTTCAGTCTGTGAGTGTTGACTCTCTGTACCATGGTCTGCCTGTCTTTGCGTTGTCTCTCCTTGTATAATGCACTCAGTTGATGCATTAATGATACCACCTGTGCATATGAAAAACACTATTCAAAACACTGTAGACAAGTTATGTAAATTTTAAAATGCCATGCACAGACATTAGATAACCCAGGATGTCATATTCATATCCCTATGTGAGGATGCATGAACAGAAAGATAGGGCTTCATGACCACTTGAGAGAGAGAGAGAGCTCTGTGGGGGGGGGGGGGGGGGGGGGGAAACACTGCAGTTAAAACTTTATTTCACTTTTTCTTTTAACAGTTTGTGAGTTTATGCAGTTAGAATAAATTTGAATCTGGTCACTTAAAGCTTTGAAAACCTTCCAGTTTTGAAGTTTAGATGTGGTCTTTTTACCTTATTTTGGTGAAGACAAGTGTTTGACTTCTTTTATGTTAATAATAATAATAAAAATAATAATCGGCATTTAAGAACGTTCATATTAGTTAACTAAATCACAGCGCTTACAGTATTATTATTACCCCTGATCATTGGGCGAATTAAACATTCCAAATACCATCTTAGCTCCCTGGGGAGTATACAGCTCGATGATGCCTATTATAATAATCTTTTTTTCATGTTTGTTTGTTTATATTAGGCTACCTTTAACGGTACTATTTAATTAACAAATAACACATACAAAATTTGCATAGTATAGGGAAGACATTTTTATTTCAAAAAAATTCTTTATTTTATAATTTTTTGCCAATTGTGGTAATAAAAAGTTTGAGGTTTGCAACCTCAAACTTTTTGGCCAGGTAGGTCTGGTTACCGTCAACAGAGAATTTGTTTTATCAACAGCTGTGCGTAATATAATGTGCAGCTGCATTGTGATTACTTTGTGATGACGTCTGACCAAATTTCAGCCAGGATCATACAAATTCTGCTTTTATCACACAGTAGTCAGTTACCTCACAAATCATCCACTGACTAAAATTCCTTGATCGAGCTTGCTCAACAATCCTTACTTGAGTCACACAACATAAGGCCCTGCGCCCAGGTCATGCCTGGCAGTAAGGCCCTGCGCCCAGGTCATGCCTGGCAGTAAGGCCCTGCGCCCGGGTCATGCCTGGCAGTAAGGCCCTGCGCCCGGATCATGCCTGGCAGTAAGGCCCTGCGCCCGGGTCACGCCTGGCAGTAAGGCCCTGCGCCCGGGTCACGCCTGGCAGTAAGGCCCTGCGCCCAGGTCATGCCTGGCAGTAAGGCCCTGCGCCCGGCTCATGCCTGGCAGTAAGGCCCTGCGCCCAGGTCATGCCTGGCAGTAAGGCCCTGCGCCCAGGTCATGCCTGGCAGTAAGGCCCTGCGCCCGGGTCATGCCTGGCAGTAAGGCCCTGCGCCCGGGTCAGGCCTGGCAGTAAGGCCCTGCGACCGGGTCACGCCTGGCAGTAAGGCCCTGCGCCCGGGTCACGCCTGGCAGTAAGGCCCTGCGCCCGGGTCACGCCTGGCAGTAAGGCCCTGCGCCCGGGTCACGCCTGGCAGTAAGGCCCTGCGCCCCGGTCATGCCTGGCAGTAAGGCCCTGCGCCCGGGTCATGCCTGGCAGTAAGGCCCTGCGCCCGGGTCATGCCTGGCAGTAAGGCCCTGCGCCCGGCTCATGCCTGGCAGTAAGGCCCTGCGCCCGGGTCATGCCTGGCAGTAAGGCCCTGCGCCCGGGTCATGCCTGGCAGTAAGGCCCTGCGCCCAGGTCACGCCTGGCAGTAAGGCCCTGCGCCCGGGTCACGCCTGGCAGTAAGGCCCTGCGCCCAGGTCACGCCTGGCAGTAAGGCCCTGCGCCCGGGTCACGCCTGGCAGTAAGGCCCTGCGCCCGGTTCACGCCTTGCAGTAAGGCCCTGCGCCCGGGTCACGCCTGGCAGTAAGGCCCTGCGCCCGGGTCATGCCTGGCAGTAAGGCCCTGCGCCCGGGTCACGCCTGGCAGTAAGGCCCTGCGCCCGGGTCATGCCTGGCAGTAAGGCCCTGCGCCCAGGTCATGCCGGGCAGTAAGGCCCTGCGCCCAGGTCACGCCTGGCAGTAAGGCCCTGCGCCCGGGTCACGCCTGGCAGTAAGGCCCTGCGCCCGGGTCACGCCTGGCAGTAAGGCCCTGCGCCCGGGTCATGCCTGGCAGTAAGGCCCTGCGCCCGGATCATGCCTGGCAGTAAGGCCCTGCGCCCGGGTCATGCCTGGCAGTAAGGCCCTGCGCCCGGGTCACGCCTGGCAGTAAGGCCCTGCGCTCGGGTCACGCCTGGCAGTAAGGCCCTGCGCCCAGGTCACGCCTGGCAGTAAGGCCCTGCGCCCGGGTCACGCCTGGCAGTAAGGCCCTGCGCCCGGGTCATGCCTGGCAGTAAGGCCCTGCGCCCGGATCATGCCTGGCAGTAAGGCCCTGCGCCCGGGTCATGCCTGGCAGTAAGGCCCTGCGCCCGGGTCACGCCTGGCAGTAAGGCCCTGCGCTCGGGTCATGCCTGGCAGTAAGGCCCTGCGCCCAGGTCACGCCTAGCAGTAAGGCCCTGCGCCCAGGTCATGCCTGGCAGTAAGGCCCTGCGCCCAGGTCATGCCTGGCAGTAAGGCCCTGCGCCCGGGTCACGCCTGGCAGTAAGGATGTGCACAAACAATATATCTGGCAACCAATTCTAGGTAACACTGTGTGGTTACTTGTAGAAATAACTCACCTTCTTTTCTTCTGGTTCCAGGACAACTGCTCGGAAGTTCTTGCCCCCACTCTTTCTAGGCTTTCTCTTATTGTCTGACTTCGGTTTGTCCTTGAACGGCAGCTCCCTCTGGAGTGACTTGGGGATGCGAAGGTCGTTGAAGTGACGAGGCTTCCGTTCTATAGGCTATTTGCAAAACAAGAACATATCAAAATATCACTCTAAACTATTTTTGAAAAGACTCAAATGGGATGAAAGAATGAGTAAGATGTCTCTAGCACAAGCTGTGGTTCAATCCAAGTTGTTCTGGCTGAAGTGGCAGCCATGACATACCAGTAATGGTATCAATATGATGAGAGGCAACATTCTGTCATCTTCTGGGATTCCACTGGTTCCTATACACTGTACTTTGCAAAGAAATCTGGTATTCATTTACAATAGCTTTTAAAAAACATAAAGCCTATTGCCTGAATCTTGTATTCATTATTTATATATTTTTGGGGGGGTTTGTTTGTTTGTTTTGTTAATGGAGTTCCAGACAGGGTCTGCGGTAATAAAACAATGTTATTTTTCTCTCGGGTTGGTAGCCCAAAATAGGGTCAGTCGGTAGTAAGACCCAAAGAAATAAAAAGGGACGCCCATATTAGAAAAGAAATGGGACACCATTCACTGCTATTTGCTGAGGTAACATGATTTATGTGGTCTCAATTTAGATCAGAATGTCATAATTGTGCGGCCTGTTCCCACAACAGTAAGTCAACTTTGTACTTCAACAGAACATTTCTGAAGGCAAGAGGAGGGGGAACAGTACGTACGTACCGAATACAAGGGCTCCTCCCAACAAGTTGTGGTGGGTGGCCAAAATCTAAAAATTGCCAAAAAAAGTCGGGGGGGGGGGGGGTGGGGGAAGTACTGCCCTTGTCTCCTGATTCTATCACATGTGTGTGAAGTTTAGTTTGCTGATCTTTGGAACCCATTGTCTCAGGACAGAGTTTTGGAAGATTCTACCCATTCGTAAGCTCTGATGATATGAAATTTGTGAATCACAAATATAACACATCTTCAGAAATCTCGTGGCACGTGGCATTCACTGACACAAAACCTCAGCACTCTTTGAGTTGTAGTCAAGTCAAATCACAAGTCAATCACAAGGGAGAGGTATGACAAATATTTCCCTTCATCACTGTTCATTTCAATAGCTTGTTGTTGAGTAACTTGTGAAATAAAAGACAATGACTACAAAAACAAGCGCTACTTTTTTTACTTTGTTTTGTTGGAACAGTCTTAATATGGATTGAATTAACTCATACCTTGTAGACAGAGTCTGGATTGGCGACTAGCTTGATATTTTTGTCTTTTCTAAGTTGGCTGACAGTCCGCATCCCTGTCCAAGAATCCTTCTCATCCCTTGGCAGGAGTAACGTCGTGACAGGATTGTAAAACTTTGGGATCTCAATCGGCAGCCACGTTCTCATGAAGACAATATCTGCAGGAGGAGGACAAACTTACTAAATTTGGATATGATTTTCTTTTCAAGAGGGACACAGGATTTAGCTCTAGGTATGCCGAGCACATATCCCTTCTCCGCCTGATCACTTCTACGGTTTATAACTGTCATATAGATAACCTAATGAAGGAAAACAAGTTAAACATAAACTCCAACCCAAGAGCGGATGTTCAGGTTTACTTTCCTAAAAACTGAAAATGTCATATGTGTCAATAAAATGCTTTATTTGAAAGATAGGATGGAATGAAAAACATATAGTTGACAACATAATTACTGAGTGTTATACCTGGCTTTGAACTCTGATTTCATGGCTCAGACATGTGACTCAACTCACTTGATCAAGTCTCATATTTCAATTACATTGGTTACAGCAGCCATCTTAGAAGACAGTGCTTTGTTCTCGGTAGAAAATATATGGAGTACACTTTTGTTCATTCATTGTTCTTGAATCAACCCCAAAAAACCAAAGCCTGTTTCATACTGGCGTTAAAGAGTTATGCTGCAACAAAATGTATTTAGAGGTGACTCAGGTCAACCCAATAGACAAGACAACTATATGTACTATTTTTCCATTGACTAGACTCTGAAGTTTTTTTGAATGACCTCAATAGTTGATCTTTCATTTGTAGTCGCTCCTATTTGTTTCAAAAATCTAATTCTACTCTTTTGATTGATGTAGTTTTGCCAGCCTTTGTAATGCCACTCTGATGGGTATGTAAGATGGCTGCCATGCATATGGTCTAGACCAACACCAAAGTTTGACTTCCTGTCAAAATGTTAGAATACACGCACTGCTCACCACTTTTGAGTACTTTATCTTCAAACGTTGCCCTGAAAGCGCCCTCGGGTGCCCGCAAGGCTTTCTTGATCTGACCTCGGATTCCACTGACAGTGCGTATGGAAGCACCCTCAAATCTGGCAACTTCCAATGGGGTGTTGAACATACCCTAGACACACACACACACAAATTATTATTGGTTTCCACTGTATCAATTCCAGACATTTCCAAAATTAAAGGTCTGAAATTTTGGATGCAACTTGTTCCCAAAAATACTTTCCAAAGTATCTTCAGACTCATTGCATGAAAAAAGCCACCTGTCAAACAATACTGTGTCAAGAATTGTTTGTCACCCGGTATGTTTTCTTTTTCCTGCCCAGGAAACCAGCTCTGCATGTGCAGATCTGATCAAAGCTGATGATTGGACTGATTTTGTAATAGCATTGCATATTCATGTTCATATACTTGCAGGAGTGCTACTTAACAATTGTTGACTGCCATGATGTGGGATATGACATGTGTTAAAATGTCATATCCCACATCACAGCGGTCAACAATTGTTTTGTTGTATAGTGCGATATCACCCTCAGTGTGTGACATGTATTTTTATTGTCCGGACACGTGGCCATTCTAGACCAATGAAATTACAGTATCCAAGCACACGATATAACAGTTGTGTTTTGCACATCTTCAATCAAACAGTGGGGCATCACCTTGATCATGTTGATAAGGCTATTGGAATGAAAACAGTAACAAACCCTGCCCATTGTTCAGACGTCTAGCCCTGCAAATTACATTTTACACAACCAACTTCCATCAAAAAAAGTAAAAAATACATAAGAGGGCTCAAATTCAAATTAAGATATAGTTTAATTGGAATTTAATACAGCATGACATTTACATCAAGAGATAGATGACATAAGATTGGAAGACCCTGGTAAAGTTAAAGGAGTAGGTCTGACCAGAATGCATCCTTTTGGGCTTTAAAAAGCATTTCCCATCAATTGATGTTAAAGGTAGCGTCCATCATTTGTAATTTGTGCATTATGTTTGTTTAAAGCAACAAAAGTGTTCAAAATCTAAAGAAGGGTGCTGAACAACTAACCTGATGAAGTTTCAGCTTAGTGAATGCTGTATATTCCGAGAAAACAATATTCTTGGATCTGGATTTCAAATCAAAAGTTGCTGAGTAATGTTTTGAATTGGGCAAGAATTCAGCGTCCGAGACACGTTCTCACTGTGCCGATTGCAGCTACGCAGTAGTGCGCTCTGAACTGATGAATTATAACAACCGTGCGCGCGTATGCGTCGTGTCAACGCTTGTGCGCAAGTCGCCGAATAAAAAAACGAACTTCTAATGGAAATTTCCATGGAAAGGCCTTCTTTCACTGATTTCTTCAAACTGACAGCTTGCCAGAAAGAATAATTTCACAGGGAGTTTAGTCCCATTACTATCTTTAACCCAAGTATGCTTTTGAACAATAATTACGTCAGTTACTTTTTGGAGAGCTGCAAATGATGGACTGTACCTTTAAAGATCATAGAAAGGTAAAATGTTATTATATTGCATATACATGTTTACATACTAGCATGAGTGCTACTCATGTTTTACAAATCTTCAATATACATTGCACGCAGCTACACCTTGTCAAGACATAGCTGCATGCACAATTTTTGTGTGTAATTTTAGAACACTGTTTTGGTCCTCAACAAAAATTGAGCCGTTAGGGTGCTACTCTTGATTCAAACCACTTGTTTGTTGCTTTTCCGCTTGAAAGCGGAAAAGCATTGTTTCTGTTCTGATTTTTTCCTTTCTTTTTTTCCCCTCTTGTTCCTACCCCAAATCCCATAGACTTTGTACACGTTTATTCACCGCGGCACTTTGGACCTAAAACAAACACGTATTCTAATGAAACTTGTCCCATGTAAAGACCCCATAGTGACATTGTGTCCTGAAGAGTGACGTCACGATGACGTCATCATGGGTCACGTGACGTCATCTTATATGTGCAAATTTTAAGACCCTATATCTAGAGAACCGTAACTCCGATTGGGTTGAAACTCGGTATGAAGGTAGACCGGGATGTGTTATAGACGAAATTGAGGTGACGTCATAATGACGTCATCGTGTGAATTTATATCGATTTCTGAAGTTTTCGACCTTTAAGCCATATCTCACGAACGGAATATGCAAAATTCAAAATACTTTTTTGTATTACGTTTGTTAGGCAATAGGTATATGTACACAATTTTGAAAAATGTGTGACGTCATGATGACGTCATCGGTAGTTTTTTTTACGATTTTTCTAATATTGCCAATTTTATTCTGCCTACAAAATTTAACACTTTTATAAATCCAATTGTTTTCAAACTTGGTACAGACTAAAACCACAATAAAATAATGAGCACTGCCAAGTATTGTTACGATGACATCATCATTAGACATGAGGTTTTTGAGGTTTTGGACCTTTAAGCCATATCTCACGAATGCAATATGTTAAATTCAAAAAAAAATTTGTATTAGGTTTGTTAGGCAAAAGGTATATGTACAAAATTTTGTAAAATGTGAAACGTCATGATGACGTCATGAAAAATGCGCTTTATTGAAACACATATAAAGGAATGTCTGATCGTCATGAAACTTGGTGGGTGGGTAGATAATTTACACTAGTACACAAAATCTTGAATGATGTCACGATGACGTCATCGGTAGATTTTTTACGTTTTTTTTTAATATTGCCAATTTTATTCTGCTTACTAAATTTAACACTTTTATTAATCCGATTGTTTTCAAACTTGGTACAGACTAAAACCACAATAAAATAATGAGCACTGCCAAGTATTGTTACGATGACATCATCATTACACATGTGACGTCATCGTTAACTTGTATATATTAAGCCCCTATATCTCATGAACAGTAAGTCAGATTGGATTGAAACTTGGTATGGAGGTAGGCCGGGATGTGTAACAAATAAATATTGAGGTGACGTCATCTTGTGATTATATATATATATATTTTTTAAAATTTTGAAGACTTTTGCCGTATCTCACAAACGCAATATTCCAAAATCAAAATTCTTTTTGAATCAGGTTTGTTAGATAAAAGGTAAATGCACACAGTTTTGCACAAAACAGAAAAACATGACCTGAATTAAAAAAAAAACCCATAATGCAGAAAAGCCCCATGTTCTGCTGGAAACAGACATAGACCTCTAGTTTGTTTTGGGGTTTTTTTTCCTCAAAAAGAATAGTTCAAACATAATTGCGTTTCATAAGAGCTGATGTTTCTCAGTGCATTCTCACTTGCTGTGCTGCAGTGTTGACAGCTTTAATTTGGTTCATAATTTGATGGCTTAAATCAGTGCTGGAAGGCAAACATGTGTGGGACATTACATGGATTTCTTGCCATTAAGATGTTTGTAAATGATTAGTCAATAATTGAAAGCACAATATTTTGCCGATCTACAGATACCTTTGTTCCTTGAACTAAATCCTTACAATGGACTTACACCTATAAATGCCGTGTGTTTGTGAATCTTGATGGGTGTCCCTATCAGCTTCAATTTCTTGACGACATTGAGAGACTTGTCCAAGTCTAGGATGACTCCTGTGGCTGCAATACGGAAACCTGGCTGTAAGATAAAAAAGAAGTCATTCTCACAATTACAAACACCGCTAACATTTGCAGCGTATATACAGCAATAATATTTCCACATAAAATTGTTCTCTACAGCCATTTACGTGGAATGATATGACACACTTTTAAATGTTATAATTTCAGATGTTTAGGGCACATTTTTGATATGAGATGTAAAAGAGTACTGAAATGAAAAATTGGGTTTTGGTATTAGAAACATGATAACTTGGCAATGGGAAATGGGTTCATCAACATGATGCTATATACAGAAAATAATCCTACATTTCTGCCAGCAACTGACTGCACAGCCAAAACTCCTGTTCCTTGTGGAGTAATAGGACCTGAAATAAGACAAAAACGGCAAAATAACTACAACTGAACAATGCTATATCAAGGCCATACCCAATGATCAGCTACATTAAACATCCCATTTATGTACAAGCATTGGCAGCTGGAATCACTGTTATAAATGACAGCTATACCAAACAATCTGTTAGTGGACCCCAAGGCATTCATTGCAGTGACGTTCTACTGTCCTTGAGATTTACAAACTTAAATTTGTTAATCAGAATAACTATGTTGTCATACTTCAGTCCATATCACACTATACCTCAAGTAGAATCTACTGCCCTCTATACTGAGTTTAGGAAATAAGCTCATCATCTTTTATCTGTAACTGCCTACTTTGCTGAAATGTTTAACTTTAGGCTTCCTTACTTGGTAAAGGTGTCAAACCTACCAAGTAAGAAAATATTTCACACTCAATATCAGGAAACCCAATAAGCTAGTCCCCTCATATAAAAGTCCATGTTGTGTTTGTTAAGTAGTGGGTATTGACCCTTTGCATTCAGCAGCCAGCTGTTAGGTGTGTAGGGATATTTCAATTCAATAACAATGTAGTCACAAGAGGGTGACTCAAATCAATGGCATGTGCAATCAAAACACATGCCTCAAAGATAGCTGCAATACAAAGGAACTACATACGTCTGAAGAAAATTGGAAAATAACTATACTAAGATTCTTTTTAACTAGCAGTTCTCCACAAGATAGTGTGAGTCCCCCGAATACTTTTCTATTCTGAACCCCTCTGATCTCACCCCATATGGAGGCTGTGCAGTGCAGATGCTCCGGAGTGTATTTGAGTAGTCTGGTCCTCATGTTGTGATCTTGCATGCAGTACAGTGGGATAGTCTGGAACCTACGCCAGCCCACAGAGAAGATGAGGGGGTCTCGGGTCTTGAGGATGCGACTATGCCATCGATGCTTCTTGAGTCTCATCTACAATGTCAGATCAAAGGTTCAGATGCAAAAAGCCATCACATGTCAATCATAAGTCAATCCCAAGTCTAAACACCAGTCAAGTAAAGAGTAACTGAAGATGAAGAAAAACAAAGGAATCTCTGCCACATTTCACATGAATTGCTTGTCACTTGACTTGAAGTCAGATAACTCATGACTGAGTTGTGATTGAGTGGAAGACAACTCTGTTAAAAAAATGAAGCTTTAAGGGGAAGATTATAATCTCACTGCAAAATAAATTACATGGTATAGTCGCTATCACAAACTGTGATCAATTCCTTTGAGGTTATGGTTATTTACAAAAGCCGAGTAGTAATTTTTTGTAAGATTTTTTTCATTCCTTTAAGATGTAGGAGAAAATTCACTGTGCTTATAAGCACACAAGTTTCTGCCACAATAATCTTTGTCCATTTCACAGGGGACCATTAGCTGTTAACAATGCTGTGAGCATTTACATACATGCAGGGGTGGGTCTAACTTTTAGGAAAGGGGGAGGGGAGAATTGTGAAATCTATGATGCTTTCTCCTGCATTCTAAGGCAATTTGAGAATAAATTTAGGAACTTTAGCATTCCATTTATTACTGGTGGCTCCATTTTACTTTTATGGAGGGGGGTGGCCCAACCCCCCCCCTCTAGATCCGCTACTGGCACTTGCACATTTGAGCAAACATATTTGCGCCGTGTGCTTTTTGTATTGAGTGATAAACTGTGACAGTCGTTTCGGTCTGAAAGTTTTAGTTGGAATCCCAGGGAGAACAGTTCATAACACAACTGATGGGGCTACCCTGGTAAAATAAAATGATAAATACAAAATAATTGTATATTTTAAAGTCTGGGCAAATCAAACCAATTCACCAGGGGTTTAAGGCTTCAGAGTTTCTGAATAGAGAGAAATTTAATGCGTATTTGATCACAATCATTTTGTTTTCAGAGGTCTGGGCTTAAAAAATATTGTCCATGACCCACTGCCATAATGGGATATGAGTTGATTTCTATCTCACCTGCACATAGCCGATGTTATCCTCACTACTCAGTAATCCACCAAGAATGACCGGGTAAGTTGGGTTAAAGTTGGTCACAAACTCACACGGAATGCTAGTTACCTAGACGAAAACAATGAAGTACATATGTCAGTTATAATATTTGGTTTTTCCATCACCAGTGGAATTATATAAGCACTGTATACTCAGCTTTGCCTAAGAGCTAGTGCTGGAGACCAAGTGGTTTAGATGTCTGCACTAGTAAACAGGAGGTCATGGGTTCAAGTCCCAACCAAGCAAGCTTGTCAAGTTTTCATGCAAGCTCTTAAACAGCAGTGTGCATACACTGTTTATAACATTGTCAGTGAAGGGCAAGGTAACAGATAAAAAATACTAAATACAGAGCATAGGATTTTGTCTTTTTCAGTATTTAGTACTGAAAATAGGCCATTCAAAATATCAATGTTATTAAATTTCGGGTTTTTTTCATTCCAAAATGTGAGTGGGTGGGTGAAGAAAAATAATCGAAATTCACTTTTCAATTAAAAAGTGAAAAAAAAGGAAACAATTGCGAGTGCACATTAAGCTCTTGCCATGTGCAAGAAGTCTTGCATGAAATCCATCAAATTGATCCCTGCCAGAGCTGAAAACTGTAATGCTGAAAATGCAAACCCGATGGCACCTATGGAACACCTTACTTTTGGTCAATTTACCAGGACAGACGGACGCTCCAGCCAGACGGACTTGTGGGGTGATAGCATTGTGTTCCCATTATCCCTTTTTCTAAAGATTCTCTTCTGGGGTGATGTTTTTCTTTTGTGAAAATAGTGGGGTGATGTGTCCTGAAAGGTATGGTCAGAACAGACAGACAGACAGACAGACTCACCATCCGACCAACCGACCAACCACCAAGTGACATGTAGAAGCTCCTGCCAGAGCTTACAAAAACTATTTTGACTCGCAAGTACCGTGCGCACGTGTTCCGGTTAATTTTTTTTTCCAATAAATATCTATCTAATATCCTATCATTAGTTGAAACACAAAAAGTAATCTGGGCACATGTGCAAGGGGGGGGGGGGGCAGACCCACAGAGTCAACACATCGTCTTTGACCTAGGCATAGTGCATTTGGATTGTATTGAATAGCAACTCAATTTTATGATCAAAAATTGGGGTGGGTAGGTCAAACAAATTTGGAAAAGAAAAAAAAAAAAAAAATCGAAATTTAAAAACATTGATACTTTTGAATGGCCTGTATTAGTACACTCTACTTCTAATATGGACCAGGAACAGACAGCCATGTGTGATATATTCATAAAAGCCAGTAGTTAAAGGAAACCAAGTGTCATAAAAATCAGGAATAGACCTAGTCAGCTGAGAATTCTACGATATAAGGAATTCCTACCTCAACCCTGACATAAAGTCCTGGTCTGAAACCTTCATACTGTGTCCTGAGCTCATCGTCAAGATCTTCAAACTCAGCCCGGTTCAGCTGTTATAAACAAAATGATAAAATGCTTCCATTACAACTCTCTGCTCAACATCTAATAATTATGGTGATCATAAGCACTGGTGCTCAAGCACCCAATTGTAGCCGGCGCACGTGGTATGCCGGCGCATAAAATGGAGGTATAGAAAACGGGTATGTAAACTGGACAATTGTCAGCCAAATAATATGCATTCTCACGCACGGGTTGTGCAGGGATTCCATGACTTGTCCATGATTTGTTTTCTTGGAATATCAACTTATAGCTTTAAATTCCTGGAATTTCCAGGATTTGATTATGACAGTGGGAGCCTGATACTGTGCATTCCTACCTGTGCTAGCCTTTCGCCAAGGCCATCGTGGCTTAATTTGTTGGCATTAGACAAAGCAGCGCAGCCGCGAAGCGACTGGAGCGGGAGACCACACACGCGAGTGGCGAAGCCATGAGGGCCTTTTCCAACTTGTCAAGAATTTCTTATGTTTTTCTTTATAATCTCAATTTTTGCTACCCCAAAAGGGTAGCAAAATTCCAACCAATCATGGCGCGCGTGGCTTCTACCCAGATGCTTGCACAAAATTTAAAAACAAAATATGCGAGTCTAGTTTTCCACAATCAGCCATCTGTGTCTTTTTTTAATGTTACTTATAAAAGTATTTCAAGAAATTATTTGAGTGTATGAACTTATTTTTTTCATATGAACTAATAGTTATTTCCTCTTACGTTTTCCATTACTACCCTTCTTTCACAAATGGAAGCAACTAGGCAAAATCCGCATTGTGATTGGTTAACCTTTCAGCACTCTACTTATTTGCATAAAAAATATGAATAATTCAACACAATCAAGTTGGGAAAGGCCTCGTGGCTTTGCCACTCATCCGTGCTGACTTAATCTTTGCTCCAGTCGCTTCGTGTTTTCGCAGCTCCACCGCTGTCAGCCACGATGGCCTTGGCGAAAGGCTATACCTGTGCCTGATCAGCCATCTGTGCCTTCAGGTCATCAAAGTAGTCCCCATCTCCCTTGCCATCATAGTCCAGGTCAAATGCTTGTTTCAGTTTCCTCTTGTTCTCCAAACGTTTCTCCTTCTCACTCTTTCCATTTTCCTCCTTAGATTTCATCTTCATATCTTCATAATTGCTGTCATCATCTTCATCATTGTCACTGATACTGTCATCCGCAAAGTGTACTTCTGTGGGTTGTGTCTTTCCTCGGTGAACCTCACCAGTTTCCAAGTCTTCAAAGTCGCCGTACAGCTCATCTGACACAGGACAGATGGAAACAAACTCATTAAAATCAATATCTTAATCAAATAAAGCAGCAAATCAAGTTTTCTTCCAACAACTGTCTCAAATTCCAAAGTTGTAACACAAGCTTGTACACTTCAAATATCCACACAAAATCCAGTAACAAAACTGTCCTACAACCTGTCATCTGTGATGTCAGACCTGGCACTTGCTGATGAGGAAACATGTACATGTTGGGTTTAGATCCTTTGCAATGTAGCAATCTTTGAGGTGCGTGCTTTTGTTGCACAGGGCACTCACAGTGACTGAATATCAATAACAACATAAAACACCTCCAACATGGCTGCTGAATGGAAAGGGTCTATTCTGTAAACAAATGTAACAAGTTCCACAAAGTAACTGAAATAAACTGTTATGATTTTCAGACTTAGCTGTTCCAAGCCCAACTTTGTTGAATCCATCCAAAAGACCCGCAACATTTTCTTGCGGGGCTCTAGCGTCGCTGCGGAAACACGTACCGCTATTATTTTTATATCATTTTAAAGCTTGGCATCTTAACTTAATCACAGTAAGTATTGTTTTGATTTTAAAAAGGCTTCCAATTTGTGTTCAAATAAAAGCATGTCAACTCAACCATTTTAAGAAAAATCAATCATGCACATTTTTTCTAACGTGGAAAAGCTTCATCATAAGCATGATGTGACGATCTCGTTGCCTTTTACAGTCGGCTCCTGTTATAGCGAAAACCACGGGACCGGCCAAAATGTTTGTTGTATCCGACTTTCGTAATACATGTACTTTCTGTGTTACCTTTCTTTTCAATCCAAAAAGACTACACCTTAAATAAATTCACAATATTGTTCTTCATTTCAAGTTCAATGTGTTTTTGATATAAATCAACTGTTTTTTGTTTAGTTATTTCAACAGCTTTTTGACTCGAGTTTGCATCTGATGTACCGCATCATTGATTTCCCTTGAAATCGGTTGAGTTTGTTTTGACATGCTTTTATTTGAACAAAAATAATTTTAAACTCTTTTAAATATCAAACCAATACTCACCAGGGATAAAGTTCAGATTCCAAGCTTTAAAATGGTATATAAAATAATGGCGGTACATGTTTCCGCGCTGACGCTAGAGCCTCGCAAAAAAAAAGTTGCATGTATTTTTGGACGCGCTGTATTATGGTAGATTCAGGCCTGTACTACTGCAGCCCAGCCACGGCACTTGAAGCCCAAAACTAAATAAAGAGTGTGCCTGTATGATATCACACATAGTCGGACTTTGGTGGATACAAGAAGATTCAAGGAATAGGTGACTGTGTACCGTCTTGGTCTAGGAGCATTTTAGCATCATCTTCCTTCTCCCACTGTCCAGTCACAAAACAGTCACGGATCAGCTCCTTCATCTGATTAAGGAAAAAACAATACAGATACATGGAGTAATTTCAAGGACATAAACTGCACTTGATAATGCTTCTTCATTTAGACAGAAATATATCAAGAGAGTAAGAAGAAATTATGCAATTTGACTTCAAGCCTATGTGTTATCTTAACACCAGGCTTTAGGCTTCATTGCTGGCTTCAGAATCATTTAGAGACCTTTGATACCCAAACCCATTGGGAATACAGTCGACTCCCGTTATAACGAGGTCCGATGGACTTTCACAATACTGTCGTTATAGCCGGAACCTCGCTAAAACCGGAGCGCAGTTTTCCCCATTCGTTGTGCACAAGGTACGGTACATGTGCGCGCGTGTTTTAATCGTGTAACGCACGTCCAAAGACATGAAAAGATGGTCGTTTGTTGGTATGAACGTCCGTTATTAACGTATATTAAATATTTAACTGATGGTGATGAATAAATGAAATAAATAAAATACCTTTAAGGGAACATTGTTTAATATTTGAGGACCTGAATCCCGAGGAAAAGGCATCATCGCTGAGAAGAATCAGGCAAGTAGGTCACTCGCACAAATCGTGCCGAGTGACATTTTGCTTTCATTTTGCATTTGCTGGAATAGGGCAAGAGAGGGCGCCAATACATGTATTACTTCCGGATTTTAGTGACTCCTGATCCTTAGATGTGGAACTTTACTTTTTGTTGTTGACTTTTTAGAGCAGTTGGGTATTATTGTTTCTGAAGGGATTCTTTGAAAGTGTAATTATTTCAGTTAACTATAGTGCACATTCGTGCCAATTGACATTTTGCTTTCGTTTTGCATTTGCTGGAATCGGGCAAGAGAGGGCGCTAATATTACTTCCGGGTTTAAGTGTCTCCATGTGTAATTGAACTTTGACTTTTCGTAGCAATTGGTGATGATTGTTTCTCTGGAGGGATTCTTTTAAGTTAATAATAATAAATAAACAAAAGTAATAATTTCGGATTAACATTTGTACAATGTATATGTGGTGGGGCGTTTGAAGATCTTGGAAACCTGTTTTCATTGGGATTGTTTTATCGGCGGGGCCGGAGGGGTTCTTTATTTGTTTTAAGATTTATATTTTTTTATTCTTCAGATTAACCTTTTTTTTTGGGGGGGGGGATTTTTTTTACCGTTCAAGACAGACTGAATTTTGGAAGTTGTGGTGGCTCTGAAAAGAGCCGTTTGTTTTATGATACCAACAATAGGGAGCAATTACGCACCCCGGCGATGTTCAGGTGACAGTGCTAAGGCTATTCTTTACAATGTTAACACTTATCTCCTGAGCGCCCCCTATTGTCCGTTTGTAATAATCTAGAAACGTGGTACCGCAGTCGTAAGCAAACTTCAAACCCTGGTCATGCTAAGGGAAACCGCAGCGGGGGATTAGCGACTAGTCCACTGCGCTGATTATCACAGTCCCATGGAATTTATTTATAAAGATCGGCGAGATGAAATAACGTTGGGTTGAAGTCTTTACAAAGGTACATTGATGGGTGAAGCTTAAGTGTGTTGCTTGAATTGAAAGACGGGAGCATGATACCCGTTTCGGGACAAAAAGGTCTGTCGTTGACAAGCTGCAATGCCCGTAGTTTTGAAAAGATGTCGTTGTAAATGGGTTGAGAACAATGCTTTCCTCGCATTGGGTCGGCAAAATCGTCGTAATAGCCGAAGTCTCGTTATGTCCGTGCACGTAATAACCAAATATTGCCCCATAGTAATGTACACAAATTGATCGGGACTGGGAGAATGTGCTCGTTACATCCGGGTTATCGTTATGACCGAGCTCGTTATAACGGGAGTCGACTGTACATGGCCTTATATCATGATGTGATGGCCCTGAAGCAGTGCACAAAACAATTAAGAGCCGAAGTCCCGGGATCACAGGCCTAAAATCTTCAAACGTTGAAGCCAAAGATTAGGCTAAGCTTTCTAAATTCCCCTTTGCCTCAATTTGTTCTCACTGCATAACTTTTGACACCAAATAAAAACAGACATGTGAAAATTCAGGCAAACGGTCTTAGGCAGAGTCAGTTTAGTGATACCTATTGGATAATGTTTCTCAAGCTAATCTAAATTGTATGTATGCAAGTTTGATAGTTATATTTCTTCCCACCTCTTCTGTGGTCCAGTCCCTGACATGTTCCACAATGAAGGAAGAGCAGTCCAGGTCGTTCATCTCTCGTCTGGTTTTGCTCTTGGAGTCCTTGTCCGGCTTGCTCACCTTGAACAGACCTCCAAGATTATCATCTTCTTTGTCTTCATCCTGATCCTCTTCATTATGGCTGCCTCCTTCACAATTGAACAAATGAGAAGAATATTGACCCTAACTCATTGACAATGTTGGATAGGAACCTTCCTGAATCCTCCATTCTCCCCCACTGGGCAGGCATGAAGTAGACTTGTTGTAATAACTTTCAAGAGGCATCAAGCCAAAATCAATCAATGATGGCTAGGGTCTACCTTCCTGTATTCTGGAATTCTCAAAACCTCCCGGTGGATTATGAAGGATCTGAAAACTGTTAGAATTCTGCTGATCTTTAACAATCAACTGACCAAGAACATTGTTGCAAACTATAACTAAGACCTTTGTTTACTTTGTTCAGGTTATTTAAAGTCTCAGATTTATTCTTTAAATTCTGTTCAAGCAGGTCACTTTTTTGAGGTCTGAAGTAATTTAGGACACATAACATTAAAAAGTCTCATCCATACAATTCTCAATTTTATACGTTTAGGTTTCAGATCCTTCATTAGATCAGAAACAAAGGATGGAAACAACATATGACCTATAGATTATAAACATGCATTGCTTGAACTGATAAACATTCTGTTCACAACATCAAAGTTACAATAAGGCCCCCCCAAAAAAGTCTCCGGTTTCTGGTATGGAGCTTGTCCAAAAAGTGGTGCGGCGACGCGGCTTTTTTTTTTTTTTTACCTGACTTTTTTGCTTCAAATGTCGGCTGATGACCGCAAATGGTGCCCGACTAAACTTAGTGAAAATATATAAGAGTCCAGAGAGGCCACATAAAGCTTATTCTCGATCATAACCCCATCTAAAAACACGTTAAGATTGTGCAGCAGCAGAATTCCAGTCAAACCAGTGAGTTTGGCGGTTTTGAGACATCATCTTTTATTGAAAAAAAACCTTTTTCATTTTGCCGACGCGCATGGCTACGGCGACGCGCGCATACCAGAAACCGGAGACTTTTTTTTTTGGCCTAATGCACACATCTAAGAAAAAGGCTAAAAGACCCACCACTCCCATAGACAAGCTTTCGAAGGTTGGGCGTGCTACTCTGCTGCTTCAGAAATGACTGCGATGCCTTTTCCAACAAGTTCTCCTTCCACTTCAGATGACCTGAATACAACAAAGATATTATGGATAAAACTGTTGATGAAAGTGTACAGCCTAGCAATCAGCACCTGGTGATGACAGTGAAGCCTACGGTGCATGGACTTCATTGTACAGAAAATATTTTAGCTACTGTTCAGATTTTGTAATGCGCATTTGAACATTATATGGTATACGCGCATAATAAATGCAATTTTTATTATTACAGAATGAGTCAATGTCAACAGAGCTCATTTTGAATTACAAGCCCTTAAACAAATCTTGCACAAATGGATATCAACAGGAATTGTCATCTCTTCAACCCACATGATGTCCATATACATCATAATGTTAAAAAATGTGATCAACTAAGTATGCTCTGTGTCACACATATGGAAAATAAATAGTGAAAATTGTCTTTCACACTCATATTGTGGAATACAGTCACAAATTTAATTTCGTCAACTCGGGTGAAATGTTAATACACACAATATGAAGGAGAACTTCAGAAGTATGGTTCTGAGAAGAACCATCGATACAGACAATGACAGTTTGGTTAGTATACAAATAATGAATGTTTGTGAGTGCAATGGTAAGAATAATTTCATGAGGTGACAGATGAAATGTTCCATTTCACGAGGCGAAGCCGAGTGGAATGGAACATTTCATCTGTCACCGAATGAAATTATTCTTTCCATTGCACGAACGCGAAACATTCATTATTTGTTTTATATCACACCTGAATAAATCCTTGTCATCTGATTGGCTGACTTTTAATAGCCAATTTATTCAGGTTAAAAACTGTTTAAACGTTCGACAAGTTCATCATATTTTATTAATGCAAACTGTTCAACAGGTTGAGAACAATCATATTCAATTTATCTCGATTTAAAACAGCGCCACTACCAGCAGCAGTGACACCGTGCAATGGAAGTTCTATTCACCGTGCAATAGAACTTCCATTGCACTGTGCGCTGCGCGCCACGCGTTGGTACGAATAATTCAATGGCATGTGATCAACGATCCACCAATCAGGTGACGGGGATTTATTCAGGTGTTGTATAATACGCTCTAAACATCACAAGGTTCTTCTCTGGACCACACTTCTCTTTTACACAGTTGCTGACTACATGAGGTGTATCTGCAATCTTTGCCCAAGTACTGCAGCAGTGCACTCACCTGATCCAAACATAGAATCCTCTCCTCCATCATCAGCCCTGTCCTCATCTTGGTCAAGACTGGCTGCCTCCTGCCATCCTTCATTCTCCTCATAGTCATCTTCATCATCCCCCTCATTATCATCATCATCTTCTTCGTCATGACTGTTCTCTTCGTCTTGATTGCTCATTTCCTCTGATGAATCACCTCCCTTGTTTTCAATGCTTTGACTGTCTAGGTGGTTGTCTTTGATTTTGGGCTTTGTGACATCCTTCTGTTTAGTTCTTTCCTTCTTTGAACCCGATTTGATGGAGAGGTTTTTGGTTTGTGAATGTGGTGTAGAGCTGCTCTTGGTTCTGCTTGTTCTGAAAAGTTGCATCTGTGACTCACTGACATGAAAGTTATCATCATCATCAGCTTCATCATCTTCTTCTTCGTCTTCCATGCTGTCATCAGTATCATTTCCTACATCTTCATCATCACCTTCAATGTTGATTTCCTCATCATCATCATTGTCCTCATCCTCCCCGTCATCTTCTTCCTTTTTTCCTCTGTGTCTCATCTTTGCTGTTCTCCCGTCTCCCTCCTTTGTTTTTTCTGTCCCCCACTGAGATGAGTTTCCCATGATTGTCTCTCGCCTTGATGAAGATTTCTTGCTCCATGGTAGCACTTCTTGTTGTAGTTCAAGTTCATCTTCACTATCAGCAAAGGCAACATCCCCAAAATCCTACAGACATACGTATTAAACAAATCATAAAATGTGGTGAGGCTTTGCATGGTGGATGGTACGAAAGAGAGGTCTGCAGATACACCAGAGAGACGTATGGTGTTATCCCTTTGTCTCAGAATTACTTTTATTTTTTTCCATTGGTTATTTTATATCGTTTATCCACAAACTTACCCAAGTCAAAAATATTGTATCAAGATTTTTTTTAATGCAAATTGTCCATCACAAGGTCAAAGGCCACTCAAGGTGTGGGCTACTGAGGAAAGTGTGGAAGAACCAGCACCTCACACTGAAACAAGACAAGATAATCTAATCTCTGCACAGTATGAATAGGGTTGGGATGGGTAACTAGTCCAATACAAAGCATAAATAATGCCTCTACCCATATCAAAAGAAGTAATTAGAAGTGTTAATGACTTTTTTTGGGATAATTGTAAATTTATCCGAGTATAAAACACTGGAGAACTTCAAAGAATTCTGAGCATTATCATGAGGGGGTGTCAATAAATAAGGTGATGACAATGTTTTGAACTTCTAGATGATATCACAAAGAGGTACCTGAAATCAAATACTAATTCAACTTCTCATGGAGTCTGCTTGTGAGAAGACACATTTAGATACCTGTTTGAACTTTTTCCTGCAATGTTCTTGTAAATCCAGCTTGGAATCAGGTGCTTGTCTGGAATCCTCATTGCTATCATCATCTTCATCTTCTTCGATTCCACTTTCTTCATCATCGTCATCATCCTTGACAAATGAAGCATTGTTAGAGGATGTTTTAGTTTTAATCATAAGTAAGGCGAGTGACAATGCCCTTCGCATTGCTTAATGAAGCAGTGATTTCAATATAAAACAAACTGGTGATCAACTTTATTTATTTCTGATTTGTGCACATGTTGACCGTATATCAGAAACAACGTGGCAGTTTGGTTATTCCTAGATAATGGATGAGTCTTTGAAATAGTTAACCACCAAAGACATGGCTCTTTCCCTGAAGATGGGACATGTTTTGTGACAGTTCAACACATTCAAACATGAAGCCTACCTAATTTGTGTTTGGAAAAACTGATGTGAAGTAAATGTAAACCTTACCCGAGTCCTTCAACTCCACCCCTTTGTATCAAGCCCCATGTAAAACAACATTGACAGTGCTTGACCTTCCTTAAGGAAACCTTTTGATGGACTTTGAAGGCAGGAGAGGGCTAGACTTAATATTCACATGTCATAAGGAAACAGTGCTTTTACACACCTACACACAACCAGACGTGAATTTCTATATGCCCAAGGACAATGCTTTGTGTTTCCCTTTGTCCCTGTAATATAAGACTTTCCCATAGACTACGCACATAACCGTATGATCGAGGATCATTTTCAACAAAAGACCCAGCGCTCGAGGACTGAAAGGATCATTTGTTCTCCCTCTGTGTGTCCGTCCTCTATCATAAAGCCATACAAATACACACATACTTGTTCCGAAGTTGTGGGGACTACACACAAGTTGTCCCATGGGGACCAAAGATGCTTAGGAGACAGCAGAAAGTCCCCATAACTTGGTCCTAATTTGCTTAACAATGAAAACTTCCCCATAACGCGGTGACGGCCCGCCCATCCAGACTTGTTTTACATACACTCTGTGGACAATCCTTTGTTCTCATGTAGTTAAGAAATGACATGTTGAAAAATGCTGCCACTTCCAATAATGGAATTTTTGACCTTGATTTCCTTCAATATTCTACTTTGTTTTGTTATTGATAACTCTCACCCAAAAATGCTTGTAACACTGTTTTTCAGAAAGTGGAAAACACTGTGTGGACCTGTGTAAGTCCACATAATGTCTTGAGTGCCTGCATTGTATGGACATCCACACAGTGACTGCAATAGACTTTATTCACGAGTCGGTCACATTAAATAGAAAACGAGGTTATGTTTTGGAATTTGCAAGTAGAAATGAAAGCAATGAAATAAAATTCATTACAAATTAATACCAGTCTGCTCCGATGAATAATACAAAATTTATAATTAGAATTACCCTAATGTTTTAAGCCTCATTTAAAAGGTGAATAGGGTCCATGCTTCGACACAAACACACAAAACCTTGCATACCTCTTCTATACTATCATTTGCTCCATCTCCACCCTCAACAAATACAGCCCGCCTCCTGATGCGGCCGTCTTGGGTTGCCACGGTTTCCTCAGTCGGCATAGTAATTGTTTGCGGCTCATTGGTAACCTCATTTGATGTCATGGGTGTTGAACCTTGGAATAATGCCAGCTTGCTGGCAGCCATCTTGGTATCCAAGGTATGCTGGGCAGTGATCAGGCCTGAGACAAGCTCATTGGTCGGTTTGTCTTCCTCCTGGTGACATGAATATGCATAGAATGTCAGAATACTGCCAACAATTATGTAAGTTCAAGTAATGATTTTATTAAAGATCAGTAAGCACAATAAGTCTCTTGAGACCAAAAGTAAAAAAATCTGCAATCTGCAATTTGTTTTAATGGAAATATCATGCCCCCAAAAAGTTGAAGAATGGATACTATGTAACATTACTGTAATATTAGTGCGTTGAATTTTACTGTATCCTTGTAGGAAGTTTTTTGCTGTTGTAGTCAATCATAGACCAGGTTTTGGTCAGTCATGTTTTGTCATGAGGGTGACAACTTTCATTAGTTGTGTTATTGTGTGTCTATTCCATTCTACAGGGTGTATCAAAAAAAAGTATACACTTAGAGAAATGTATCTAAAAAGGATGTTTTATAATTTTTCAAAAAATTTTCACTAAATATTGATGGACCAAGGTCTCACGCTTTAATTGCCACCATGTCAATCTTCAGCTGTTCCGCATGAGTGAACACTAGCTATTTACTTTCACCAGATTTCAATTGGCTTGCGCACAAAAGTGAAATGGTTAAAACATAATCAAACATCATGGTAGGGAAGTTTAGGCATGTGCTTTGTTGCTCACAAATTTTCAAGAAAATTGGATTAACCCTTAGTCCTCCACAGGCCCACCAAGTTTGGACTCAAGTTGCGCCTTCCTCAAAACATTAACAACAGCATGACCTTACAAGTCAATGATTAGGCCTAATGGTACTCGTCATGAGGGAATGCAACGTTTGCACTTCATGCATGCACGATTCAGTCTTCGAAGTGGCCACCATTTCTTTGCACACAAGACTTCTGCCCTCCTCAGCATGTCAATGATTTTCGTCATTATCGTCCTGGCAGAAGAAATGGACAATTTAGGCGTGCCTGGTGGGCGCAAGATGGGGCACCACCGCACAAGAGGAGGATCGTGACTGAACGTCTCACTGAATTGTTTGGCGATCGCTTCATCGCATTAAAACCGGCCCGTCGAGTGGCCCCCAAGATCGCCCGATCTTACCCCATACTGGACTTTTTCCTGTGAGGCCATGTTAAGTCTAAGGTGTACACCACTCCACCAAGAGACCTGGATGACCTGCAAGAACGTGTTACTGCCGAAGTTGCTGTTGTGAGGCAGGATGCCGCAATGATTAGGTGCGCAGTTTATGACATGCTGAGGAGGGCAGAAGTCTGTGTGCAAAGAAATGGTGGCCACGTCGAAGACTGAATCGTGCATGCATGAAGTGCAAACGTTGCATTCCCTCATGACGGTTACCATTAGGCCTAATCATTGACTTGTAAGGTCATGCTGTTGTTAATGTTTTGAGGAAGGCGCAACTTGAGTCCAAACTTGGTGGGCCTGTGGAGGACTAAGGGTTAATCCAATTTTCATGAAAGTTTGTGAGCAAAAAAGCACATGCCTAAACTTCCCTACCACGGTGTTTGATTATGTTTTAACCATTTCACTTTTGTGCGCAAGCCAATTGAAATCTGGTGAAAGTAAATAGCTAGTGTTCACTCATGCGGAACAGCTGAAGATTGACATGGTGGCAAATGAAGCGTAAGACCTTGGTCCATCAATATTTAGTGACAGATTTTTGAAAATTTATAAAACATCCTTTTTTGATACATTTCTCTAAGTGTATACTTTTTTTTGATACACCCTGTATAGGCACATGCACACCAGTGCACAATGCATCCCTCAATGTCTCATCCATACTTACTGCACGGAGTTCACACCTACCAGAGTGGTTTCACTGTGTGGACGATTACTCCCCAAGTCAATGTACACCACATCTTTATCATAGATGATGCCACCAACACCAGACATGGGTGCATAGATCAGGCGTTCTTTCTCATTCAGAGAGCGTTTCTTCTCCTTGTCAGGAAGTGGGCAAGGGTCAGGCAGGAAAGAGATGTCTTTGGTTGGGAAGTCACCGCAGCCTGAGAATGCAAGAGAGTTTAGAATCAGTTTATCATAGGTCAATCACGATTCAATCACACTACAATCAGTCTCAAGTCAAATCACAAATGAACTGAGGTACAAAGCATTCCTTTGCTACCATGGATCCCCCGTTTTGTTTAATACCTGACTCATGACTGGACTTGAGACTAGATTTGTGATCGACTTAGATCAATGAGAGGGGATACACATTTACTGAAGCACACCTCACTTCTATTCAAACGCTGCAGATTGTACAAAATTCTCACATGTTGAGCAAGTGTTAAATGCAGTACAGATTACTTCTGTGCTGAGAATCCGTGCTGAAGATAACCCTTCAATGGTGACAAATATATATGACTGAGACCTGAATGCCAGTACCACCATGTGCTCACTTGCAAAGAACAATATGTTTACTTCATATACCCAAGTTGTGTGCACACAAAAGTGCTGACCACAAGTCACTGGCCATACAAAATGTATCCAATGAGAACTCAAAGAAGTTAGAAGCATCCTTTGCCAGGGCGATGGGGACAAATGAATTCACCAATGTGGTGTTTTAAGGGAGTAAATATCGTACCTGGTATGTGTATGCTACAACCTTTCTTCATTGGTGTACCGCGCATGTAGCCATACAAGCTGACGGTTCGGTCACATTTGGGATTCTGCCGACACAGCTCTGGATCCGTCAAATCTTCCATTCTGACCATGATAATAAACAAGACAAAAAGCACAATTCTAGGGTCAAGAGGGCTACTCCCAAAATGGAAGGGCTGCTGTTGGCAGTGCATATGTAGCCTGAACACAGCTTCAACATTTCTTACTCAGATACAGAGTTTGAGAAAGTCCAGTGTATCATTATCCTTTTAACCTTTGATGCACACAGTGTTCTGCCTCTAGGCATACTTGGAAGGCGGCATCAGCAAGGTGCTTATTAGTCACTAGTATGATTTCAGAAGTTTTGGGGTCCTCATTTGTGACCTGTTGCCACAAAATGAGCTTCAAGTCGGAAATTGCCATTTTGCAGTACAGTGGGGCAAAGCCAAAATTTGAAGGATGGTCAATTTTTTTGTTTCCAAGTGAACCTTGATCTGTAAGTCGATTTACCTTTCTCCAATTGTTTTGTTTTGTCAAACATCTTTAAAACCTATTTTCATCCCGTTTTATTAGTTGACTGTTCATTCACTGTAACCAACTGCAGGATCTTTCAATGCCATTTTCTCAAGAATCAGTTGTTCAACTTCAAGTTAAGTTGGTATTCTATATTTCAACTACTCTAGTCAGTATCCCTAAACATTATATATCACTGGAAAGCTCTTGCTGTGCAGAATCTAAATAAATAAATTTCTCAATTCTTAAAAAGTCTGACTGTAAGCTCATTTTGTGATGACAGGTCACAGTTACATAAATGAGCTCTGCTCTCCAGTCTTGTGCAAATTATTCTTCTCTACCTACACTGAACCTAGAAAAAAAAATCAACATTCATGTGTATCTAGGAGACAAGGGTTCTACATGTTTTTTTTATTGTATTTTTGTTGAAGAGGCTTGCATTTAAGTATCTGTGAGTATTGAGAGTTTTACAAACATTATGGAAGCGTTTGTGATGTGGTATCCCTATAAACTCTGATTTGTTGATTGGGCTGATCCACGATAAACCTTTGTGCTTGTATTACTTCTTCTTTTTTGTTTTGTTTTTCTTCCATATAATACTCTCTGCAACTTTTCTTCAATGGTGCACAACATGAATTTGAAACTTAAATACATCGTAAAAATCCACCCTGATCCTGAGGTGTTCATGTGACTGCGATGTCATGATGAGGTCAACTAAATTAAGGGCTATTTTAGTTCAAAATGTGACCAACTTCTTTTTCTTCCACCTCCTAAACAAATGAACAATCATATTCATATTTTGTGATCTGATAGTCCATTCCTAGCTAAACATTGTTTTGTGTAAGGTGAAGTCATATCACCTTTACTTCTGGGGTTAACGGAAGTCAATGTACATGAGGTGAATTTTAAATACCAACAGATAGAAGCGTAAAAATCAAACCACACAAACTTCTTCCCAATGCTTCAAACGAGTGAAGATAAATTCGGGTGAAAATGTTTGACTTTGGCAATCTTCTGCATTTGAGAATTTAGTCTGATCACAGTGCAAGTAATGAACTGCAGTCATTATGACAAAGCAGTATCTGGAGTATAATTAAAACACAGAGCCCTGTTCATGTGTTGACCTTTTTTCCCTAGGAGTTTGTGAATATCAAAGTATAAATTTGTTGCTTTAATTCATGAGGAAAAAACAAATCCAAAACCTGAAAATCTTCTACTGATGGATGCTGTGAGGTATTTTGCGGTACAGTAATCAATCCAGGAAACACACCTGTCTGCTAAGACATACGGATGAGTGGTGCGCCAGACCAGCGGACGGAACTTCATGACTGATATGAACCGGCCCAGGTTGAGAATCTCTCTGTTCTGGTAGTCACCATGTACCATACCAGACAAGTAGAAGAGTTTGGCACCCTAGGAGAGAAAAAACAGCCAGGTGGGTGAGTTTGGGTCAGGGTACCTGACCATTGCAAGCAATGGGCTCTGTGCATGAGGGACACCTGTGCACTATTTGAGCCTCTGCCCATTGCCAGGTGCATTCCTCATGTGTGCATTCCTCACGTGTGCGTTCCTCACGTGTGCATTCCTCATGTGTGCATTCCTCACGTGTGCATTCCTCATGTGTGCATTCCTCACGTGTGCATTCCTCATGTGTGCATTCCTCACGTGTGCATTCCTCATGTGTGCATTCCTCATGTGTGCATTCCTCACGTGTGCATTCCTCATGTGTGCATTCCTCACGTGTGCATTCCTCATGTGTGCATTCCTCACGTGTGCATTCCTCACGTGTGCATTCCTCACGTGTGCATTCCTCATGTGTAACCCAAGTAACCAAATGAGTTACAAGTAACCAGAATGATAGGGTTTGTTTTGTTTTTCTTCCAATTACACAATTGTGAAAAGTAGGCACAATCATCATTGTCAACCACATAACATAAATCTCCACAAGTTTTAGATAATCTTGGAATACGTATTTATTGTCTTAAAAAAACAACAAACGTAAGACTTTAAATGAAATTGATAAGGGGCAACAGTACCTGATAGATCTCTGTCCAGAATCGATGTTTGAGGCGTTTCTTGGTTTTCTGTAATGCCTTGTTATTCTTCATCAGGTCTAGGTGAGTCAAGACACCCATGATGCGAGGGAATCCGTGGACCTGTACAATATTCAAGAACTCAAACGTCTCCATCTCAAAACCAAAACTGGCATCCACAAGCAGCAGAACCTGTGTGCAGAAGCAAGGTATACAATGGAGAGGTATTACACATACATGTATGCTATTCAGCGAGGGACCAAATGCATGCAACTACTGAACAGGATTTGGCTGAGCAGAAATGGGTTACCAAAAAATGCCATGTGATTTCAACTGCTCATGGCTAGTTCATGGCTGAATGTTGCTTGGCACATCAATTATCTAAGGAATGTTTTATACTTCAGAGTCCCATACATGCCAGTTTGGGTTTTGCAAACCAGAGCATTAATAAAAAGGCCCTTCCAATTTAATCTTTGATTTTGTTGAAATCAGAGGGTATAATGTTTGACCATTGTATATTTTGTTTGCTTCGTCAAGGAAATATGAATAAGCCAGGGTCTTCCAGGAGAGATACCTACATGTACACCCTGTTGGGGATATTCTTGTATGGGGTCAAAAAGTCATAGTATACAAATAATGAATGTTTATGAGTTCAATGGTGAGACATTTTCATGAGCTGAAAGATTGAATGTTCCATTCAACGAATGAACATATTCTCACCATTGCATGAATGCAAATTAATTGTTTTATATAACATCCAAGTAGATCTTTGTCATTCGATTGGAGGATAAAACTTTAAGAACAAACAAAACTCACAAAATTGTATCATATCCATTACTTTTTTTCAGCTTGTTCAAGGCTAACAATTGGTTTAAAAGTCAAATCATTGACAATAATGAAAATTAACGTAAGTTCTTAAAACAATGCACAAAATCATCAAGGCAACTGCATCAACTTCAAAGGCAAGTTTTTTAACTGCTATGACGCATGCTATGGTCTAAATAGCACAAAGATTGCATAGCGCCGGGCCGCGGCTGCGCGCATCTTGGCATTCGCGCGGTGTGCAATAGATCAAAAGCGATGGGATGAAATTGCACTGTGAATTGAACCAAAAATGCACGGTTATGACGTAGGCCGTGCAATGGTTCAATTAATGAATGCCGCTTGATCTACAATCCTCCAATCAAATGACAAGGATTTACTTGGGTGTTATATAAATGTGGACAAACTGTTGAATAATCATTATTACAACCCTCCATTATCCTTCATCAGATGTTTGAGAAGTTTTGTAGCATTGAGGAAGATAGCACTAAGGCTTGTCCATTATCAGGTGACATGACCTTGACAAATCAAGTAGAAAGAGTGTGGCATAGGCTTCCAGCATAATGTAGGAGTTGGGAGGATTCAGGAAGGTTCCATACAAAGCTTCCCAGGGAGCTATGAGAAGGTTTGGAACTTGTTTCTCAACAAAAGTAAAAGAAAGAAAATGAAGCTTGACTAACCAGGTCAGCAACCTTTGCTAGGTCTATCATGCAGCTAATGTCATTGTTACACTCAATGAAGGTTAATCGTCTCTTCTTTCCTGTATGACAACAAAGATAACATCATAAAAAGATAATATGAATGTGTCAGAAATCCATGGGGACCATGGGCAAACAAAGGTCTTCCAAGCCAGTTGCCTTTACAATTTTTTTGGACAAATATATTTGCATGAGGAATGGGTACGCTTCTGTTGTGTTCACTTGCTGGTGATGTGAAGGGCTACTGAAATAGCCAACACATATCCCTAACAGTCCTGAATCCTCCAATTTCAATACGATTTTGCATACCCCTAGGGAGTTAGGGTTAGTGTTCATGTATGCTACGGGCTGATGACAAATGTGAGGCGTTCTGGCAAAGCGAGACAGAACTGGGCACAGGCCATAGTGGAAAAATATGCAAAAACCGAATGGGGGTGATTTTTTTTTTATTTTTTTTTCTTCAGATTTCTTGATATTTGTAATCTTTGATATGTTAACTGCACATAGTGTGAAGAAACAGTATAAAATCGTAGAATGAAGAAACACAATTGTCATCTTTCATATTCACAAATACAAAACTGGAAACTTTAAATTCCTTTTTCTCAGTATTTTACTTTTTTGACATGTCGACAAATACAAACTTTAAACAGCCATAACTTGTCAACAGAAGATACGATTGAAGCGCAGCAAACAGCATTTTATTCTCTTTCCTGATATTTGCAAACTCTAAATTCAACCTCTTCCCACTTCTGCCTCATTTTGCCACAATGCCTCACAACTAACAGTCTTGAATTGGGCGTGAACTTCTAACTGTGGTATTTCAAAAGGAAGATGATGCACACTATTTCAAAGCATAATTCCACAAATTTCGCCTCAGTGGAGTCAAGAAGCAAACTGTTGAGTCTGTGTTTTGGTTACAAAATATTCTACAATCAAAACAATATTGACATTTGGTTACTTCTGATCAACTGTCAAAGTATTCACGATTGCATATTAGTGATTGGTAGTGGATTGTGGCTTGCTGGCGCTGCATGCCATTTGTTTCACAGTAGTGCATCCTAACATGACTTACTTTGATTCACTATAACTAGCATATTACAAATCTGGAAGGCTAAGTTAAAGATTTCCCATCCTTCATCATATCAGCCATGAAAATGTGGATTACGTGAAAGGGCAACACATGGATCATGCCCAATGCTAATTACAAGCAGGCTTAAAAGTTCATCATAGTCTTTCATTAACATGTAGACAAATCTCACCTGAAACCAGAGTAACTGGTCCCTGTATGGCAGACAGATTCTGCTTGGTGAAACTCTTGACCAAGCATCGAATCAGGGTGCTTTTGCCAACCTTGGGTGGCCCAACGACTGCAATCACAATAGGAGGTGGCTCCAGGGGAGTGCGGTCTACCACTGGGATATGATGCTTCTTGGTCTTGATATCTAAGGTCCTGAACAAAACCAACAAGATCATTAATAAAGTCTGAACAAATAATTCAAAGTCACTCATCTTAATGCTTGATTTAGCAACATGCCGTGGCCACTTCATGTATCGGTATGTATCTTTTTGTTGGTGCTATCAGTTGCACAAGAAACGAATGTGTCTTTTTTTCTTTTATGCAGCGTGTATCACAATAATGTACTAATATGTATGAATGCCAATTTGTGGTCATGGTGGTGGGACCAATGCTATGTGCCTACAGTACAACATACTCTGGTTATATATCTACAGAGACTGTGAGTATTTCTGGGTTTGACCCCACTTTCCCCCCAAATGCAATTATTCAAGTTGTGGTGTGTCAGTATTGGATTGATGCAGGATTGATCATCCACACCAGTATTGCTACTTTACTCTTTATCGTGTATGATGTTCAAATGCTGTTATAGAAACAAAATGGCCTGTGATTTGTTAAATGTTGGACTAGGGCGGATCCAGGAAACAAATGTATAAGGGTTCATGGAGTTTATTGGAATTCCCATGGTTTTTCGATACTAATGATGTAATGTGAGGGCAGTTTCCATGATAAGGTTGATACCATACTTGAGGCCATGAGAACCACACCATTACAACTCTCACTCTCAGAAGTCTAACAATTAACATTGACTATTAACCCTTGCAGATCCTTAAAAAGTCCACCATGGAAGCCTGGTTACTACTGCCTTACATGGGGCTCAATGCCCAGCGGAAGTTACAGTGAAAAGAATATTCCACTGGGTTCTTTCACAATGGATGACTTGGTAGGATACATGCACATTCCAAGTACAAGTGCTTAGGGAGTTGATATTCATGGCTGTAAGGATTTGTGGGGTTTTATGGTATCCACTGGAATTATCAGAGTGACCATTACTGATGATGTATTAGGTTTAGTGTCAGCCAAACATGACATGTACAGGGCAATGGCAGTATGGTTTGCTGGGTTTTGATGGAATGGGATAGAAGCATGATACCTCCTGACACTTTGTGCCCTCTTGTTGACTGAATTGATGGCAAATGCTCGAGGGTTCCTCTCCCGCGCTGTCTGCTCCTGCTCATGTTTGTTCTTCTCTTTCTATATTCCTGCTGCACTACAGTAGTTATACCCATGTATTCAAATTCAGCTTCCAAATCAATTTCAATCTCAAGATATGGGTCCTTAAAGTCAGCGATTTATGGGCCAGTCAGTTTCCTCTTTTTTGGCAAAGTTCATTAAAGGGAAGATGCAACATTTGCAAACATCTAAAAACGAAATAATCAAATTATCACGAAATAACTTACTGGATTGTTAGGGAATGACAGTCCAAAGCATCCTGTAAAATTGTGAGCTGCTGGTGTGCTGACATTTTCAAGAAAAATTGTATTTTTCCAACGCTGGTCAGCCGACCAGCGTTGAAGAAAACTGGCTTTTTAAAAAAACTGCTCCTAATTTTTCAAATTTAGTTATTCCGCATTTCGTTTGCAATTAATTACACATCTGGGGTTTTATGGTATCCACTGGAATTATCAGAGTGACCATTACTGATGATGTATTAGGTTTAGTGTCAGCCAAACATGACATGTACAGGGCAATGGCAGTATGGTTTGCTGGGATTTGATGGAATGGGATAGAAGCATGATACCTCCTGACACTTTGTGCCCTCTTGTTGACTGAATTGATGGCAAATGCTCGAGGGTTCCTCTCCCGCGCTGTCTGTTCCTGCTCATGTTTGTTCTTCTCTTTCTTCTTCTTAGCTTTAGGGCCGGACTGGACCTTACGATGTGGTTTGTGATCTGCCTTCTCTGAATCCATGGCTTGAAGTGCAGTACTAAATATTCTTTCTGAAAGTTATAAACATGGATAGAACAGATTTTAGTACCATGTAGCTAGGACGAAGTTTACCAGTACATCTAGACTGGTTCCCAGCCCCTCCACTGTCATTTGGAATGCAATTATATTTGTGGGACAGGAACCAGTCTAGATATTACCATCGCTAGGGACGTGCAGCACTGATTGCTTTCTGTCATTTAAACAAACTAGGAAATAGATTTGTACATATAGCAAAAGATGGAAGTCCTAAAAAGAATGGGACACTGAGACAACCAAGTGTTCAAAAGCCTTATAAATGGCTCTCAAAAACTGGACTTCCTCCGTACTGTGAGTCACTGAGCCACATAGTGAGGTGTGTTAGATTTCCTGCTAGAATTCACTTGCGTTCAGTGAATTTGAAATCTGAACTGTTTTTCCACTTGATATTTATTATGGAAGCAGGGATCAGAATAGCCAATCTCAGGGTGCCTCGATTATTTATGCCGAGTACGACATCCAACAGCTGTTGGGTCAATGGACTGTACTGTGTACGCAGAATGTACTAGTGACCCGATGGCTGTTAGATGTCATACTCTGTTCCCTGACAAAAACAATCTCTTTTCATTAACGTTCATGTACACATGTGAAGCGCACCGTGCCTGGGTAGTATGGCCGTATCCTATGCTGGGAAAAATCACGTGCAGCGATCAGAAGAGCCAATGACAGGGCGCTTCGATTATTTATGCTATGACATCTAAGTACAAGACTTTGTCAACATATTCCTTACAGTTCTCACATGAAAGTATACCCTCTGAGGTAAAAGATAAGCAAAACAATTTGTCTTTTTTTCTGTTTCGAAAGTAGCGTCAGGATGCAACATTCTTTCCCTGTCTTGGTTTTTTAGTGTTTTCTGGTTGTCATCGTCATCGTCTTTTTTTTACCCCTTAATTTCCCTGATAAATCAAAGCCCTGCCCTCTTTCCACAAAATTAAACCTGTTGATAATAAAGAAGGTGTCATTACCAACTGTTCAGATGTGTCAAAAAATTTCAGAATGTCACTTTTTGAGTGTCATTTACTTAGTCAGTTGTTTTGGTTAGTCTTTCAACATGTTCAACCTTAAGTTATATAGCATTAGGAACGGGGGTTCCTACTAAAATGCATCAACAAGCGTCAACAAGCGTCAACGGTCGTCAACAAGCATCAACAAACTTTGTATATGCTTTTGAACATTAAAGGGTCATTCCGTGCCAATTCAACGGGGCCATGGCGCCATATGTCACAGATTTTGTTCAAACTTGGTCAATCGCAAGGAACAAACCGCGAAGGAAAATCGTGATTTCTACCCCAAGAATCTGTTCAAAATTGCAAAATGGGAGTCATTAGAATTGAAAAAAAGTCTGCTTTTGATTGTTTAGTTTTTGACCTCGTGTTTGTATGGCCAGCCGCGCCGCGCGCCCGACAAACGTCATAAACTATGATGCATATTCATTATCTTGCCCAAGCACGCCCGCATAATGCATACATTACAACGCGGCCGCCATTTTGAAATCGCATGGAGGACATTTTCAGGACGATATTTGTGGAAGATGATGACTGAAAGTCGTCTTTTGGCCAGATGGATGAAATATTGGGACCAAAGAACGTTTTTTTCAAAATGGTATGAGTTCCTCTTCGACTAGGTCTAGGAACCTTAACAAGTTAACTTTGGATATTTCTGTCCTGGACGAGAAGATAATCTCGATCAAAATCTGTAGCAAAATCGCTACATCAGAGGGAAAAAAATTCAGTCTGTGGGGAAGCATTGAGCGTCTGGCCGTACTACAGAGCTTGCGATAGTACTGTACGGCCAGACGCAGTCGGGCTAGTACTAGGGGCTAGGCCACCGCGTACTGCGAATATGATCACCATTGTAACGCCCCAACTATCGCATCGGTCCCAACTATAGTTGGGCCTGTCCCAACTATAGTTGGGCCTGTCCCAACTGTAAGTTCCACTGTTGGGCTGGCCCATCTATAGTTGGGACACTCCGATCATTTTATTTTGCGATGTCCCAACTATAGTTTACATTGATGTACAACTATAAAACGTTCCCTACTATGGCAGAGATGGAATTCCATACTATGTACAGCTCTGATACACATCTGACTTTACTGGGGACCACTGAAATTAGCTATTGATGGGGCGAATCTATAGTTGGGCCACCCCAATCTTTTTATTTTGCGGTCCCAACTATAGTGTACATTGTTGTACTATTATAAAACATTCCCTACAACTCTAATACACATCTGACTTTACTTGGGACCAATGAAATTATCTATGGGTGGGGACCATTTGTAGTTGGGCCACCGCAATATTTTTATTTGGCGGTCCCAACTATAGTTTACATTGATGTACGACTATAAAACATTCCCTACAGCTCTGTTACGTGTCCAACTTTACTTGGGACCTTTGACATTAGCTATGGGTGGGGCCCATCTATAGTTGGCTGCCATGGCAATCTTTCAATTTTTGGATCACGTTTGTAAACACATGTGCATTTCAAATGATAATAGGGAGTCGGGAACTAGCGCAGCTTTTATGGCGGATACCAGTTCAAGCTGGTTCCCGATTCCCTTTAACAGTTCGAAATGCAAACAAACGTGACTCATTATCATAATCGATGCGTCGCGCGCGCTCGGTAACGGAATTGCACTCGGGATACGGGGACCATCGAATGTATGCTGGGCATGAAGAAGAAATCGCGTCGTTCAAACATTAAACACAATCGGAAATTTAACGTGTTCAAGATCGCGAGGAGAGCTCTCCGAAATGAACGGAAAATTTCACTTTTTTCCGGATCGTAAGTAAACTTCAGTACAACCATCTTAATCATCGATGTCTACTTGTACCTCAGGTGGCATATCTAGTAATTTGGAGGCCGTTTTGAAGGTGAAATCTGATGTTTTTTTGTTGGAAAATGTTGGTTTTTGGGACGGTGTTGTCCAGCTCGCGGTATTAGCTTGGACCCTACTATCGCCAGACCATGTCCAAATGTTAAAAAAGGCGATAAGTTGGGTCCAAGTTACTCGGACTAGGACAGTCCCAACTATAGTTGGGACCGATGCGATAGTTGGGGCGTAACACCATCACCGACGATCTCTTTCCCTACTCCTAGAACTATGAGGCTCCACATAGTGGAGCCTCATAGATCAAGAAGCCCGCAAAATTGCCTGCAGCACAAAACACTAATAAAGTGCAAAAACGTCCATCAAAATGAAGACATTTCACACAGAACCGCTGCACAGTTTGCCCCTATACTCCGTACTTTATCTCTTGACATACTCACGTATCATGCGCAGAACTAACATAGGTGGATTCTGTCGGTTTTTAGGCCAAAATGATGAAAAATATGCCCTTTCCGCACTGAGCCAACCTGACACTTGAAACGTGCATGCATATGATCGAGCGATGATTTTCGGTTCGCTCGGAGCGCGCCGTGGGGGGTATGGTACATGCACTTGTACGCATGCACATACTATCATTTCGCCTGTACCGTACCCCCCGCGGCGCGCTCCGAGCGAACCGAAAATCATCGCTCGATCATATGCGTGCACGTTTCAAGTGTCAGGTTGGCTCAGTGCGGAAAGGGCATATTTTTCATCATTTTGGCCTAAAAACCGAAAGAATCCACCTATGTTAGTTCTGCGCATGATACGTGAGTATGTCAAGAGATAAAGTACGGAGTATAGGGGCAAACTGTGCAGCGGTTCTGTGTGAAATGTCTCCATTTTGATGGACGTTTTTGTACTTTATTAGTGTTTTGTGCTGCAGGCAATTTTGCAGGCTTCTTGATCTATGATGAGGCTCCACTACGTGGAGCCTCATACTATGGTCGTGTTCCCTAACGTGGCGCACTTCGAAGCCTACCCGACTTTCCTCGTGTAGTGTTGCCAAACCTCTTTGTTGACAAACCTCAAATTCATGCAGTAAAACACTAGTACTTTTACCTTATTAATGCTTGCTATTTAACCTCTGTGAACAATTTCAGTTTCATACAATTTAATCCGAAATTCAAAAACGGTGGCGTCCGGAAATTGGGCACAAATTGGCGGAGTGTTCCCTAACGTGGCGCACTTGAATAAATCTCGGAAAATTCCAATTTAACATTTAAGAATTTCTGTAAACTTGATAAATTCTGATAAACAATTATTATCTCTACTTACATGCCCAGCCAGATGTTTGTCAGAAAATTATTTTCTTATTTTTCGGGGCATTTTTAAAGGGTTCACTTAATCACTTTGCACTTGAAAATAAAATCGGAAAATCACGCCAAAATTAATTTTTCTTCTAACTTTGTTACGGGTAAATAAACGTAACTCGCGATTTATGAAGAGGAGTGTTTAGAACTTGATGAAATTTCACTTTCTTGGAAATTTCAGTTAAAACTTTTGCTCTAGTAGGCGCTACAGGCGAAAAATCAAAGTGCGCCACGTTAGGGCCGGGGCCGCGCCACGTTAGGGTAGTATGGAACGCCGTATTATCGCGGTACTTATCACGTTTCTCGTTCGGAATAGAGATTGCCCACTAACCTTCCAGAATTGTCCTGTCTTATGTGTAGTATAAGTCTTCCTTTTTAAATTAATATAAAAAAATCTGACGGGTAGTGTGGTTTATTCCGTGTACGATGCCTGTGAAAATAGACATGCGCGGCGTGTGCGAACGGAGGTGGACTCCCTATTATCGCGGTATGCGGGAAGTGGTTTTTATAATGATCCCAACTTTTTTGTTCATAGTTTATGTTTGACCAAAACACCCCCTGAATAAAGTCTGATATTTTCCCTGTAACATTCAAGTTGATTAAAGACAAAATGTCTGCAGGATGATTTCTTAAGACCCTGCCCTTCCCCCGAAAGGAGAACACAAATCCCTGAGGCAAGTCTACTGATCGGCGATTGAGGGCGCCATTCACTTTACACGGTGTGCCGTTTTATTTTCGCTAAGGCGCGGTGCTTATTTTGATCCCGTAAAAGTTGTTACGATTTCGCGCTGCAAATATCGTCGTTCGACTTCATTTTACATTTGCAGCTGAAGAATGGGAACCAGACAATGGAACTTTCATGGACAGAGCGCAATTAAAGATTTATGTTAAAATATAAACGGTACCTTTTAGCAGACATGGTGAGGGAACATTTTGCAAGTTTTGGAAAACGTTAATATTTATTAAAATCGTTAAAAGTCCCGAAAGACACAACATTTTTTAATCGTCCTTTTTATACAACTCCGTAGAAAATCCTTGATGACTGGTGAACTGGATAAAAATCGCCACTTGAAGGAGTTTTGACACTGTAAAAAGAGAAATTTCCCATGCCGCGATAATAGGGATGCCGCGATAATAGGGAGTCCGACTATACATCAACAATATAGTTCTAGGAGTAGCCTACTCTTTCCCAAGATTCATGTCTTTTGAACATTATTACAATGACTGACCTTAATTGAGAAGATAGGTATGATGACCAAATAGTGTCAGGAAATCAAAAATCTTAACAAACAGTCGAAATTCTGGTATTTTTCGCACTAATTTGTCATCGACACGTGCGGGCGTCCTCTTTACATGGACGTTGCCATATTGAATGTTGCATTCTGGGCGTTTTTTCCTTCATTTAACAACTTGTTACTGTTTAGCGTTGAGGGCGCTATTAGTAGTACGTACGTAGGTACGCGATTGATTGATTGGTGGGGAGGTCGAGTGAGTGTGTATACGTGTGCCATTTCATCGCTCCAAATTCCGACGATGTACGCCTTTTTTAGGGCGAGCCTATTTTAATTTACCCCATTTAATTAATGTTAGTAACTTTGTGTTCATTGAGATAAAGAAAAAATGTTGCTACCAACCGGATTAGTCGGTAGAACTAGAAATGCATCCTTCATTGTGATGTTTTTGTTCTTCAACAAGTTCAAGTTTAAGATGTTGACAGTTTTTGCCGTGTTTGTTTTGGATTTTTGTCACCGACATTTAGGATAAGCTGAAATTAATGTTGTAACATATTGTTGATTAAGATTACGAAAAAATGCTATCGAGCGCAATCTGGAATCTTGCGCAAGTTTATTGTACTCCCTCCTTAGCTCATTTCCCTTTCAATGAAATCCATTCGTAGGGATTTGAACTCGGAGGGAGGACAATAAACTGACGCAAGCCTCCACATTGTGCTCGACAGAGCTGCTTCCAACGGACTAGTCTGTAGCAATGCATCATTTTTTGGTGATGTTTTTGTTCCTTCAACATGTTCGAGTAGCTTGGAAAACCCAGTTTTAGTGTTAGCTCATGACATGCATGACATGTCATCGAAAATTCACCATCCAAATGTCATGAGCCTTTGGAGCTGGATTTTTCCAAGCTAGTAATGTTCAAGATGGTGGATTCATCTGTTCATTGAGCTGTGGTTGATTCATTAACAATATTTAGGCCTAGGCCTATTCAATAGTATTAATTATAGTACCTCACCCACAGATTCTGTATCTTGATTGGCCGAGAGCAGGTCACATGACATTCGCTATTTTTGCTATTTAGCTGTGCACAGCTGAAAATACTATACCCGTTGCAACGAAAGTACTATCTTGTTCGTAAGTGACTACGCCATACATGCACATGCACCACTGATTACTGAACAGTGTTTCCCCTGCCCATTCAAATGTGAGGTGGCCCACCTCGCTACTTTCAGTGACCACCTCGCTCAATTTTTGCCAATATCACCACCTCGCTGTGAAGATTGGCAGAAAAGGAAATATATTGAGCGTTTTCCTTTACCTCCATGTATCAAGAACTCACAATTTCGATGTGTTTTTTTAATCATGGCGCATTTTTGTGAGCGCTGCATTCTTTTCAGTTTGCAGACTGCGTAAATTTCATTTCAATCATCAACTTGAATTGTTACCACCTCGCTCAGTTCATTAGCCAGGGGAAACACTGTTACTGAATACTAGCACCCATTGGCTAAACACCCCACTTTGTACTATTTCTGGTTCCAATGATTCCACTGCAATGATTCCACTTGTAATGACGTCACACTTACAAACTGGATACGGAAATGCATAATTTTGTATTCAAATAGAAGTATATCTCCTACATGTGTTAGATTAAATTAATCAGTTATTGCTTAAAATCAAGCAGAATCTGTGGGAGAGGTGTTATGAAACAAAAATACTGACTGCTTATCTCGTGGTGTTGTAAAACTAGCCTTCCTCAATGATCCATGGAGCATACTATTTTTCCTTGGCTAGCCTCGGGGCAAAATAGAATGCTTCACGGATCATGTCGGGAGGCTAGTTTTACTGCACAACTCAAAGCAGTCAATATTTGTGTACTAATATTATGTTGACAGTTTATCCAAGATTAGGAAAGGCGCAGAAGTAGAAATGCCTGACCATTTCTTTGATATTGTGTTGCTAATCCATTGTTTCAAACAATATAGCACAATTAGAATGTACTCAACTCTCTGCTTGTCTTTGTTTCTGCAGTGTTTTTGCACAGGATAATTCTGCAAAGAAGCCAGCAGTGATGAGTGGCCAGCAGTCAAGTCCAAGACCACAGGCTTCTGCCATGGCAACAACCCCACCCAACTCGGTCACAATGCCACCTGCAAACCCGCCATTATTAGTGGAGCAACCCAAACATGTAAATAACGTGTAATCTTGTATGAAGAGGGCAAGTTAGGAGGTAGTTTGATCGTATGCCAGGCAGGGGGCGATTTAGATTAATAAAGAATCACATACACTGGTGCATATAGACTGGAAAGAAGTTACATACATTGCTTTGGAAACCCCAGCTTCAAGGCTCATTACATTGGGAATTCTGTAGGAAAAAGTGTAGTCCCAGTCTCAATAATGAATTTCCCATTTCGTGAGCCTTAGTGCTGGGTTTTCCAAGCTACAATCATGAACATGCACTTATCTGCACACTAGCAGGATTAGGCCATTTCTTCAATACCTTCCAAGACACATGAAATTCTCCACAATTTTCACAAAGTGATTCTCCACAAAGTGATTTCAATTTGAGAGCAGTAAACTTTTGTAGTAAATGCATTTGACAGGGTCTGCTTGACCACTTCAAGTCCGAATTTCATACAGGGTACTACGGACAGAATGGGCAGGACAGTACCCCCTGGTGTCCCTTAACGCGGAATTGCCACGTTGTTTATTTTATATTTGGAGACATTCGCAGCTAATCGCAACACTCAAACATATAATGAAATAAGAGACAAAACCTTTAAATTCTTCTCTGAAGGTTTTTTTTCCCTTGGAAACAAACTGGAAGGTTGTGTCGCATTTTACTGGGAAAAAAATAGGGGCATGGGGTAGGAAATAGCATATGTCAAAGGTTGCAAGCAGGTTTACAGTCGGCCCTGTATAAACCTTACAGATGGTCAAGTGGGAAATAAGGGAGTTATTTTAACCAATAAATAAGGTCAATAACGTTCAGGCAGTAAAACATTTCCAATTTCCTGAATGTTTTCAACCAAATATCTCCCCACCGGGAATGAAGATGAAGGAAGGTATTAGAAAACAGCCATAAGCACAGTACACGTAGTGGCCTCACAACGAGTGCTAGGTTTACATGCACGGATGAAAAAGTACATGCACCAGTGTATGCGTGCACCCGTCTAAGTCGACCACTGATGCCAGGGAACACGCTTTGTTTTTTCGTCCAGCTGGCATCAAAGTTTCTATCAACAATGCATCGTGCACAGTGTGTAAAATCCCCAGATATCCAATGCCTTGCTTCAGGACACCAAATATAGTGGACAGTGGTGTAGTTTGACTTGCACTTCACTTTCTTGAGGCTAATTCAGTCAAGATCAATTTTTGTTTCTTTTGTTGTTTGTCTTCTAGCCAATGACAACACCATCTCCTTCATCTTCATCAGTGACCATCCTTCCCCCTGCAGTCCCACCCCCTGCCCACCAGCGGCTCACTTTACCTCCTCCATCTAGCTCCAACACTTCAGGTGGCCATTCCCCAACTGCAGGTGAGCAGAGCTAGCTTGGATGGGGCACTAGACCCGCAGTCTATTATCAGGGGAAAAGGCAACACAAGTATTCAAAGTGTAAACATGTCAATCAATAGCTGGAGTATTTCTGCTTTGACTCCAAATTATTTCTGAGGTTTGACTCCAAATTATCATAAGTTTGTTTATAGCTTCTTCCATTTAGGATTGCACCAAGAGGCTCAGGTTTGATACATTTCACTCTGGATTGTATGAAAAAGGCTGTCCAATATGTGGGAAAATGCTGCATAGTGAAATGGAAGTTTTGTATCAAGACATGGAAATAGTTTTGCATGAGCCAGTCTTATTTTTCCCATGCAGCATTTTTTCTTTAATATTTTGATGCTTACTAAATTCTGATTTGAAACTTCCAAACCATGGCATCTGGAGTTTTGATTTTGTTGGAATTGCCTGGACCCTACTGAGTAAATCCTCTTTGCATGAGATGGATAGTTAATTCATGTAATGACACATCTTCACATCAGTGCAATTGTTGGATTGATTTTTTCCAGGTCTTGGCCCACCCGTCCTCAGTCCATCCCATCATCAGCATCCTGCTCTCTACCCAAGTGGCTCCTCCCCAGTTTCAGCCCCACCCATTCCCATGACTGTCACCAGCCCCATTGGCAAGCACGGCGGCAGCCTTGGCGCACTGACCGCCTCTGTCAATGCCCTCCAGCGCCCCACCAGTACCTCGGGCCACTACCTGGTCCAGCACTCGCCCAAGAGTCCTCCCTCCACGGCCCTGGTCAGTGGCATTCCCTCGGGCATCCGTCTGCTTCGGCAACCCTCCCTCAAAAGCCCCTCGGGGGCCCGTTCAGATCAAGCTGTCATCATCACCACCCAGACACCTATCTTTAATCGGTCCCACCACTTGCCCACCACGGCCACCGTGATCAGCCCCTCTGGGACCACCACCACCGTGTCTACATTAGTGCGGGTCACGCCTTCCATGCAGCAGGCCATTCACCACCCCCAGCAGCCACGCTTAATCATCCAGCCAAGGATGATGGGAAACCTGGGGCTGATCACAACAGCTGATGGTCCTTTGATCCGTGGGGTCACCCCGACATGTTCCATGGTTAACCCTACTGTCATCAACCCTTACAACGTTAGCCAGTCCAAACTTCACTCTGCCCTGACAGGGTTTGGAGATGGGCACCCTCCGCGAATCCATCTGCCCCCCTCTCCCCACGGGCCCCTCAGCCTGGTAGCCCAAGTCCAACCACAAGGCAAAAGTACCTTTGCCCTACATCCCCAGAAATCCATTGCTACATCCAACCTTTCCCTCCATCCGCAAATGAGGACGATTGCTCCTGCCAGATCCCCAACCTCACATGTCCCTCTGCAGCCCAAACGTCCCCCACCTTACTCCTCTGGTCCTTCAACCCCCCTCTCCCAGCACCCCCTCTCCCCAGGTGCATCAGATGCTATCAAACACACCAGCTCCAAAGTAAAGCCTCCTACATCAGCCCCAAAGTCTGGACCGCAAGTCAAGCCCATCAAACCAGTGCAGCAGCAAGCGCAGAGGTCAGGGGTTAAGGTGGTGAAACCAGTCCAGCGGGAGAAGAAGTCACAACCTGCTCCAGTGCCCGTCCCTCCACTGGTTATTCCTACTGCTCCAGTCAGGCCTGATGTGAGCTCAACAGTCCAGCCTCAGCAGTCTCACCCTCCCTCAAGCCAACCAGAGATAGTCAGTCCACAGCGAAGGGCTGAGGTAGTTGGGGTGACAGAAGGAGTGGCACGAGTGGAGAGACAGGTCCCCAAAGCGGTGGTCAAACCCCAGGTGCTGACCCATGTCATTGATGGGTTTATCATCGAAGAATCCAAGGAGCCCTTTTCAGTGAGTTTATGACACCTTTGGATTTTTTTAAAGATACCGTTAAAATATACCTCAGAATCATTCATATTAATGATGAAAATCTGTCAAAATAGGTGGTTTGTTGTGTGTTCTTTCAATAACATTCAAGAATGTGCTTGTCTCATCTGTTACAGTTAAACATTTCCAATTATGTTATAAAGCGCGGTATACATACATAGATGTGTTTTCAAAATGTGCCCCTTAAAAAGTGATACAAGAGGAGCACTATTATTCATTGGTTGGTATAGACATGGACCTGAGACTCTTTGCCAGGGCTGAAAATGTGTTTAATTCATTGAAACAGAACATAATTGATAAATATGTGTACTTGTATTATTGGGACACTAGGTCCTGGAACAGCCCAATTGGGCTACAAAACACGATTTGAATGAGATTATGATAATGGGAAAGAACATTTAAAACTAGGATATAAACATCCACACAACTATCCTTTAAAAACTGGGCTTTTTTGTGTTATTCCTGTATTATGCGTTCGAGAACGAATTTTGGGGTCCACTTTTGTGACCCCATAAATTCGAGCTGCTAGTTGTGATTTCATTCGTAAAGTGGTCGCCTTTTGCGGACGTTGAAGAAACCACATTTTTTGCAGTGGTGATTGGTCACCGCTGTTCCTGAGACACACAACGTGTACATTGTACACTGTATGAGAACGACAGGAAAAACGTATTCGTACTCTGTCATGTCCGATGCAAACAACTGAGGATTTTTCCTCTTTTCTCGGGAACGGTAAGACATAAGGTTGGTTTCCTTTGAACCAGATGTTTGAAATAGGATAAGTGAACATTCTAAAACATGAAATTTTCGGGGATTTCAGGACCTAGTGCCCCTTAATATTCCTGAGATTACAGGGTATATATAAAAAAGAGTCTTGTTATTGAATAATTTCAGGAGTTGTTTTTTTAGATGTGCGCTTAAAGGCAATTTTTTTATATTACTGCCATTCTGCTTGTGATACGCAACTCCCAGTGCATGGTTCCCTGTGTCATATAATTGCTCAACCATGCAATCTGTTTAATTTATACAATCAGAGCTGGAAACAGACAGGAGGCGCCAGCCTACCAGCCACAAGAGTGAGCTCATTCATTATTTTCATCTATTTTTTGTTGGGTTTGGCTCTTTTTTTTTAAAATATAGTTTTATTCTTTGCTTGCTTTGTGTCGTGATCTAGATAGAACTGGTTGACGTACATGTAACACTGCTGCTAGAAGGTTTTTGTGGCTGGCATATTTCATGGTGATCGTGTGATAATCATTCACATCTTTGAGCAATTTCTTTTTTATTGAGTTGTCACACAGACATTCCTAAATGGCCAATCATCCTGTCCGAGTCCATCAGCAGGTTTTGGGAATTTTGCAGAGGTGCAGTGCTAACACTACATTTCAGAGATAACAGTTTCAAATCCCAGTTCAGTTGAATTTCATTGTGCAAATTGCAAGTGCAAAGTGCAAATTGAAATTGAAATGAATTCAAATGTGAATTATTTTAGAGCATGCAAATATAGTAATAGCTTCTAGGGTTTTCTTTTCCATTGAGGCAACTTTGATTTTTCATAATTCAAGTAAATTTGTTTAGGACTATTCACTGTTCTTTCACTGGTCCAATGACCTTCTGCCTTTCTTGAAGAGAAGTTGCTAACAATGCACTTATGATGTCACTTCATTAAAACCCTAACCCTGCTAAATCCAACGGGATCCAACTATGTTACATAGAATACATACCCGCTGAATCATGTTGGATTGAGCAGTAAAACACCTTGTATATATTCCTGTCGAAATCTCTTAGATTGAGCAGGCAACAGAAAACATTTAGAGTGGGATTCTGTTGGGTACTGGTAAATAACGCCAAGTTGGATCGAGCATGCCAGAGTAACCGTCTACATGTAACTCTGTTGGATTTAGCAGGGTAGTCCTGAGGAACTACTACTACTAGGGGGTTAGGGTAAACATGTTGCATGGTCAAATGATATACATAGTGATTGTCTTGGCTAAAGTAAGTAGAATGGCCACATGTCCAGTCTATAAATATTAGTGTTTTGTCATACACTGTGTTGCACCTAGATTACCTCATATACACTGATTTACATATATAGCGCACATGTGAAGGGGCAGGGTGCGTGTGTTGGGCCTCGCAACACACAACCTCTCAATCTTGTGTCTGCCAGGAAAGTTCACAGTAATCAAAAGGTTACACTGCAGCGTTTTCATATTTCTTGAACCATGAGTTTAAAACCTTTCAGGGGATCTTTTTGACTTTCAACAAAACAATTGTTAAAAATGCCATATTCCACAAGACACATCATAGCAGTTGGCAATTGTTACAATGTATTTGTACATTTATTGTGGTATGTCATTTACATGTACATGTACATGTAGATACAGCAGTGTATAGAATGTGGTAGTGGCTGTGCTGTACCTTTAGTTTACCAATACTATGGCATGTTGTGGTTGTGTAAACACACCTTGAGTGGCCAAGCGTACATGTAGATGACCAACAATCCTAGAAGATGTCATATTGCTCTGTGCACTTTTAAAGAACTTGCCAACACAGGGCCCATACATGATACATATTTCCAATGTGTCATTGTATCTCAGGTGACTGGTGAAGCGTTCCAGCTCTGGAACAAAAGAATGATTTGTTTCCCTTTGCATCTTGGAAATGTCATTGTTTTACATTATGCATGGCATGTGTACATGTAGCTATTTTCCCAAATTTCAATCCTGTTACAACTACATGTAATTACAATGGTTTTTTTTTTTTTTTAGTAGAGGAGACTGATCTAATGTTATGGTTTGTCACACTTTAATAATATTTAGCTTGGATAAAGACAGGAGTAAATTACTATGACTAGAGGTACATCTGCCACACATACATGTACTTGCATCATGCAGCATCGTGCCAAACTCAATGAAATAGGCCTACAACATTTACAATTTGGTGGATTCCCAAAATATCAATGTACAGTTTTCGACCATGTGCTTGGCTCGAAAAGGTCACTTTTCAACTTAGTGTTCACTTTCTATATAATACATGTAATATGTTTAGGAGTGAGGAAGGCACTGGTACCGCACAAGTAATTGCATATCAAGGTCTCATAAATAGACACTGTCATTACGTCATAGAACTAGCCTCCAACTTAACTCACTATTAGAAAAAAGTCACGAATACCACATTGCAATTTGTACAAAGGAATGACAATTTGACCCATCATCCATGACACTGCAATACACAGAAGGTAAATCGGGATTTGTACCTCCAACATTAGCTTTTCTGAGAATCATTCAAATTGATCCGTAGAGAGAGGATTACTGTATACTCAGGTCTTCGGTATCAGTGAATGACATGAATGATAAGCACAGATTCTTGTGATGTCTTGCTTTGTAAATGCACATTGAAATGTTCTTGTGTCACTTGGATTGTTGATGGAAGGATCAATCATCTTGATGTTACAAAATGTATAATATTAATCGTGTTTGCAACTTGGACCAGTTACAATTGAATTATGCAAGACTTGAAATTGTTTCAACCACCGTCTTTCATGAATCCCAGACTGCAGAAATGCCATGCAAAATGATGCACGGATTGATAGTTCTTTTCTTAAGTTTGTTCTTTGAACCCACTATTAACTGGGGGAAATTTCATGGGGCTTCAGAGTAGAAAAGCCTCCGTAAAATCCTTTGTTGTGCGACAAAATGGCTGGGAACCAGTTAAACCAGTACATGACATAACCTGTTATTCAGCAGAACATTCCAGAGTTTAGCGAAATTGCGTACTTAGTGGCTACATGAAATTGGCCTTGATTAAATGGACTTCTAAGCAGGAAATACTGGTACTGTCACTGTCAACATGCCCATTTCTCAGGCTAAGCAAAGTTACTATGTATGTTCTTATTGGCTGTATGAAATTGGCCTCAGACAAGATGGACAGTTGCAATTATCCTGCTAATTTTGAATGGTTTCAGATCAGTCCCTCTTCCTTGTGGTCAGATGACTACCCACAACTTGACGCCAGTCTGCAACGATCTCGGAATGTCCAGGATGGACAGCTGGATGGGTCGCAACCCCAGAAACGATCAGGTATTCAATTGTGCACATTTTGATCTGCTCTGGACACACTAAGGCCCGCCAGTGAATAAAATGTTATAAATTAGGGTCTAGAATTACAAACGGGTCACCACAGAGCATTGGCAAAATGATCACAAGTAGATACCACTGTTTTAGATACAATTTTTGAAAAATTAATAATAAGAATTGTAATCAATTAAATAATTTAACATTTCATATGTTGGCGTGCTTGTGATTGGAACGCAGTTTCTAGCAGTGCAAAAGGAAAGGTAACGGTGGCAGTGTGCCAACCTGTTTTCCCAATGGCTGACTGTTGATTTTTAACAACCTTTGTCCTTTTTCCCCTCTTGGTAGCCACTTCCGAATGTCTGGAGGATTCTGACCACACCCCTTTGCGCTGCGAGTTCTGTGGCAAAAGGGACCGTCCGCACAAGTTCAAGCGTTCCAAACGTTTCTGCTCCCTGGCCTGCAGCAAGCGCTACAATGTGGGCTGCAGCAAGCGGCTAGGGCTCTTTGCCCCACAGCGAGAGAACTCTGAGCGGCTCAAGCACAAGCTGAAGTTACAGACCAAGGCCAAGCCGCTGAAGGGTTCAAGGGGGAAGCACGGACGTCTCAGCTTCAATGTGGACCGGCCCTGGGTAAGACTTAACTCTTATTATGCTCACTCATACATGGGGTTATGTTCTATTGATAATGTTGGTTGACCAATTGTTCCGTGTGAAGTCAAATCACAAGTCGGGTCAAAGTAACATGGAATGAACAATGACACAGGAATGTCTTCAGCACAGTGCTCTGAATAGCTTGTGACTTGACTTGATAGTGTATGACTTAAGACTGACTTACGATGACTACTTGTGACTTGTAATCCACTGGATTATAAGTATTTTTGGACAAAGCTTAGTAATGAGTGGTCTGCACTTCCCAGTCCAAAAGTGCGTGAAACCAGGCAGTAAGATGTTGTCAAAGACCAACATTTTCACGGGTCATTATTTGAATTCTTCCATCTGCCGTGCATGGTTGCACTATGATAAATGTTTCTTTATAGCAACCTATTATAATTATTTTGAACTGTTTTGTTGTAACATGTTAAGTTATGAATATTTTATATATAAGAACTAAGTGACAATACAGGGTGAGTAAAAAATAAAGGAAACCCAAATGGTACCCCATATTAAAAAAAAAAAAAAAGGTTGTGCATGTTGCACTTTCCAGATTTAGGACATGAAGCCCAATTAGCAAGCGTTCTTTTAGTGAATGAATTATTCAAATTGCTCATGTACTTTTACAGTTATGGAATTTTTAACTCAAACCCAGTTTTTTAACCTTGTGCATAGATCAGAAAACGAAAACTATTCACATATTAAAAAACACATCAGAACATTCTAATAGCCATAATAATTGGCACTTATCATAACATTTATGGGGCTTCCATATCGTAGATTTGGAAAGCGCTACATGCAGAACTTCTTGAATTCTTGGGTTTCCTATTTTTGTTACTCATCCTGTACATTGTGTTGCACCATGAGGTGACCCCTGGTCCTGTATCTTTTCCTAAGCTCACCTAGTTTTAGTGAATGCAGAATTTCAAATTTGATAATACTGGAATGATCATAACTCCCTCCCTCTTTTTTCCTGCCAATATCAGTTCATTTACTTCATTCGTTCCCTAACCTCTGTGCCACTGACACCAAAAATGTTTTCTTACCCCAAAACTCCTCTGATATTTAATGTCAAAGCCCATTTTATGAATAATTCATTGTTGCATGCATTAGAAATAACTTTGTTTGGTGTGCATTATGCACATTTAAAGTCCTGACAAATGCAAAATGAGCAATTGCTATGACTCTGTGACTGTTCAATTGACTGCAGTGTGTGCTTTCTTATTAGATTTTTATTGTGTTAAGTTATGGTCTCCATATTTGTTTGCATTATCCCAAGCATGAACAAAATGTTATCAGGTAACCCTTCTACCCTTTCGGTTTTAGGATAAGTAAAAATGACAACCATACTAAACAGACATGGGGTTGAATAACATTACCTTTGATTCATATTGCATGTATTTCATGTACAGTGGAACGTCGCTATACCGAACACAGCTATACAAAACATTCAGCTATACCGAACGGCTCCCAGTTTTTGTGTACAAAACGTACCGAACATTGTTGTTGAAAAATTTCAGCAGAAGAGCAACAAGTGGCTATTATTTCTCCAAGGAAAAGAAGGGGAATGCCACCCACTGCCGCTGGTAGTTAGCTCCAAAACTGTGTAATTACATTGGTCATTAGTCGGCACGTGTTCAAAGTCGTCTTTCAGTAACTACATGTACCACGATGTGCAGGGTAAATTACTGAAGGGCGCTATTTAATAAAAAGTGAGAACCGTAGCACCAGCAGCTTTAAATCGCCATACCGAACAATCGCTATTATGAACAATATCTGTGGATCCCGGCATGTTCATTATAGCTGCGTTGCACTGTATTGACCTGATAAACCCTAACCCACCATGTTAACACAGGTTATCACTTTGCTTTCAGTGCCATCTGCTCAATGCGAAGTCTTTCAATCCCTTCATACAGACAAACAGAGTGTATAGCCAAGACCCACCCCCAGGCACCTCTGGCTCCGCCCCTTTGCCCCAGAGTTCTAATCCCACTTCTGCCAACACCATGGGCCAGGACAGGGACAGTAACAGCAGTGCGGGCCCCTCTGAGGGCTCTTCCTCTATGGAATCCTCCCTGACCCTATCACCAGCCCCTAACAGTGATGATGCCGATGACACCACACCAGTCTCGGATGATGCATTTGATGACCCATCTGGGCTTGGAGACGACCCGGCCAAGTGGTCTGTCCAGGATGTCTATGATTTCATCCGTGACCTGCCTGGTTGTTCTGACTATGCCGATGAGTTTCTACGTCAGGAGATTGATGGTCAGGCTTTGATGCTCCTTAAAGAGGACCACTTGATGACGGCAATGAACATGAAGCTGGGCCCTGCTCTCAAGATAATCAGTCGCATTTACTCTCTGAAAGAGAAGCTTTAGTGGATTTTGTCAACTCTGGTGCCTGTGTGATCAGCCCTTTACCTTGTCATGTGTTCACAGGAAGCAAGACAAACATGGCTGCCTCCATGCAGTAACAAGCACAAACTGGGGCTGACGTGTAACAGTATTTCAATGTCGACATTTTTGACAGGCTTGATAATATGATGTGTTATGTCCTGTGGTAAGGATCGATTGTGATAGTAATTGTGAACAGTGTTATACTTTTACAAGTGAAAGCATGTTGGTTATGTAATGCCTCCCTGTGATCAAGGTACATTTTTGCATGAAGAAAAAAAACACATTTTGTAATGCTAAGTAAAAATATAATAACTTTGCAGAATGTAGAAGATACAAAATGGTGTATTGTGATGTTAGTGCTCTAACATACTTTTCACCTACAAAATGTACTGATCATGCAGTTTTGTTGATATTGTGTTTTATGTAAAACATTTTGTGTGCTTGTCAACTGTATATAAGTATGCTAAATGTATTGTCTGTAGTTACTGTACCTAGATATCAGTGTTATACCCAGTTCATCATAAATCTATCACAAGTGCGATCTCAAGGAAATTATCACAAGTCAGTCCACATGTCTGGTCACAAGTAATGGGGTGACCATGTCACGGTTCATTTGAAAAGCTAGTGACTGGACTTGAGACTACAGCGTGTGTCAATAAAAACGCAGGATTCAAAGCGCTTTTTTTCTGAGAAAATTATGCTACTGGTGTGCCTAATTTGATAAGGATTTGATTGTCCATAATTTCATCTTTGACAAGATTTTTGTTTGGTGGAATTTGGACTTTTGGTTCAAAAGTTATGACAAGTTTTGTGAAGCCCTTCTGAAGCGGGTTGGTCTGATTCAATGACCTTAACACAACGACCAGTTATGTACAATGCAGGTATGCATTGAAGACAATTAAACCAGAACAAAACTTTCTTTGAAACAACTGATGATAAGTATCACTTAAATTTAATAACTGGACTATCATTGTTTCAAAGCATCATGAATTATTGACTAATAACATTAATTGTGGACTAAAGGATTATGTAAGCCTAATCCTGCCACACATGTCCTTTGTGATCCACAAATACTTTCACCTGTACTGAATTCAAACCTTTCATTAGGTATGTGTGATTTCACAAATCAGACCAGCTTGGAATTTATAACCCTTCTTCAATGTACTCTAACTCTGGACAGGATTGTCCAAATGAGATGGGATAAAAAGCATAGTGAAGAGAAGGAAAGGTACTTTGAAAAGAGGGTTAACATTATGATGAATAGGGGTGGTTTATATTCTTAATATTTTTGTTTCTAATCCTACGTTTTTATTGACACACGCTGTAGATGACTAGTGATGGACTCATAGGGACTTATTATGGACTCAACTACAACACTGCTAGGTATGGTCAAGTTTGTAGGTTTTAAGAGCATAAAATGCAACTTCATGTTAAAGTACATGTCATTTTGTGATAACCAGATGCTTATTTGTCGGTTATTTCATATTTTATATACAGTAGACTGTGATGTTTCTGCAGTACTTTTTGCACAAAAGTCAAAGGCCAAAGGGACCGGCCTGTACAGTTACAGATGCAACAGATTATACATGTACAGTTACTACAAGTTTATATGGTTGCATGTTACCAAGTGAACAAGTTCATAACTATATTGTAGGATTTGTTCATGTTTCTGGAAAGTGTCACCTACATATTAGGTAATGTAGGTAATCATGCCTGGATGATGATACATGTACTGTCCTTGCCTTCCACCTCCATTGACCACAGTTCAGCCTCCTCTCAGATACACCATGTCCAGTGGCCTCCAAACTTGACTGTACAGATTTTTCCTCTCACACCTAAAACCTGGCTTTCCTTAACCATTTGTACCATTTTCTTCAATTCAAATCTGGAAACTGAGGGAGAACAGTGCCAAAGCACTGACCAGATTAACTAGTGAAAGAAGGAGCCTAACAAGGCACTTGGGCTTTAACCAGTTGAACCAGATATCATACATGTAGCCAACTCTGTCCTGAGGAAGGAAGTTTTGGTCAGGTACCTTCGGACACAAGCACCATGTAACCTGTAGCAGGATGTAAACTGCATTATGAACCCAAGACTTGCAATCAGCTGTCTTACTCAGTAGGTCAGAGTCTTATAGGAATCCAAGTACAATTGAAAAATGAGAGGACAAAAAACTAATTGTGTCGGTCTGAGTCAGACCCATCACAATGACAAAAAGGACTTCCTTCAAGTTCCTTGTGTAATGGAAGAACCCAAATCCACAACCCAAATCCATTTTCTCTGCATCAATTATGTTAGAGCACCTTGAGCTTCATGTATTGTCCACGCATGCGCACAAAAACATGTTGGGCGGAGTTGGATGCTAACTCTCTTTTGACTAATCTCACTTAAATTATTTATAGGCAATATTGTTGTTGTTTCTGGTATATTATATATTAACTTTGTTGTCTTCGTGTATTTGCAGAACTTGCCATCATCATATTTTTTTTCAATATCTTAGAAACTTTCTTTTCCTGGATTGCTGTATTCATGCATGTTGCATTCATTTTTCAATAAATCAGCAACTAGAATACGCTAGAAGAGAGGTTTGTTTGGGTCTACTCTCAATGTTTTCGTTTGATGTATTAGACATTGATGGATTCGTCTTGATGCAATCAAGTATAGTCAGTTTTATTGCGTCGAAGACGCACAAAATGTCGATTGTGGGAATGATCCATCAATAGCGGAACTAATTGCTTTTATAACTAGCACTGCGTCGTCCATCTTCATGACAGCACCACTTATTAGGGAAATTCGCCTGGTCCGATGCTAGCTACGCGATGATCACGGCCGCTCCACGATCATGCTATTTTTAGGACTTGCACCACACTCATGGGCGTTGCCAGGATTTTTTTCTAGAGGGGGCAAAGCACATTCCCCCCTGAAATCCCTGTACTTTTCCAGCATATTCTCGATTTATAATTTCTTGAGAGTAGGCAGGGACATTCCCCCCCCCCCCAACTAATGTAATGCTAGAAAATTATCAATTCAATGTGAAAATCATTTTTTTTTTCAGGGTGCCACACCCAAAATGGACGTATATTGGCCTACCAGCATCAGGCGTCACTGACATTCCTACCATTAGTCTACATTGCCGCTCCAGCGCTAAAAAGTCTAAAAAACAAAGGGGGGGGGGGAGACGTGCCCAATCAAGATCTCCCAATTTGTCAGGAGAAAAAATCTGACTCGTACTTTATGTAGTTTGCATTCCACCCGCACGTTGTCGTATGGAGGTGGTATCCTTCGTTTCGTGCAATGCTTTTGGGACCCAATAATAACGGCCTGTTAGCTCCATGTTATGATGTACATGTACATTATTAACACAGTGAGCACTTCCTTTAGATGATAACATCTATCAACCCTCTCCTCGTTTGACGCTTGTTATTTGCAATCAGATTAATTACACTCGATTGCCATGGTGACTGTCATCTGGGGCGGGGTGCCATTAGTGCGGTTATAAATCAGTTCAATAATGGTCCGTTGCGAATTCATCGGAAGGCATAGTCTTGGCCCGAGACGTCAGTTTTAAAGAATGCGATAGTTGCAATTTTGTGTATAGCGCCTTGCATAACTGATTTTTACTTTCTCTCACCAAGGGTGGATCCGAGGGGGGGATGCCAATGGGGCAAACCCCTTTTTTTTTTTTTAAAGCGACGTCGCAATAAAGGCAGGCAATGAATACACCACCATATTTTCCTCTAAAAACATTGGTTATTTAAAAGTGGTCAGAAATTGCCTCAGATCACGGATCCTAGACACCAGGATAAACGACTGTTCTGACCTCAGTACAAAATGCACTCAGTGGACTTGCCTTAATTGGTTAGACGTGTGATAATGGGCATTCATAAATACCTCAGACAGTTTAGCCATTCCTATTGGTCGAGAGCCCGTCACGTGGCCGGTATTAAACGGATGATAAAGACATGGCTAGCTGGTCTTAAACACTTTTCCAGTGTCACAATAAAATGTGGACTCCTAAAAATCCAGTGCCTCTTATCGTTTCATTGGTTGAACGTTCACAATCCTCACGTAGGCATGCGCAACACTACCAGGGAGTTAGAATTTTATAGTTCTAAATTCAAAACGCAACGCGCCAGGTGCGTTCTGCGCGACATCGCATAGAACATGATACGCGCGCGTCAATCTCCATAAAAGGGTTGTTTTCATCTTACTCGCCAGCTGAACATTCCATTATTTTTCAGGAGGGGTGATTCAAAAAGCATAAAGTGAATTTGTTGAACAAAATCGGGATGTTTTGAACGAATTATATTATTTTTTTTTACCGAAAAGGTATTTATGAATGGGAATAAATATGTACTCCGTCGGTATTTATCACTCTGTTTAATACCACTTAGAGTCTGGGTGCTGATAATTACCCTCGCCTCCGGCTCGGGTAATTATCAGCACCCAGACTCAAAGTGGTATTAAACAGAGTGATAAAAACCTCCGGAGCACACATTTATTCCCTTATTAATATCCGTTGGCTTGCAATCGCGAATTTTCCAGATGTGCCATTGTGTTGGGTTTTTGCATGACATCTAACCGGAAATATTCATAACACTGTAAGCAAAACTACTTCTTATTTAAGATATAATTGTTCCAAATTATTTTTAAAAATAAATACTTCAGGATATAACAGATGATATTGTGCAGTTTTTGTCGTCATAGATGAAGTATTTACCCGGGAAATAAACGTCAAATTTCGAGGAGAACACCGTTTACCCAAATTTCGTTTTTAATTAGGTTTTTATTAAAAAGTTTTAGAGAGATGTGATGCCGAACCGATGAAACAAAAGCGACATTTCATTGCTCATCTTAAAGCTAAAGATATTGTGCTCGGCATTACCATGGTTATGTAGTTATCACTTATCAGAATTCAATAATAAAGACCAAAAACGTAGACTCATGAATATTCAAAATATAATTCGCTGGCTTGACAGACTTCGACGCCAGATCGGGCGCAGAGCCTTGCAAATCTGAAAGCCACCGCGCGCAGTGGTCTTTGTTGAAAGTATTCATGGTATATTTGCTACCAGTACTGGCCGTTATCACGCGTCTAACCAGGAGTTGGGCCGAGTTGTTAATCCTTGTGTGTAGGATCCGTGCTCAGATCGCACCGTACCACAGAGCATCTAGAATCCAAAAAAATTCGGGGCCCTTGAGCGGGCCCCGAACCCCACGCCGTAATGTTTTTGACCCACTTTTTGGGGGACCACATTTATTTTGGGCCCCCCCCCCCCAAAAAAAATGAGTTCTGGATCCGCCCTTGTCTCTCATGGGGGCGTGGCCATTTAACGGACGTCTGCATCTATACTACAATTCAAGGAATCTCTGTCTGTCTGTCCGTCTGTCCGTCTGTCTGTCTGTCTGTCCGCCGATTATCTCCAGAACCGGGCACCGTATGAAGTTGAAAATCGGCGTGTGCATTGCTCGGGGCAGCAGAATGTGCAGTGCCGAGTTTGAAGTGGTTTGGACGAGCGGTCCTCGAAAAAGCTGCAAAAAAGCAGTATTTTCTGAGGCAAACGTGGCAGTATATAGCTTAGAACATAACATTCGCACGTACGCACTGCCGTTCTTTTCAATTGTTTACGTCATGTTTAAGCTAACGTGCGCGTGCTCAATATGACGCAAACAATGCAAAAAGGACGGGCACGCGCACGTGCATTGCAGGGCGATACATTGTCCAGTACGGGTGAATACTAATGGCAATCGGTGAATACTATGAGCACTGCATACCATGTTTTCGTATGTACACGGGCACATTATTTTTGCAGTCGACTGAGCGACCATTGAAGGTGGTCGAACTTCAAACTTGGCAAAAACTTTGACGCAAAAGTGTGCGTTCAACCTGTGAAAACAACACCATTGAATCGCGTGCGTTGTTTGCACGAGCAGTTCTCCGAAACTCTGCAAGTATGCAACCTATACCAGCGGCAAAGCAATTTGCGCTTCCCGAACATGCACATTTTAGACGGGCACTGCACTAGTAAAGAACAAAGTTAAAGATGTCTGCATAAATTCGAACGAACGGCAGTTCCCATTTGCCGCAGTAGTCGTGCCCTTCCTATTTGAACCATTTCTCGATCGCTGATTGGTTCCCTATGAAAGTGATGATGTTGATCATCGCACTTATAGTGCGAATGTTTACAACCGTCGGGCGAGTCATTGAAACATTTCTCGATCGCTGATTGGTTCCCTGGGAAAGCCTAGGGAGAAAATAAAGAAAACCACTGATACGAAATGGCCAAGATGTTAGTGTGATAGGCGCGCTGGCCTTATTGTAGACGGCGCACTATGCACGATCCACCGTGCGCATTGATCATGAGCGTCTCGGGCCAAGACCACAAAAGGCAAGGCTCACGGATGGAAGTTTTGATACCATGAATCTCGGAATCGCGGAGCACTAGCTACACACGGCTAGCTAGCACGACCCAAGACACGATGGATACTCTGATTGCCTTTATCATTTTTGGTGCAGTTTTTCTTCTGGTAACTGGTTTAACTTACGCAGGCGTGCTGATGTCGATAGTTTGGAATCGCAGCCTGCATGACAGCTCCAACTTCTTCCTTGCCAATCTCTACGTATCGGACTTTCTTCTGAGCTTGGCTATCTTCGTGCACTGCATGTTCTCTGGTTTGAACTCCGCTGATAAAGCTTTGGAGGTTCGGATGCTAACGGTTGTCTCCGGATTGGCCATCGGTAGCTACTGCCTGAGCTCTGTGGTCGTGGCCGCAGACCGGTATTTTAGGGTTGCCAGGCCCCTGTGGTACGCGAGTTTCATGACCAACACGAGATGTGCTCGCATCATCGCTGGCTCCTGGGCCTTACTGGCCGGCACCGCAATCATCTGGCAATTGGTAATAACATTCCTTGCAAGAACAGATGTAGATCTCATTCAACAATTTGGTGACGATAGTGGCAACAAAACGCAACCCTCCTCCGATGACAAATACGGCATCATGATTTCCACGTCTTATGTCATTTTCATCGACATTTTGACCATCCCATGTCTGCTTTCAACGGCTTGTTTTTGCATCGGTCTGGTCCGCATAGCCAGGGCTCAGGCGCGTAGAATACATGATGAGGCAAGGGCCATGGGGCATGTCCGGTCACGGTCTCTCGATCAGCAGGTGGACTCTGTCCAAGCGGGGCCCAGGGCTCCTCCTTCCCCGCCACCTGCCCGTCAGCCCAACAGACGCAGAACCAACACCTACTTGCGCGTGTACCTAGCCTCCTTTGTGTTCTGCTGGGTGGCATATATCTTCGCGAACAACTTATTCGCATTTAATATTAACCATGATACGAACTATTTTCTCAATCAGGTGTTGAATTGGTCTATAAGCCCCGTAATACAGGTCTATTGCGGAACGCTATTCCTTACTTACACGCAGGCAGAGCACAGACGGGTGCTCCGTGCGAGATGCCGCTCTTTCCTTGATAAACTTTTGTGTCGTTCCGGCAGAAACTGATTTCACATAACAATGACAATCGCCGAAAACAAAAGACCGATCAGTTTGTGAAAACATAGCAGTGAAGACTCATAAGAATAATTATGAGGAATTTTTGGTGAGTGCGTGCCGATCACTGCCTATGTGTTTTAGGCAAATGGAAGAAGGATAAATGATGTAAAATGATCAAAGTATTAAAGAGGTTTTAGACCCGCAAATTCCGCTAGTATAGCTGGTTGTGGTTTTGAACTTCTTGAGTAAGTTTTAGTGATCCTGAGATTTTCAAAGAATGTACCCGAAAATGGGCTACCATAAGCCCTGAATATGTGACACTGCCTGATTTTTGTTTGTGGTGTAAATCGAGGACACACACGTGCAACATCAGAGATGAGTTGAGGACACAGGAACCGAATCGAGGACTCCTAGTAAGAAAACGTGTACAAAACCAATGAGAGCTGTTGCGAAAAGGTTAGTACAAACAAAGGAAAAGGGAAGAGGAACAAAAGAAAATACTCGATTTACACCATAAACAAACGTGTGTGATCTTATTCCTTTTACGTATGAGGACTTGGAACAAAGTGTTAGGTCTACTTGCGATAACAATAACACTAGAAGGTTCGCGTACAAACCTCATGGGACATCGTGGGCGTATTCGAAACCCCGTTCTCGCGTTGAATGAACACGAGAACGGGATTCCAAATGACGAGAACCAAGTCGCGTACGGTATTCTAGAACAAGATGTTCACTCCCCACCTATAGCATTACGAAGAACGTAAAGAACAAAGATGGCGCACTTAGGCCCCATGTTAAGTTTTAGTTCTACATTGTCTTGAAAAGCTCATGAAATGAAATGAATTTTATGAAATTACTCTACAAAGGACTTAGGGCATATTTTTATATTCGAGGAACTGTGCTTGGTTTCAATGAAACACTTTTTTCTCCACACATTTTGGTTTATCTATTGAAAGTATTCTTTATGGTCTCTGGATCACTATGACGATTAATTCCTCACCCGTTTGTTTATGCGTGACAGGCATGTTCATTATATTACTTGATATTTGAAGATAAAGCATGATATAACTCCACGCATAGATTTCAGGATGGCATATTGCATTAATTTCGGTGTCACTCAAAATCTGCTTCGGTACCATTTACCACCCCGCCCCATTTTATTTGATGGCTTTTAAAATGGCGAATCAACTAGACAGCCAATTATTGTGTCCGTTCAGTTTACTTGGCTTGGGTAAGCCAACACTGGGACCTTGGGGGTAATGGGCTCATGATTTGCTTTTAGGTCCGTGGGCTGTCACACTAGCTCTGCGCAATATAGTGGCAGTCTGAGTGGTGGAGACAGCGACGTGCATTATTACTTCCACGTTGCTTTAGTACATGTTTACTTTAATCTCGAATAGTCATTCATATAATGCTATAGTGTTTCAAAAAAATATTGCCTGATAGACTGACTGTGACCCAATTATAACATCCTTAACTTTATACATTCGTAAAAAAGCAAAGAAAACTAAATGGCTCAACTCTTAGAGTGTTTGATATAAACATTATCTTACTCCTGCAAAGGCTACATGCGTGTTATGTTCCTGTTTGTCCTTGTGTAATGTTTTGTTCTTATCCGAGTAGATTGAATTCTTTTTTTTTTTTATATACATGTACATTTAAAATTAATTTGTGTATATATTAAGATACACCGTTGAATAAATGTCTAGCAAACAAAAGTGTGATGTCACAGTCATTTCAGACAGAAACGTCAATGTTTCAGCTATTTCAGCACCCAAAGTTGCCGGATTTTAGGATATTTTGCTATTGTGAATTTTCTTATCTGTGGCGATTCGTTGTAGTGTCAGTACACGGCAGTATTAAACTCAATGCGCAGACTTTTCTCACAAATGTTTTTAACCAGCAAATGTTTCGGTTGACAATATACAAATATAACATGGTTTGAGGGTGGACAGTCGATATTCGCTCCCCGAGGTATTGGAAGTTGACAAACTAGTTCCCGAGGCGAAGCCGAGGGAACTAGTTTGTCAACTTCCAATACCGAGGGGAGCTAATATCGATAGTGTCCACCCGAAATAAACCATGTTATATTTGTTTTACTATACCTCATACATATTCAGTTGCCGAATTTTGTTTTATTATTATGCACCTAAAACAAAATTCGGGGAAACTTGTACAGCTCACCAAAAAATTCAACTTCAATTACTAGTTCGGTTCGTTTGCAATATAATACAGTTACTACAGTTGTAAATACAAATGTTTGCAATGTGTACAACTTTCTTTTGTACATGAGACATCTTTACACGGTCTATTAATTTCTCCAGTACGGCATCATTGAGCTCTGGAAATTAATATTTACGTGAACCATGCAACCATGCATCTCTCGTGGGCGATGTTCGCGCGTGCGTACTGCACCCGTGCGACAGTTCCTCGATTGCTCTGTAAAGCGCATGCGTAGTAGACTGTCGCACGGGTAACCCATGCGACAGTCTACTACGCATGCGTATTTACAATGTGCGTGAATCCTCGCGCGCGCGTTTGGTAAACAGCAAGAATAACATCTGGCACGTGATGGTGAATTGACCAGTGAACGTTCGGCTCTCGATCATGAATATGTATGAGGTATAGTAATTTGAACTGAAAGCCCCTAGACTGAACAGTCTTCCTGAAATGACATCACAGCAACAGCGCCCTCAGTTGTCGAGAAGCATGGAAAAGTTTGGATGTTTTAAGAAGTGCACTTTTCAATAAAATTAACCAAAAAGGAATGGTAAAATTCGTCGGTTGCACCATACCACGAACCGTCGAATCGCATTTTTTGTGTTTTGAGGGGAAAAAATGAGTTAAATTTGGTCATTATTTTGAAGGCTCATTCCATATACTCCCTGTGTAAGAATTGAAGCTGTAAGAATTGAATGCATTTCCAACGGTATGCAAGTTAAATATAGTATAAAAACAGGTTTATATTGCATGAAAAATGCATTAGATGGCACACTACCGCAGCTCGCCTTAAAGATTAATCGGTGCTCCGCCGGGAAATCAAACGGAAGCCATTGCAACGTGGATTCAATACGAGTTATACGACCCTCTTATGCGGCGTACCAGTCTAAAATAAAAGTGTCCAGTGACAGCAGGGGTAATGACTGGAACCCATTCAGCTGTCCGCAAGAAACAGCTTAAGAAAATTAAAACTTGTCAGCTTTAATAAGACAGTTACCAATGGTCCGTTGATGATGAAATGGGTACCAGTTTAAAAGTGGCATATTAATGGTCGCAAGTCCCTTGAAGATAAAAGACCGAATGTCGGAGTTTCTGCCTTTCCAAAGATGAAGATGGCATATGGGCACCACGTCAGGAGAATCATGAGCAGCCCTCTGCGTCCAGGATCAGTCATTGCAGCGTAGCTCCCGAAGAATGGACAGCGACGTCTAATGCTGGACATGCCGACGTCACACACTCTCTGCTGGTCGAGATCCCTATTTATTTGACTGTCGTTCAACCCTAATGATATAATTTGTCTAAGTTCGCACCCAAATCAAAAGAAGTGGATAGTAAAGCTATCGTGCCGACTAGGCCAAGTGTACCCGAGGAGAGCGATGTGAATTAGTTTAAATGGCTCACTCTCCTCACAACCGAGTGGTTCCACTAGATAATTTGGGTGGAGCGAAGTTTTCTGGTTGTCTCAATATATCAAAAGTTATTTACAGCACAATTTAATTGATATCAAATATATGGGACAATGTATATACAAATTTATATCAGGTGTTTACAATTGAATGATAGTATAAAGAACTTTGGTATATAAGAACTTTGGTATATAAGAACGACAGTCAAAAGGGAATGGAAATGTGCTGTCTACTGTCTAGATCTATCCAATGATCACTTGGGATGATCTACGTTCATGCCAGGCTGTCAATGTCAAATCGATGAAGAAGCAGCAGCAGAAGAAAAATATTGAAAAACTGCAGTGCCGGCAACGCCGGATAAATTGCGACGCTGCTGACAGCCGGGACCCGCACCCAAAATTTGTTGTGGAGAGTGCAGTGCTCGCTAGGAAATTATGGTGTGGATTCAACGAGGTGTTGGATCGAAATCAACGATATTTTGCAGCCTAGCCTTACAGGAAAATTATACGAAACGCCCGGAATGCCAGCTATCTAACTTTAACAAAGCGTGGTGGTGTGTAAAACTCGCCTCTCGCTACGCCCTTTGCATAGTTTAAAAAGTAGCGGGTAAAATTCTTGGTGGCGCGTGCTGTGCTAAAAAAGTTTAGTTGGCCGCAAGAGGGCGCTAGGCAAAGCAAAAAGCATGACCGCAATGGCTGCTGACATGTGAAATGAATGCTGGAGTAGGGAACCTGTCGGGTAAAAGTGTGTACGAAAACCCGACCTGGTTACATGTTCCCAAGCAAAATTCATTTCATGGTCCTTATATAGCCGAAGATAACAGCCAGGTATGACTGCGGGTTTTTTTTTTTAAAGAAAGAACCCAATCTGAGTTAATATCAAATCACAGCAGTCTTAGTATGTGCAACTGCCGCTAAAGTAGTTCACTGAGTTGTCCCGAAATTTGGTCTTTGAAGCAGATCTTTCATGACGACCATAACAAGATCGGTTCTTGTCAGACCATCAGGCATATGAATTACACTCATGGAGATGACGATGTATCCTGGACTCATTAGTTTTGGTGCGCTTTTTTCTTGCGAGTGTACATCGCAGTGGCGGGTCCTCGCGGCTGCGCGCGTCATCGCAGTGGCCGCGTCATACAGAAAGAAAGATTACTGAAAAATTTAAAGAAAGCAAATTTACCCTCCCCCAAATCCATTACTACACTAATAAGTGATAATTAAGTCCATGGACAAAATGAAAAAGCGGCACCTCTGATTTGAATGATCCGTTATATAATATGTGAGGGTTCGACTTCGAGTCCCAGAAATGTTACATTTATCTTTTTTTATCCCGTGGATGTTCTTTCCTAAATTGTATTAAATCAAGCCCTACTAATCGATAAACTAAGATTTTAAAGTTTTGGTTCTCACATATCAATGTATCCATGGTATAGCCCCTGTTTATCTTCAAAGTTTAGTTCAGGAGTACAAACCAGCTAGAAATCTGCGTTCTTCCCAGAAATCTATGTTGTCACCCCAGTCATTAAAACTAAGTCATATGGTTCCCGCTCCTTCCAATCAGCTGCAGTTCTTGTCAGATATTGTCAAACATGCCGAAACATCAGAACAATTCAAAACCCGGGTCAAAACATATCTTTGTATAAATTTGTATAATTGTTGATTTCATGAGAGCGCATAGGGACCTCACGGTAATATGCGCTATATAAGAATGTTTATTATTATATTTACCTCCCCCCCCCCTCATGGCTCTGGAGGATTGATTGTTCAAAAGGGGAAAGTAAAGTCCGAGAATCCTCCCGTACGGCGCGGAACCAGCGGGGGGGGGGGGGGGTAAAAAAAACACCCCAGCTATGTAAAAATATCTACTTTTTTTCATAGAAATTACTTTAAAATAATGCAAACCCGCCCCCCCCCCCGCTCTGACACCCCAAAAAATTACACTGGTTGATAATGTCCGCCTGTAAGTACGGTCAGAGCGTCGGATTTGAACAGCGCCCTCATGGAAAGTATGATACGAGCCCCCCCCCCCAACACTATCACCCACCCCAAGCAAGCATGTTTGTTTTACGTACCTAGTGTGGGATTCCTTTGCTTTCATGTTGTTATTAAAAAAAAACTTATTAAGTTAAACTGTGAAAAATTACTCAAACTGTAGCCTTGACCAAGGCGTTGGGCTTATCGATTCGCCGATAAAAAAAAATCGCCGATAAGAAAATCCCTAATCAACTTGGCAAGGTATAATTGCGTGCACATATCGATGCCCGTACGCTGCTAGTGAGAAAGTAACTTGTACCATACAGCAAGGCTATGCTTGTACATGTACGCACGTACATGTACATTGTACATCACACACGTACTCGTACAACAGCCATGCACACACGGTGTGAGCTAGTCCGCGTAACCCTTCGACCGGCCACGCGGCGCGTATATCCCCCACACGTACGTACGTACACCCACACGCAGAATATAGTATAGGCCTACATTTACTGCCTTATTACACCATGCGTACAGTCCGTACTCACGTGTTTGTGCTTGCTGGTTGTGTTAGTACCAAATCGTTCGTACGGACAAGGGTCGGTGGTACGGTACACGCACGGACAAGGGTCGGTGGTACACGCACGTAGCCGCGTTGATTGTGGGTGCAGGGCCCGATTATCTCCCTTCGACAAAAAGCCGAGAGACCGCATTGAACAAGGCTACTCAAACTGTGAAACCCTTTCAACCCATTTTCCCCTATATGATTCCGTTTAGTGTTTCTCTTCATTTTGCCACAAATAAACCTAACCCCAAAAGGCCTCTAAACCTGTTTTTCAGAGAGAGAGAGAGAGAGAGAGAGAGAGAGGGGGGGGGGGGAACTTTGTGGACGTGGGCAAGTCCACACAACGTCGCTGCTACCTGGTTTATGTGGACATCTTTTGTTCAGAAGTCCATAGAATGTAATGCTTGTTCACACACAGCAAGCCCACACACATACACTGTGCACACCCGCACACACCTATTGATTTTCGAAAGCCAAGTGTCCGGAGAAAAAAAAACCCTGTCTACATTTCAGATTTTTTTGCTATTAACCCCCCCCCAAAGACATTTCCTGGATCCGCCCCTGCCGCATGCGCATTATGGTCATTAACGATACCAGGTTGCAGAAAAAAATAATTGCCTCCGCTCCACATTGTTAAACAGCGCCCTCTGCCTTTTTCCAAGTCCTCGGCGATTCCGAAAATGGCAGCCTCCAGGGCTTTTCGCACATTTTCTGTTGCAAAAATATTTGACTGCCGTTTTTTCCCCCTAACTAATATTTTGTCAAAGTGTCACATATCCGAAAATACTACCTTTACGCCTTCAAGACTTCAGTGCAGCTGTACTCAGAGCAGATGTACAGCGATAAATAGGTAAGATTCCATGTTGCAGTGTTTTCCAACTTTGAAAATGAAAGGTCATTGAAGGTCGGTACGGTGCGCCGTAAAAAAAAGCGGGGGGGGGGGGGGGGGAGGGGCGTTTAGGGTTGCAGTCATACACTTCTTGGAACGATTCCCATATCTGGCCATCACTAATTTTTCCCTTCACTTTTGACCTATCGGCCATCAGAAAGTGATATGTCCTAAAAAGTTAGTCCGAGTAACAGCAGCGACTATTAATGGTGGTGTACTAGCTGGAGTTACCCAGCCCTGAGTTTTATCATTGGGTTGTCATCTAGGGCTGGAGCGTATTTTTCTCGTAACTTGTAGTATATTCAAAAATGTTCAATTTTGTCCCCGTTACACACTAATTGCAACTGCAACTCACCCCAAACTTGCCTGGAATAACCATTACACAGGTCCTTGAAGTAAAAAACGATCAACGATGAAGATTCAGCCTACAATTGCAGTGAAAACAGGAGGAATAACCGCTAACTTGACAACCTTGCTGGATTGGCCAGGACCGCAATTGGTTTGTGCACAAAAAAAATTGTGTACAATGAATGGCGGTCGATTAACAGGCACAGAGAGCGATCGCTGTCAACTACTCGTTTTGCCGGCTGCGCTGGCTGTTGGCGCATGACGTCACGCGGAAGCGTATGACCCGATGACTGTTTCATGCACTATTGGTTGCGGTTCCAGTACCAAAGCTGTGATGCGAGTGGTAAACCTTATATTAGTGCATGAAACAGTCATCGGGTGTTACGCTTCCGCGTGACGTCATGTGCCAAACGTGGTGCACGCCGCTGATTGGCTGAAATGGTTTGGTACCATGCTACGGTGGCCTATGACGATCATTTGCCCTGACGACAATTTGCCGTGAAAAAAAGTTTCATTTTATTGCATTTTATGATATGCTGGAAACAGTATGGATCTTTAGGTGTTTACAAGTTTACAAACGGCTACAACATTAAAAACAGTTGAAAAGTAAAGCAAATCTCTTGAACCTCGAAATCAGAAAATATAGCAATGCAAAAAGACACGACCCTTAAATAAAAAAATAAACATGGTCATTTCTGTTTTAGCCTCTGAAAAAGAACTTGCAACGTCAGGCAACATTGATTTTTAGAAAAAAAATAAACAGTTACAAAAACGTACGCTCGTCCAATATTGTAAAAAAAATAAAAATGAAAATATCCAGTAACTTGAATAAATGTTTTTGAAAAAAGAAGTAGGGCCTACAATACCAACAAATGACAATCCAGACAAACAATACACTTTTGCCAGCTACCAAAATCGAGTCGGCTCCTTCGATTTGCGGCCTCCTTGTTTACTTTTATCCTTGAGGTATTCGTCTTCCTCCGTCAGCATTCGGGCACTTCTGATTGCTTTTGGTCGCCTGGTGAACACTTCTGGAGATGATGGAAACTTCTCGATAGGGGCGAATAGACCGTCGATGGAAGAACTTCCCCTCTCCGGTTGCTCAGGGAGCTTGCTTAGCACGACGTCAGGTTTGAATGGGCAAATTCCAGTGCATCTGAAGGATGATACTAAACTGTCACTGCTAATGGCCATCATGTAAGCTTTGCATGCCAGCGAGGCGATGTCTTCTTCGACCAGAATGCGACCTGTGTTCTTGTACTTGTGGAGCCAATTGTGAACTGCTCTGTTGTAGGTGGCCTTGAAAGGAGCAAAGCAGCCCACGTCAAGGGGTTGGAGGATGTGGGACGTGTGTGGAGGTATGACAAATAAATGCACTCCTTCCAACCGGGCCTCTTCGATAATCTGCACGCTGATGTGGGTAGAATGGCCATCATACAGCAGAAGAAGCGGCCTAACTGACCCAACTTGTGGTAGGAAGTGACCCTTGAACCATTGGAGAAAGGTAGCACTGTTGCTCCAGCCGGTCTTTGTGGCATTATAACCTGTCCCTGACAAAGTCCCCTCCGTCCACTCTTGTCGAACCCTTGCCCCCTTGAAGATGATGTATGGCGTGAGCCGATTTCCCATGGCATTCCCACAGGCAATGATGGTGTGTATTGGACCCCGTCCACACGAGACAGCATTGAATGCTTCTTGGCTCGGCCCCAGAGATTTCGGTGGCTTGTGATCTCTCGTGATTCCTGTTTCATCGACGTTGTATATCTGGGCAGGACAATCACGCAGGTTGTACTTCTTGAGAACCTCTAGAAGTTTCCCAAAGTACGCCTCTAAAATTGATCTCCTGGACATTTCTGCCCTCAAGTGATCCAGTCTGCTTGGCCTCCTCGGTCTTATGATATTCTTCCATCTTGTGAGGAAGCCGTAGTACCAGTTCCATCCTGGTACGAAGTCGGTGAATCGGCACTTGCGCTCTTGATCCTCGCTGCACAAGATCCGGGCCATTTCGCCGGCGATCTCACGGATTTGACTTCCAAGATAGGAGTACCCCATTTGCCCCACATATGAAATGTGTTCTGCCAGCTTCTTTTCTTCATATTCTTTGAAGAATGTTGTACATGTACGTCCACCTTGTGGTTTCCCGGCAGGTACTCCATTTGTTGCCCATCGTCTCAGTGTGGACTCGGGCAAATTGAATTGTTTTGCCGTCAGTCGATAGGAATCTTTTCGCTTGACTTCCAAAGAATGAACGGCAGCAAGCATGGAATTCTGCCGAAGATCTCTCTACAAAAATGAATAAATAAACAAACAAACGATATACTACAAGTTTATTTATTTTAAAATTTAATACATGATTAAATATACAACTCTAGCTCAAGTTAAGAAAATAGAAAAATCAGCAGTGTTTCAATAATATTTAAAAGGCATCCTAGACGTTTTAAATACTAACAATTTCAACAATATTCATATAATGTCAATTACCTCTACATTTGCATATCCGCTACATTTACTCGATTATAATATCTAATCAAAAGTGCACCCGCACGGTACCAGTGATGCCAAGCCACATAAAAACTAGGCCTAATTGTATTCACTTTATATGTCTATTACAGGCTACTGTACATGACGTCATGACAACCTAGAGCAGACGACACTATTTTTATGTTCCGGTAAATTTCCAGTAAACTTCGGATTATTCTGCTTACTTTTCATTAATACTGATAACGTTGACTAATAATATGACTTTCTAATTAGTTTAATTGTTTTGGAATCTTGAATTAAAAGAAAACGTCTGCTTGTTACCTTTTTTTGGCCATTGTTTCTGGACGTCGACGGCATCTTGATACTTTTTGCTATGGGATTGTCTGGCTTTCTGTGTAACCTTTGACCTTCTACGCGCAATCGTGACGTCAGAAATTTGAATCTAGTATGTATATTTGCGAAGGATTGTGTGACCTTTATTAAGTGTTAATTGCAAGAAAAATGGATTGTTCATTTCGTCAAGAGAGGAGAAAAATCAAAGTGCGCCACGTTAGGGGGCGCGCCACGTTAGGGTACACCAACAATATAGCCCGACTGCGTCTGGCCGTACAGTACTATCACAAGCTCTGTAGTACGGCCAGACGCCCAATGCTTCCACAGAGACTGAATTTTTTTGGCCGCTGATGTAGCGATTTTGCTACAGATTTCGATCGAGATTATTTTTTCATCCAGGACACAAATTTCCAAAGTTAAGGTTCTTAGTCATAGAGCATCTCATAGCTTTTCGAAAAAACGTTCTTTGGTCACAATATTTTCATCCATCTGGCCAAAAGACGACTTTTAGTCATCATCTTCCACAAATATTGTCCCGAAAATGCTCCCCCATGCGATTTCAAAATGGCGGCCGCGCTGTAATGTATGCATTATGCAGGCGCGCTTGGGCAAGATAATGAATATGCATTATTTAGTTCATGACCTCGTGTTTGTATGGCCAGCTGCGCCGCGCGCCCGACAAACGTCATAAACTATGATGCATATTCATTATCTTGCCCAAGCAAACGTCGCGTGACACAATTCTCCCGTTGACCAACATTGCCCAACCAAAACATCAGATTTACCTCAAAACGGCCTCCAAATTCCAGATTTCACCCCCAAAATAGTCCTCAAACTGCCTTGTGCGCCCCTGTAGGCTTTCTTGGGAATTGAAAATAAAAATGGTGGTGGTTAGGTCATATACCTTTGGGAAGAAAAGAGAAATTTCACCTTCTGCTGGGAAACCGATCCTCGTCGTCCTGGTGGCTGCCATCTTGAATTCAAGATGGCGGCCTCCGGGCTTGCCAGGAAAACGAGGATCGGTTTCTCAAATTGTTGTGAGATTTGGACAGAGAATGAGTGTGGCTTTCTGATGGTACCAAACTTGGCGATTTTATTTTGGTGCATTTCTAGAAAAAAATAGACTTTAATTGAAAAATTGTGAAGCAAAAAATGATTCTTTTGGGTTCAGAACTTGAGCTCTTCTTTAGAAAAACCTGATGAAAATGGGGTTTAGTGAGCTGGCAAAGTTGATTTAATTAAAATAGTACATTTGACCTTGTTTTCTTCTTCTGTTTGCAGATGGTCAAGTCAGTCTACACTTCCACTGGCTGTCCCACAGCGGCTTCTTTTCAGACATGCAACCATCGTGTTAGGTAAAACTGACCAATCAAAGGACTTTCATACGAGCTGCTCTCGCCTTGGACTGGAGGAGTTCTTTGATGATCCAAAAACATATGGAGAGCCTGATGTCAAATCAGGTATGTATGTTTTATCTGCATGGAGAGCCTAATGTCACAATTTAAATTGTACATGTACATGTATGGATTATTAGTTTTGTAACCACCATCATGCATGTCATGAGAAACAACTGTATCTTCTGCTACTAGACTCGAGGTACCCTAAATGGGTTTCTTAGATAAATTTAGTACTATTGACATTTCTTATTTTTATATATACATGTCACAGGCAGACCATGGAGTGCTGATGAACTAAGGTTGAAAGATAATGCAACACTGCACAAATTATGGTAAGATGAAATAAACATCATAATTGATAATTTAAGTGTCTGCCAAGTACAAAGGCAATTGGATTGATAGTAGCACCCAAAGTGCCTCCCACGATGAAAACGTGTACAAATGCTATGGGAAATGGCTGAAAAAGAAGAAAAAGAAAAGAAAAAATGAAAGGAAATTGAAGTACTAGTTGGTTCTCTGTCCCTATACCAATCCAGTTACATTTATCTTTATTTGATGGAAACCAGTCAAGACGACTGCTTGAAAAGAGCTTTGAGGCAAACAGATTGTGCGTCGCACCTGGAAATACAAACAAATGGTTTATGATGCATGCAGACAATTAATGTGTGTGTTCCTTGCAATACCATGATGTTTAACAACACTGGAAGTAGACTTGTCGAAAATTACATATATCAATAAATCCGAAAATCACTAAAATGTCACCTTTCATGTGCCAGATTCTGTCTCATATTGCCAGAACGCCTCACAGATAAAAAATAGCGAGGATCTTCAAGATACTGTGGGGCTCATTACATATCAAGAAGTAGCCCATTCCAGACTGGAGATAAATACTGTTTCTGAAATCAATCTATCTTTCATTGGGTTCTTAACCTCATACATTTGGCACAGAGGTTTCAAACTCAGATGCAAAATTTGTGGTTTGGTATTTGAGCTCAGACAGGGCACTATCAAACTAAAGGATTCGTCGTACTCACTCATCGTGTGTTATTTGGTGACATCAGACTTGGCCCCAAATTAACCCAAACTCATATGTGTTCTTCATTGCTCAAGTTTAAGACTTAACATCAGAAGCTTAGACATCTATGAGAACTTGGACTGGGACTCGGCTCATAAGACTGTGACTGAAACTGAACATCTGTGATGTGGTCCTTGAGCCTACACTTGAGACTGAGGTTAAGGCCTTAAAATATGTCACACTCTTATGAGTATTAGGTGAAATGTTGTCTTGATGTGTTGCATGTCAAAGGTATGTTCTGCTGAAGGAGAGTAACATGCTACTGACCATGGAAGCAGAGGCAGAGAGACAAGACAAGAGGATGCCTGGCTCAGATAGACACAGCAAGGTTGGCCACATTGCAAGAACTGGAGACTCCTAATAGAGTTTCTTCTTTTTGTATTTCAGGTTATTTTTGCTCGGGGAAAATACATCTCTGATTATGATAAATACAGGCATGCAACTTTTCCTCGGATCAGCTGATTTCCTCTTTTTTTACTTCCCATGTGTGCCATTGAAAATAGGAAAACACTACAAAATCTGGGAAAAATGTGAATTTCCTCTTTTTTTGACTTCCCAGTTGCATGCCTGTAAATAGAAGATTAGGTACACATTGACAAGGTGCACATTGACAAGGCGCACATTGACAAGGTGCACATTGACAAGGCGCACATTGACAAGGTGCACATTGACAAGGCGCACATTGACAAGGTGCACATTGACAAGGTGCACATTGACAAGGTGCACATTGACAAGGTGCACATTGACAATGTGCACATTGACAAGGTGCACATTGACAAGGTGCACATTGACAAGGTGCACATTGACAATGTGCACATTGACAAGGTGCACATTGACAAGGCGCACATTGACACTGCTCAGGATAACTGGGTGCACTATCTGGCAGTGGATGAGCCATATAGAACAGTAGTACGTGTACATTACTGGAGTGCTGACTCCTCATTCTCGTTAGGAAGTGTTCTTGGCAAATGCATTGTGAATTAATGTGCGTATTTGATTTCGTATAATGTCCTCTAAATGCAACATGAAAGTTACAAACAAATAGTAGTATACTATAGGTGTGGTTTTCTCTTTCACTGGTAACACATATACACATGCATACATTGTTTGTACTGTGCAAAAACAAAGATGCTCATTTATTGATCATGTGCTTCTGTTTTGTGCATATGGGCTTCTTTATAATGCATTAGTTTCAAGATATGCAAATACATGTAGCCATACAACACTGTCCACCTGGTTATGGTTTAACCCTAACTCCCTAGGTATGCAGAAATGTAAATACTGGGAGCAACCCCAATTCCACCAAAATCAATTACTCTGAGGTGTGTACAAAATCCATAAGTACTTACCGTAATCTGCCAAAATCCACCAGTGACACAGCTGGTGGATTTTGATGGATTCAGTGTACCAATGGCTTATGTGAAAACTAATGGAAACTAATTGCTTATATGATACTATACCATGTCCGACAAAATTGTACCAAAGCCAAGGTGTTGATTTTGATAAATGTGGGACACAATTTGCAACAATGTCTTTCATTTAGGTGAAGCGATCGATGAGGAATTTGCAGCAGGTGATGCAGGAGAGAAACGAAGTGTTGACTGAGTTGAGGACGGGCGGTCCAGAGGAACATCCAGCCAAGATGGTGTACACGCCGTTTGGATACCTGCGATACATCAAACCAAAAGAGCATTATGTGCCCATGTATGCCAACAAAACGGTGAGTTTGATTGCTAAATATCTACAGTTGGTCTTACTTGCCCATTTTGCAGTACGAAGGTGTGTATTGGTTAAAGTTGCATTCCCTGTGCTCTTCAACATATTACATTTTGTTCTATTAATAAAGTTTCAATTTGTATGTTTTATTCCAACCAAACAAACTCCTTTTTGGATGCCTGCAAACCTCTGAAAAAAAGGTTTTGTTTTGGGACAAACATATCTGCTAAGAGAGCAGACTGGCTCCCGGTCCGTACACTATCGATACTGATTATGGGCGGGAACCAGCCCTCCCTGCGAGAATGGAATTATTGTCCGTTAGCCAATAATTCAAACTTGTCATGTAATAAGTCAATAACTAAACACAGGCTAATTGTTTTTGGTCGATGTCTCATTAGAAAGTGAAGAACTTCTGTATGGCTAGAAAAATAGCAATTTGGAAAAGGAATCTATTTTTCGAGATGAAACTACAAAAATAGCACAGGGAATGGTCTTTACGTTTTGGAAGACACACGATAGAGTGATACCATTACCAATTCCATGGAGTTAAATACATGTACTGTGTTTTTTTCAACGATGTCTTGTAGTATCACCGGAAGCGGTACCGCTACAAACCGTTTGTCAAGAAGTACTTGAATCTATGGATGGAAAAAGAGAATGACAAACGACGGAAGGAGAAACGACAACGCAAGAATCAGATCAAGAAACTAAAAGAGAGGTACCCTGACGCTGATGTGTGGCAGAATTGATAACTGTCTGCTCTGGGCAGAAACTATAATGCGCACAATGTGACTGACTCCATAGTACCATACGTGACTGCAAGAACTGCATTGTGCAAGTCAGTCCTCAGGTGTTGATACAAATTGGCCTCTTAACCTATGCACAAAACTACTGGATAGATTGTACTCCGACTTTGCCAATGTCTACATGTAGGATTACAGTTGTGCAATGTCCAAGTGCCCAACATGACCATTGATCAACATGTTAGACTGTAAATATTGTAGTTAACAAAGAAGGTTTCTAAGTGTAGATCAGATTTGGAAGAATCCACACTCCAAATATGTTGTCTGTTCTTGGGAATCTGTTGTTGGAAAACAGGCCAATAATGAGAAATTGGGACTTTATTTTGCACATGAAGCCAACCATTTTCAGTGTAATGTTTGCCCTTGTGCTCGGGTATTCACATGCAGACATGGTACAACCTTAAAGGCCAGTTTATAGTTGGTCACACGATGGGCAAGCGACTTGCATATACTTGTGGTTTATAGTTGGCACTGAAGGACCTTGGCAACGTCAGTACAAAGTTGAATAATTGAACTTTGACATGGTCACTGACCTCACTGTTCATCATTGGATTGATTATTTGACCAACAATTTGAATCTGAGGGGTACCCCTTCACACACTCTAGACTATTCCTACCTAACACATGCCCCTAGATATCTCACACTAATTCCTGAGATTCAGGGAACACAATGACCGAGTTCTGTCACATATCTTGCTTCAAATAGGACAGTAGGATTGCTTGACTTGTATGAATAATGAATACGCAAATAAAATTCATGAAAAGCATTCCGTTGAAATATTCCAGTCAATAAAATGTGAGAGCAACTTTCTAGCAGATGCTGAAGGATGAAAAATTAGGAATGGGCATGAAACATCAGCTTTTTATGTATTTACCCTAAATATTTACTTCTGTATTAAGCGAAGGATGAAAAGAATGTTCAGAAATTGCATGACAAATGTTTCTATTGAGACCAACAACATGAAATGAAGAAAACTCTTTGATTTGTTGTGCATTCATAAATCATTACTGTCATCTTTATTTGTGAATAAAACACCCCCATTATAAAACTGGCATGAGTCTTACTACTTAAATGTTGTTCAAAGTATCAATGTTTGGTTAAAAATTAGCAACTATTAAAAAATAACTAAAGAAAATGACAAAAATTATATAAATATGAAAGGCAGGACTGATTTATCAATCTTAAAACACTTTTCATAAAATCAAAAATGCATGATCAGCAAATGTATAAATACTGAAAAATCAAGCTATTCAATACAGTGAAATCATGATAAGTCAAAACCTGTTAACTCAAAGTAAGAACTTACTCCTGTCAATTGTTGAAAAGAAAAAACTATTAAGCCGAGGGTCGACTTATCAAGAATTCACTGTAGTTACATCAAATGAAAACATTGAACTGATGAAGATATGCTGCCTTGTGAACCAATCACGTAGATATATTTTACCCCTCAAATGTACTTGGCTATCCAATGGCATGCTATGTACAATGGAGATGAGATCCACTAATCAGAATATAGCATTACGTTGTTCAATGCTGCGGCTTCTGATAAGATTCCAAAATTTTAAATTTACTTCAATGCAAATTTGAAAGCTTACCCTGATTATACTGAAGGGCGTTTCTTTCATAAAATTATACACTTATTTGATTTTCCTTTTTTTTCTTTTTTTTTTAAATACAAAACAGATTAATTCAAATTGATTAACTAGAAATCAAAGCAAGAAACTGGCCCAAGCACCTCAAACTGTCAACATTTGTTCATTTGTGACCTAGGATTCTATTCACCAAAAAAATATCTTTGGACAAAAACTGGTGTCAGTCTATTGCAAAGGACTACAAATATTAGGAAAGGCAGCTTTACACCTAGCAATTTTGATGTTTTAGTGGGTTAGGCACAATGTCAATGTCTCAAGTTTAACCTTGCAAATTTGGAGCGCAGAATGTGTACATCAGGCATGCAACGTTTCCTTGGATCAGCTGATTTCCTCTGGTTACTTCTCATGAATGCTAATACAAATTGAAAAAAACACTGTACAAAGTCTTGTGTGGTTTGGAATTCCCAGTTGCATGCCTGGTACATGTGCAAAAGCTAGGCACATAAAACAGTGGATCGAAACAACCCTCCCCCAGAATACAGAATTCTATTTCATTGATCCAACATGACTCTTCACTTGAAGTCTTTGCATCTGGTCTACACAATGGGCTGGATTGAGCCCACTCATTGGCGTTGTAGGGTAATCCTATACAATAGCACTGCCAGGCTCCAGTCTACGACCCATCTGAATCACAGTGTCAGCCAGTCATTCAGTGAGATAGGTACAATCAGGACACTAGCTTAGCTCTCTGGGACCAGCACACATTTGGCTGGAAGTGTTGGGCCTCATCTCCACCATCATCTGTGCTCCAGAATCATTGTCAGTGTCTCATATTGAGCAATTTCATGCATCCGAGGCAGAAACAGCATCTTTTTTGGGGCCAAAGTGCCCATGTGATGGACCTATAAGAATACAGCCCATTTTTGGAAACTCTAGTCAGGCTGGGGTAGGGGTCACAAATAATACAATTGGGACTCTGTGCCTAACACAGTACTGTAACTTTCAATATTTGTTCACATGTAAAAAACTCCAATCCGGATATGCTATTCACGCAATCATAGGATAGCAAGTCAAGATGGGGAACCATTAGATCATTGGACTCGATTGGAACTAAATGATCCACTACACTAGTTTAAACCAAGTCCCCCCCAATATTAACCCAACGATCATCATCTTGATATGAGTCCTCCAATAGTAATTGCCATTCGAAAATAATATATAATTTAAATAATCAATGTCCGTAGTTATTAGTTCTACCACCACAATGCCATGCCTGGAATTTTGATACAGACGGCACCATGGCACTTTAAGCAAGTCCTCCTTCGGGCATAGTGATTGGAGCGATGAGACCCAAGTCACGTAGCTGCTGGTGCTATGTTGAACTCACTGTTGAGCAAGCCTAGGTCATGATTATCGGCAGCTTTGTACAGGTCTGTCCGGCTTAGTAGTGAGATGGTCATGCGTAAGGTGCTCCAGATGTTTTGGGACATGGTGGATCTTTCACCCTGGGGCCCAATGCCCCGCTGCTGCATGTTGAGCGCTGTCAGGAAGTGTTCAATGGCTTCTCTGTTTAATGGTTGAAAAGAGAAAACCAAATAGGGTGGTAGTACAAAACTTTATGAAATGTGGAGACTACAAATTCAGCATTGGGTACAGCGGGATTTGGGTTAAGAGGATGGCAGCATCTCACATCAGCCCTCACATCAACAACACAGGCTCTCTGTCTAGGTGATTACGTCATGCGCACAAAATGTGTGTGAAAGACATTAGCGCGTGATTCAGCCCAAGAACCAACACGCGCGTGTACTCCATTCGTTTGCACTACACTTTCTGGTTCTAAATGACGTCACACTTCGGTACTCCATACTCAAGGAAACCAAATACACCTTCTTTGTATTTTTTTACATTTTAAGTTATTTGTGAAGTTCATGACTTCATAGAATTTGATAGAATTTACACTACCATATCTTGTGAGCTAGTATGGAAACTACAAACGTGTTGAAAACAGATTTCATTTCCATTTAAACCCCCATCTATTTTGATCTCTTTGCTGATATAGATTCTCTGCAAAAATGAACGCTCCTTGACTGTTCCAAAGAGAGCGCAAGCGAGAAAGCGAGATAATGAAAATACAATGACAGTGCAATTGTCATTGAACTTGTGTTACCACAAGAATCTACAGTGCCATACCTACAATGCAGTATCCAAAATGCAACATGGGTCATGGGCAAACAGGTTCTTGCAAAAACCACACTAACAAGCATCCCTGTAGACTTACTTGTGTGCTCCTAGATTGATGCAGCTGATGCCTAGATTGTAGCGTGATCGGATGAAGCCAGGGTAGAATTGCAGGGCACGGTGGTAGGCATCTACGGCCTCCTCGCTGCGATTGCCATTGGCTAGCGTGGCACCAAGCTTGTTCCATAGCAGGGCATCCTGGGATTGAATGGGGGACAGATACCATATTGATAAAGCATCTTTGTTAAACAAAGTGCTTCAAATAACTATAATCACACAAATTGGATTATTTAAAAAAAAATTCTTTGGTGAATAGCTTCCAAACCTTATTCAAATTAGCTTGCTGACCCTGCCAACTTGTATGTGCTTCAGTAAGCAGGTGGTTCCAGTCTTACCCAAGCAAGTTTGTGATTACAGTAAACTCCGGTTAAACCGACATCGTACAACTCGTCAAATTGCTCAAGTCGGCCGTTTGACTAAAGTCCCGATTGTCCGTAATGCATATCCATTGAATTTTTTATTTCAAAGTCGGCGTTTATAAGTCGCCATTTCGCTCAAGTCGTCGTGTTACTCTCGGTCCCCTTTCCATAAAAAGCATTACAAAATCCTTTGTGTAAGTCGGCATTCAACAAATAAAACATTGGCATCTACTTCCTGTACTGCGGTTGGCAAAGTGTCGAGTGAAAAGTGGTTTCGCACGGCCCGTGATCGCTGCATGCATCGGTGTCGAAAAAGAGTGTCCTACTGCATACTACTATGCGGTGCTATATAGGATCTTTGCTGCATACATTGCATGCATCGTGAGCAACATACCAATACCAGTACCCCCTCTAAGCTGTACGCATGCGCTCTGTCCATTTTGGGGGTCGTCTTATTGAATGACTACTGCTGCATGCAGTCAATGCGTGCGTGGTATATACCGGACCACGCACGCATTTAATTCGTTACTGTGCACGTACACATGTATCGTGGTCTCCACTATCAATGCCCCAAACGTGATGATACAATTCGAGGATTAATTTGCTGGATTAACTCAAGCATTAAGGAGATAATCCAGGGTAAATCGAAGCCAATTAGTGCAATGAATCATGTGTGCAAAAGACCATTCATGTAAGTCGGCAAAATGACGACTTATAGCATATATCGGCATTCACGTAAGTCGTCACAACTTCTCGGGTCCCAAGAGTAGAGGTTTAGCCGGAGTTTACTGTATTTCTTTTCTGATGGCCTTATAATAAAGCACTCAGTTCATACATGCTCTTACAGGGATAAACTCTAGTTAAATCCCTCTAGCAAATTTGAAAGTCTGTTCATGCTACTTATATCCATACCCAGAAAGGCTTACAAAGCTGTATCTGAGTGATCCCAAATGGGCGCGATCCCAAGCTACATGGCACAAATGGGTTTATGGCTGTCAACTAGTGCCTTATGAACAAACACTTCAAACAATGGGAGACTGTCAACATAGTGCTGGATAGCTCAGATGGTAGAGCTCTGACACAGTAGTCCACAGGTCTCAGGTTCAAATGGGAGGCTGTCAACATAGTGCTGGATAGCTCAGATGGTAGAGCTCTGACACAGTAGTCCACAGGTCTCAGGTTCAAATGGGAGACTGTCAACATAGTGCTGGATAGCTCAGATGGTAGAGCTCCGACACAGTAGTCCACAGGTCTCAGGTTCGTATGGGAGACTGTCAACATAGTGCTGGATAGCTCAGATGGTAGAGCTCTGATACAGTAGTCCACAGGTCTCAGGTTCAAATGGGAGACCGTCAACATAGTGCTGGATAGCTCAGATGGTAGAGCTCTGACACAGTAGTCCACAGGTCTCAGGTTCGTATGGGAGGCTGTCAACATAGTGCTGGATAGCTCAGACGGTAGAGCTCTGACACAGTAGTCCACAGGTCTCAGGTTCAAATGGGAGACCGTCAACATAGTGCTGGATAGCTCAGATGGTAGAGCTCTGACACAGTAGTCCACAGGTCTCAGGTTCAAATGGGAGGCTGTCAACATAGTGCTGGATAGCTCAGATGGTAGAGCTCTGACACAGTAGTCCACAGGTCTCAGGTTCAAATGGGAGGCTGTCAACATAGTGCTGGATAGCTCAGACGGTAGAGCTCTGACACAGTAGTCCACAGGTCTCAGGTTCAAATGGGAGGCTGTCAACATAGTGCTGGATAGCCCAGACGGTAGAGCTCTGACACAGTAGTCCACAGGTCTCAGGTTCAAATGGGAGGCTGTCAACATAGAGCTGGATAGCTCAGATGGTAGAGCTCTGACACAGTAGTCCACAGGTCTCAGGTTCAAATGGGAGGCTGTCAACATAGTGCTGGATAGCTCAGACGGTAGAGCTCTGACACAGTAGTCCACAGGTCTCAGGTTCGTATGGGAGACTGTCAACATAGTGCTGGATAGCTCAGATGGTAGAGCTCTGATACAGTAGTCCACAGGTCTCAGGTTCAAATGGGAGGCTGTCAACATAGTGCTGGATAGCTCAGACGGTAGAGCTCCGACACAGTAGTCCACAGGTCTCAGGTTCGTATGGGAGACTGTCAACATAGTGCTGGATAGCTCAGACGGTAGAGCTCTGACACAGTAGTCCACAGGTCTCAGGTTCGTATGGGAGACTGTAAACATAGTGCTGGATAGCTCAGATGGTAGAGCTCTGATACAGTAGTCCACAGGTCTCAGGTTCAAATGGGAGGCTGTCAACATAGTGCTGGATAGCTCAGACGGTAGAGCTCCGACACAGTAGTCCACAGGTCTCAGGTTCAAATGGGAGGCTGTCAACATAGTGCTGGATAGCTCAGACGGTAGAGCTCTGATACAGTAGTCCACAGGTCTCAGGTTCAAATGGGAGACTGTCAACATAGTGCTGGATAGCTCAGTCGGTAGAGCTCTGACACAGTAGTCCACAGGTCTCAGGTTCAAATCCTGCGCTGGTCAATTTCTTTGTTCAATCCGATATTACTTACAGAGCCTAAATATTTATATATATTTAATGTTTTACAATGCACAGACCTTTGGTTTGACAGACAGAGCAGCTTTGAAGCAATCCACAGCCTTGTCATATTCCTGGGACAGATTGAAGAGAACACCCAGTCCACACTGCACATCAGCATCTACGTCATTGGGGGAGATGCACGCCGTCTGTATGAATAGGTCCTTGACATGGCTATGCAGGGCACTGGTGTATGTGGACAGTGGAGGAATGTATATTAGAATAAGCCAGTTTGGTATTCCAACTGCGCATGTGCACATCCAGATTTGACCATTTCACTTTCAGGATCAACAATTTGCAGTATGGTTGCAAAATCACAGCAGGTACCAGCAAAATTCCATAAATTGTCTTGTTCTGAACTAAGTACCAAATTTCAAAAAGTTTGGACAGTAAAGTGATTTAAGGTGTTTTGTATGCCCCGACGTTTGGGCGAACAAACATTTCCATCGTCTTTTTGATTCAGGGATGTAGTGGAGTGCATCACAAGTCCCTGCAAGTCCATCAAGGCCTCCAGTCCCAATTCAACTCAAGCTGCAATTGACTTGCCTTACATATTTTGATTGCATGAACAATTGTAGAATGCAGATTTGGTTACCACTTAGACTTGTATGCATTCATCTACTGTGTTTATCGCAAAGTAAAAATAATGGAATCTTGTTATGCACATGTACAGTTTGAATACCGATATGGCTTATTGCCATTGATTATCTCAAAATTGTATCTGTCAAGGAGGGCTTATTACCAGCTAAATGCCCACCACTAGCGGGGAACATTTTGTCGCATCAGTGCAACAAGGTCGTTACTCGACGTCCATTGACTTTGCGTGTACATCCAGGTTATTTTAAGCGGTATACGACCTTTTGTCATTCTAAAACTGGCGTTTTGCATTCATGCCATATTAGGAGGTACGACCTTATTGCACTGACGCTATGATTTTATATAGCTTGACCGAATGACAAGATTGTTTTGTATAAAAAAATTGCCCAAAAATTAATAAATTATTTCAATTAATACATTATCTTTGAAACTATTTTGTTCCTGCCCAATAGGTAAACAATCTTATTAGGCCATTTAAAATGGATTTCTAGATCTCCATCACTCAAGATTGAAAAACAAATCGGTCGGGAGGGGAATTTATATTGATATTTTATAAATTCCACTTCTTCACATTCAAAGCTGTTGTACAGTTCATTCACGGAATGTGTCTCTCATTAATCCCAAACCATGGCTTGAAAAGCTTCACTCCACATGTGATCTGTGCGAAAGGCATGATGAAGTATTCAAACATAACAACGCAGCAATTGGCCTATCCTTGCAGCTAGATGTCCCACTTTGAACTTTAAAAACTTTACGACTACGAGTACTGTACAAAACGCGCTCAGTGCACACCCTATGGAATTATGTAGGACTGTATGAACAAAATATCAAATACATGTATATAAAAACTCGGGGCAGGAGTGAAAATTGAGGTGGGCGGTGATGAAAACCTAACAATCAATTTCAAATGGCCTTATTATTATCATTGCATAAGTTTTGACTCTTTTGTAAATTAGGGCTGTGTGTTTAGCACTTATCACAAAATCCTACATTCATAAGAAACAAGATATAACTGAAAGCAAAGAGAAAAAGCAACGATATTTGACCTTGATAAGAATGAGGATGTCTTGGCATCTATCCTGCTCTCAGCTCCCCGTGCCTCATCTGCAACCAGATGCTTGTATTTGGGGTTTGCAGTCAGCCAGTCCAGTAGTGTCTCTAAGGCACGGTTCTGCATGGATTCATTGGTATAGCTGACAGCTAGGCTCATGAGTGCTGTCTGGTTGTCTGGCTTCAGCTCAATGCATCTTCAGATAAGAGATGGAAGGTGTGGATATTATTGGTAATCATCCCTCAGCAAAATACTCAGATCAGTCAAGAGTCAAGTACCGTCAGTGCAAGAACCCAATGGAACATTCTCTGTACTATTTGAAGCAATCACATCTGTGCTCTTTCTTACTTAACCTTTACTCCCTGAGCATTTGTGTGAGGAACCTTTCCGAATTCCGTCTGCTCAAATATCCTGCACTGTTTCAGAACCCAAAGGCACATCTCATTAAGTAAGATTTGAGGCTTTGCATGGTGGAGATACTAAATAATGAAAGGTTTGCGGAAACACCATGTGCGAATAATTTCTCAATTAAGAGAATGGTTCTAAAAAGAACCAGAGGTATAAACTCGACTTTTTGGTCAGTGTGCTCTGACCGTCTTCAGGAGGTTCTTTTCAGAACCATTCTCTTAATTGAGAAATTATTTGCACATGGTGTTTCCGCAAACCTTTCATTATTAAGCACATCTCATTGTTCTAGACTGGACATCAATCCACACGTGCTTCATGTCAAGCAATTGTAACTGGGATTACTCTTCCTAGTTATTGGAAGATCTGGGAGGTGTACACTTCACAACATATCTTTGACCATAACCCATTATTTATCACTTGAGCGCGAACATAAAATATAGAAAGAATGAAAACACCTCATTGGAAAAAAGTTATTGCAGACAACTACACACGCCACATGCTTCCCATTCCACACACAAGTGCAGGATTACATATTTACACATAAGCAGAAAATGTGCGCAGTAAATGAGTGGAGGAAAAGAGAATGCTGCCCAGGATACCGATCACCATGCAATACTGCACTACAACTCCAACCAATCAACACAGGATTTGAGTTTGCTGGAAGAATAGTAGTTATTTTAAAACTGGGTACATTATTTTTTTGGTTTCAAATATTCATAATAATGCCATACTTATTCAGGGCTTTGTATGAATTGTCTCAAAGCACCTGAATTCTAACCCCTGTTTATTAGGCCAGGAGATTAGTTGTATGCAGCAGTTTGAGATCAGTCCAGTGTGTTCTCTATCCATACTGCCACAATGACATTAGACAGCAACTATTTGACCATGTCGCTCTACAATAAATCACTGGCAAAACCAGAAGTCACTGTCACCGAAAGGATCTTATTTATACAAAGAGATAAAAAAGATATCATTGGACCAATAGGAACATAGACTCATATGGGAATACTTCAATAAAGGATGCTCACTTTCCAAGAGCTGCGATGGCTGCGTTCTCCTGTTCATTCTCTGCTTGAGTTGTTCCTAAGTATTGCCATGCCTACGAAAAATAAAACAATATATATACATATATATATCAACTGCCAATAATTCATCAACAAGGCATTCAAGGAATTTTTTTAAATTTGTGCAAACAAGAACTCCTACCTCCATATGGTCTGGGTTCTTCTTGACTTCAGCTTCAAATAGCAGTATTGCATTGGCTAAATCTCCATCCTTAAGCCGATTAAGTCCCTCCTCAAATGGATTAGGATGATCCAGAAGGGGATTATCATCTTCAAACTTGTACTCCTACTCAAATGCAAAGAAACATACAAAGTGAAAACAATTGAACGAAGGCTCTTTACACCAACATGAAATGTTTCAACTTTGCTCATGTTTCTGAAACGGATCGTGAATAAATAAAGTTTTTGAAATATATGTACCCACAGAACCACAGGACTGAGTCCAATGAATTAGGTGCCAGTCTCATTCGATATCCAAACTAGAACATTTGTCAAGTGGTTTTCCACACTTCTAATCATTACTTACTATGCAAAATATTCCATTTGTAAGACTTGTCATTTGATGTCTGATCATTCAAGCCAAATGTCATGACTTTTGATGGCATTTTCATCTTTGAAAATCCACTGAATCAAATTATTCATCTTCATAAATTAATGTTCATCATATTCATCTTTGCTGCATGTATGTTTCTTTTTTATTTACTGTGTCAAACAATTACTTGGATAAACAACTAAAGGAAACACTGTTTGAAAACTCTGATTTTGTCACTGTAATTTTGAAACTAATTCTCCTTTAATGAACTTGTTGAGCTACTTGTGTTCTCACCGGTTCTTTGACATGCCCCCCGCTGAACTCTGACAGCCATGGATGCTCCTCAGTGGGTCCCATCTCCTCCCACTCCTTCTGTAGCTTCTCCCAGAACTCAGCATCAGACGGCACTGTGTTCTCAGCAGTGTACTCCTTGGCCCAGTTGTCAGACAGCAGTTGCTAAAAAGAGTAACAACATAACATTTTTTTTTTAAGGAGTAATTACCTGAGGTAATCTGTTCTTTTAATAAGCTTTTTCCCTTTTTTGCAGTATTTCTACCTTTCTATTTAAAACTTGCAATAAGTATTCATTAGAAAAAACCCAAATATAAAATACCCAACATACTATTTAGTTTCTCTTTGTTTACACCTTAGGTGTATTATAACAATGTGTGTATTTATAATGTGCATGTATCTACCAGTATTGGTGCTCAAGACCCTACATCATTATACCCTACTCTTTGGGCCAAGTTGGACATGCCTAATGCATGTAATACATCGCCTGCAAATAAGGTCTTGCTATCCTAGCCTCCCCTTCAGATCATTCCATTCCGAACAAATAACATTTTCAAATAAATTACCCAAACCGTGGCAACTCACTCAAAATCAAATTCATCGGTATTTGGTATTGTGGCAACATCAATCTGTATTGTTCGGTTTTTCAAAAATACCGTGACTATACGGTAATACCGAAATACCGTCCAATCCTAGTACATGCACCATGACCCCAGGCTGGACTTGAACCCACAACCTGCAGAATTACAGGCAGAGCACAAATTCAATGCTCCAGACCACGAGGCCACTGCACTCCCATCTTTATCCCATTGTTGAAAAAGAAGCATGAAATGTACAATGATTGCACTGGTGTTATGAAACTGAGTGGTGGATTGCTACATAACATGTTAAGCACAGTGAAGTTTAAGATTTTGTGATCTGTTGACTGACGTACTGAGTTATGCTAATGTTGATTTTTTAAAAAACATTATTACATGTCACAAAACAAAAAGAATATTATAATACAACCCAAACAAATGAACATGAAACACATTGACAAGCTGATTAGCAGAAAAATAGATAGCAAAAGCAAAAGCACTAACAAAGTTGGACAAAAAATGAAAAACAAAAGTCCACCATGATAAAAAGTTCCCCACCAACATTATTTACTTTGTCAGTACACATTTCAAATGTACACTTCATATAAAGTATTTCACAGCCAAAATGCCACTACCTTTTCATTCAAGAAATCGGACGTCCACTCTTCGGCCACAGGGTCGAATGGAGCGCCCTCTCTAGTCCTGACCTCGTTCCCTTCTATCGTCACCTCCCCCTCCCCCAGCTTCTTGACAAATTTGACAAACTGTGGGTGTGCAAACAGGGGTATGAGGTGTCAAAAGTAGGCCAGTGAGTCGTAAGTCTAAAATTAATTTTCAGTATGACAATCTAGCCATCCTTTTGGACTTTCAGTTGTGAAAACCTCAATCCTTTCCAATAAAAATGCTTAGAAAATAGTCTGTTGTTCTTCCAAGAGTCTACCTGCCATGTTTAAGTATTGAAATGGGCATTCTACCCTAGATCCTTTGGAGTAAAAGTGACACTCTTCTAAGCTTATCCAGATCTTAGTTTACTTTCAAGTTTCTTTAACATGAAGAACTGAATAAAACCCAGTAATTCTTTTAAAGTAATAAAGCTGGATTTTGGCATAACCAGAAAGGTTGTAGCCAAAAATCCCAAAAAAACTTTAAGGCAAGGGTTAATGAAGGCAATACTGTGCTGAATATATGATGATTAGTGAATGAAATGGCAATGATATAACAAACACCAATGGATGTGTATTTGTAGGTGGCTATTTCAGGCACGGATCCAGAGGGGGAGGGGGGGGGGGGGGAATGTCAAACCCCCCAACTATGTCCCATAATTTTTTTTCCATAGAAATTCATGAAAAAAAATCCGGTTGGTGAAATGGTAATTTTCCTTCAGTAGTAACATTTTAAAAGCACAAAGATGGAAGATCACCGTGGTCCAATGGCTACAGTGTCCAACTCATGTGTGACGGTACGTGGGTTTGTGCCCTGACGGCGAACTTAGTGCTTGTGTTCTTGGGCAAGACACTTAACCACAGTTGCATGTCCCCAACCAGGAGTATAAATGGGTACCTGTGAAGGTAGAGACCAGATTGTGCTTATATCGAGCCGCTGCAAAGTGGTCTAGTGGTCTGATGAACAGGAGTTATTATTATTGTCAAGCACATTGAGACCGTGGTGTTATCACATTATTATCATTAACAAAAACTTGTCTTAGTAAATTCCTCCATGGTAAAACTTAAAGTAAAGGTTCCCTGTTTGTTCTAATGACATGTTAGTATGCAAATTGTTTTTGCTAGTAATAATGTCCGCCTTGCACCAAATACGTAAATACGTACAGAGCCAGCTTGGTTAGGGGGTATATGTACATTATTCTGTGATATAGTGTTAATAATTGTTGGATTTGAACAGCGCCCCCATTAAAAGTATGGTACAAGCTCCCCCTCCCCCCCCCTCCCCCGCTTTTTGATTTTATGGAGGCTAAGTGTCCGGAGAAAAATACATGTCAACATTTCAGAGTTTTTTTTGCAGATGAAACCCCCCTTGCAAAAATTCCTGGATCCGCCCCTGTATTTCACATATGAATCGTTAAGTCCAATCTTTCCACCCTCTGTATTTGCAACAGCCTATCGCAATGATGTAATGCTACATTACCTCTGTGTTGGCAAACTTAGGATCGTCAAGTGTACCCATGAGCTGATTGGCTGTTCTTGCGATGTCTGAATCTGTTTCTTGCTGGTATTCTGCAGCCCTGAATACAAGCAACAAGTATGATTACCAATGAAGATGTTGCATCGTTGGTAGTTGAAAGATCTGACAGGACCACGAAAAGTGTATTCTTAGCATCTCACAAACTGAGTCTGAATGACATTTGTTCCAATTTCGTGTTGTTATGCATAGAAAAACATGTTGAAATCCTTTAGACCACGGGCATTACGTAGGTGAATTGTCTTCCATTGCACAGGACTTGCTTGAACCCTAACATCCTAAGTACTCTTTGGGGGTCAATTAAGGACCAAATACTACAGAATACTACATGTGTTGTGCACACTTGTATGGAAAGAAATGCATACTACAGGTTACTACTCAGTAGTATTTTGTAGCTTTAGGTGAGGTTAGGGTAAAGAGCCTGATAACACAGGACTCACGTTTAGTGACTTTTCATAAATCTTACAAAGCAAAAATCTCATTTAGTTCTTACCATTTCTCATCTTCAGGTTTGGTGAATTCTTCAGTCCTGAAAGGGAACAGCAAAAAATAGTCCAATGCGGTTCAAACAACGGCCGTACTTCCAAGCTTAAGCAACAGTTTGAAGTACCTCTTTGGTCTGTTTGTTTATTTGTCTTGGTTTTCAAACCTACCATAACTGATGCTCAGATTGCTCCAAGTACTCCTGGGCCCACTTTGTATCAGATGAGGATGGTATGACATCTGCAGCAACTGTGAAGATGACCAAAAGATGAATGCCTGATACATATCACAAAGTTTGTGAAGAAATCCAGGTGCGTGAACTCACACTTCCACAGGTTGTTGCAGTTAAACAGGATGTGTAGTACGTTAAAGCAATCTGTTGCTAAACACAGACTATAAAGGGGCGGGCTGGAAGGTTACTTTTTGCTAGTGTGAATTGATTACGGATTGATCTTGCAAAATTCTTAGTGATAAAGTAGATTTCTTGTGCCACTAACCCTGTATTCCATAAGATTTTTGTTTCTCTAAAGCGTAAGTCAAAGGACATACTGTAAGTCAAAAAGACAAACATCACAAAGGATGTGCCCGAATGATTCTCTGAGCACAAAATTAAAATACCCTTAACCGTAACACAGTGCATCAGGTGGAAAAGCACTGGTGCACTTTGATGCATTCAGCTACCAACACCAGTGCATGAATGGCCAACTCTGAAACAATGAGAGCTAGTCCCACTGAACAATGCCACAGTTATATCCTGCTGCGGGCCAGACCATGGACTCTGAGGCAGTGTGGCCTTGAGACTTTTCCCCCGATGGATCTAGCTACATTTGGCAGGCTTGTCACTTAGTCAAATGTTGCTACGTTTGGCAGGGTTCTAGCAAGCATACCCTGGAGGTTTAGGGTCAATTAATGCAAGTAAGTTACCAGCTAAAACATGTGATGTACTCTGCTTGTGACTGGCTATCTGCCCGCAGAATATAAATATATGTGTTTTGTGCTTAGTGGCTCGATGGAATTGTGCTTATCCTACCTGTACCATCTTGGCCGGCCAGGAAGTCTCTGGTCCAGTCAGCATCTCTGTCATCCACAATCTCTTCAGCTCGTCGCTGCTCAGAGACTAGGAATTCATCTGCCCACTCAGCATGAGAAGCTAGGTCTGCTACCCCAGGGGCTGAGAGATAAACATGAAGTGATCATAAGGAGCAGCAGTTAGTATGAACTTTGCTTGAAACTTTCACCAGCATGAGTTAAATATGTAGCAATGGACAAGTACTGGTCCAAGAATAATAAACATGATCTAAAATAGTGTTTGCAACTGGTGTCTGTTGCTATTGTCAGTACGTATCGTGTAGTTGTAATTGATTAAGAGATTTGTGTGTAAACTACATGTACATGTAATATCCATTTCTTTACAATTCGTCCACATTCAAGTAATTCTTAACAGTCAATCTTTAACAAAAAAAAAAATGGACATGTATCAGTCTGTTGCTCAGCTTTATACATAAATCACTGGATTTCATTCTCTGGTACAAAACACTGATGAAAGTCTTTTCAATTATTTGAAATGAGACCTCAAGCTTGGCTGGTGAATCACGGAAGACACCATCTTTGCCTTGTAGAAATTTCTGGCTGAAGAGTGGTTAAGTTCCGCTGATTTGTTTTGTATTTTTTGCTTCTGTCGGTGGGGTTTGAGTCTGGTACCTTGTATCGGTGGTTGCCTTATGTGTGATTCTTCAATGGCTCGCATTTCCTGCAGCAAGGCGTCCATGTGGAATGTCTGGGGAGGTCCCATGTGCCGCTGCTGGTCTACCATGAACTCATTCACGAGCTACAAAAGGCACAGGGACTTCATTTCAATAGTTTGGAATCAAACGTAAATATCATAACATTTCTAACCCCCAACCTCCCCCCCACCTCCTAAAACAGTTATTCATAAACACCTCAGACAGTTTACCCATTCCTATTGGTCGAGAGCCCACCACGTGGCTGGTCTTAAATAGTTTAACACCGGCTGGGCTGGTCTTAAACACTTCTCCAGTGTCACATGAAATTTGGACTCCTAAGAAATATGATCCCTTTTACCCTTTTATTGGTTGAACATTCACAATCTTCACTTAGGCATGTGCATACTACCAATGAGTCCGTATTTCATAATCCTCAATTCATACTACACCGGCACAGCTGCACCACATCCCGCAGTATGCGCCACATCCCGCAGTATGCGCCACACCCAGGCCAATCTCCATATAAGGAGTTGTTTACGACTACACACGAGAAGTACATACCATAACATAGTTAGAAGGGTGTTTAAAAAAACATGAAGTAAATTTGTTGAACAAAATCATCGGAAATATACATTTTTGACTTGTTTTCACTCTTTGACCTAAAAGGTATTTATGAATGGGAATAAATGTGTGCTTGGCCTGTATTAAACAAGTCCGTTTAAGTCCGGCTGGGGGCCTGGTCACTAATAATATCCCTCGCCTTCAGCTCGGGCTATTATCAGTCCATTCCCCCAGCTGGTCTTAAACGGACTTGTTTAAAACCGGCCAAGCACACATTTATTCCCTTATTAAACCGAAACTTACAAATGTTTCCAAGCTCCCAAATTAACCTTACAATGTTTTTTTTATATCTGCAGTGGAAATTCTTTTTCCATTAAGTAATGTTTTTGCTGTCAGATGTGAGAAAAACAGCATACAGCTTTCCGCACATAAAATACAAATAAAAAAAAGAAGGAGTTAACCATCCAAAGATCTTACATCATGTTCGGGTGTATCTAGGAATCCCCGTGCTGTAGATGCTGGGTCAAAGGGTCGGCTTGCTGCACCCCTCAGCCCTTCCTGCCTACGTGATTTATCCTGGGCATAATGCTGGGTAAGCCTCATCAATGGATTGGCTGTCCCACATTCCCCGTCCACCAGGTCACGCATAGCCATCTTGGAGGGTAGGCTTGAGCTGTTCTACTCAGTTTGGTTGCACACGTCACTCTCACAGTCTAGTACGTTGGCCGTTTCGGAAACATGTTTAGACTTATCCTTGGAGGAAAAAAACAAACGGACAATGATTGATAGAGGAATGGGGAAAGAGAAATGAATTTATCCAGGATAAATGAATTACATTTTTTTCAATTTCGCCTATATTAACAACTTTTTAAAAATTAATTACGAGAATGATAAACCTGGTAACAGTGACAAATAAAGAACAAGTCAAAGATCATAATAATACTAAAGCTGGCCTCATGTCGACATGCAATTTGCTTGCGCTGTGACGGAACCGTCGACATCGAGCACAAAAGCCAAGCTCAGATCACAAAACTGAGGAATTGTGTGATTATCGTGGAACAAGCGGCATCTTCACATAAATTATTGCAACCATGCTCATGTCCCTCAAGACGATTCACAAGACGATGGTTCACAGAGGAATAGCTCCAGCTTGATTGTACATGTATGTATTTGGGTATCCGGTCATCTTGACTGTTTGCCAACTCAACTTGAACTAACTCGACCGTTTGCAAACTCGACTGTTGTATCAAACTAACTGTATCAACTCGACCGTTGTGCATTCAATTGGAAAAGTTAAGTCGTCCGTTGTCCAACTTGTCCAGCGGGTCCTTTGTTCAATCCGTCCGACATGGTATGGATGTGCAGCCACCATTCTTTAGGTTAACAAGTTTTGAATTCTTTCTAAATATACATGTACATGTAGCTTTCTGTACATAAGCAAGTACGTACACACAAGTCGTAGACTGAGTACACAGCATGATGACTCAGTTACACGTATGTCCGGATGTAAACATCGTGTCATGCACACACGAAGACACAGTTTACGTGGTCTTGGTTCCAAGACCTTTGTTTTATTTTGTCTCTTTCTTGCATTACTTTTTTTCCCGCGAAAATTATTAATATATGCCCGTGAAATGCAGATGTTGTTTTATTATAATCAATACTATGATGTAACCAACTCTGTATGGGTATCGATTCCCTCGGATTTGTACGTGTACGAGTATTTACTCGGACTTTCACTATACGGTATTATACAACACCTGAATAAATCCCCGTCATCTGATTGGTGAATTGTAGATCACGTGACATATTATTATTCGGTATAATGCACGGTGCGACCATGCGTTATACCCATGCGTTATACCGTTTCACTTTGCGCTTGTTCCATGACGCGGTATTTGTGTGCAAATGCATGCTGGTGTGCGCGTTCAGCGTAGCGCGTATTGTTCCAAAGAGCCAGCGCTACAGCGTTGGGTTGAAACATTTTCGTGAAGGGGTAGTTCAACATCTTTAAAATCAAAATAAATTGTAGTTTATAATTTACCAATCAAATGACGAGAATTTATTCAGGTGTTGTATAAAACAAATAACAAATGTTTTACGTTCGTGCGATGGAAAGAATAATTTCATTCGGTGACAGATTGAATGTTCTATTGAAGCCTCGTGGAATAGAACATTCAATCTGTCACCTCATGAAATTATTCTTACCATCGCACTCACAAACATTCGTTATTTGTATACCGTCGTCCTCTACTTGTCTCAATGGTTGAGTTGTCTCAACGGTCGAGCTGTCTGACATTCTGCCAATAGGCCTACCTAACGCTACGCGTTAACATCCACGCATATCCTTGTCTGACCATTTTTCTCGCACTAAACCCTACACAGTTATGGACTCTATTTTTGTAAGCATGACAAATAAACTACCATGGAAAAATAATTTGAACAATATCGAACGTCACAGAAGCACCAAGAACGTCCTCGTCTGCAGATGAGTCGAATTGGCTGCCAAGAAAGTTTTGTGCCCATAATTCACGCAGGAATGAAAAACGTCATTCTACGGAGTCTCCATTGTGTCCTACTTCTGAAAACAATGTGGATCGATGTTTGTTGAATAAAGGATAAGTTTATGCAGAACTTTGATCTGTAGTTTGAAAAACTAACTTTAATTTGCCATCCGACATTGTTACTAACTACATATTCTTTCAAATTGTGAAATAAATTAATTTCTTGAAAATGAAAATGTGAAGTAAATAAATTAAATCCAGAAAGTTTTCATATCTTATGATATATTTTTGTCAAAAATCTAAGAAATTATATCAAATGCATTGAACATGTTGAAAGAGTTCTGAGAAATTCTTTTTTAGCTGAAAATCAACCATGTGCCAATTACTTAACATTTTACAAATTTATACAGATTCTCCAAAAATAGAACTAAATGCAATATAACTTTTAGTATGCCGTGGCTATATTTTTAAAAATACAATATGCATCGTTCAGTTCATGACCTCGTGTTTGTATGGCCAAGCTGCCCCGCGCGCGCGCCTGACAAACGTCATGAACTGAATGCATATTCATAATCTTGCCCAAGTGCGCCCGCATAATGCATACATTACAACGCGGCCGCCATTTTGAAATCGCATGGAGGAACATTTTCGGGACGATATTCGTGGGAGATGATGACTGAAAGTCGTCTTTTGGCCAGATGGATGAAGATTTTTAGATAAAAGAACGTTTTTTCAAAAAGGTATGAGTTCCTGTACGACTAGGAACCTTAACTTAGGAAATTTCTGTCCTGGATGAGAAGATAATCTCGATGAAAATTGGTAGCAAAATCGCTACATGAGAGTTTAGCGTTGAGGGGAGCATTGGCTGTCTGGCCGTACTACAGAGCTTGCGATAGTCCTGTATGGCCAGATGCAGTCGGGCTAGATAACTAGGTGCACGTCATTTTTCGTGCTCCTTAATTCTGATTACGCCCTCTATTGTTAAGTGAAAGTCGACCGAAGTTGTCTTTCACATTTCCGAGTTGGACGGCGACACTGATCAGAAATTTGTAGCGATGTTTTTATTAGTTTTCTGGACCATTCAATAATATTACGTTTTGTATCTAGTTTGTACGTAGTCCGAGTAACTTGGACCCAACTTATCGCCTTTTTAAGCTGTTTAAACTGAAATGAACTGCCCTTGGTAGAGATTACATTAAAATTAAAAAAAAATATTCTCAATTCTGTACGAAATAAAGTGTGATTAATATTCTTTGTGAACTTCAATGTTCACACAGCCGACTCAGCGCGATAAAAGACATGAACCATACTAATTATAATCACTGGTACTAGCTTTGGTATACAGTTCCCATAAAACTCATATGCCATTTGCACCGTGAACCGGGCAATTGCTTGCTGATTTTGTTGATTTTCTATGGTCTAAATCACAAAAATCGCGGGGACTATATTTTATGTGTGCATTTGTAACTTTAGTAGTATATGTGTCGGAAAACCAGTTGAAGACGCTCCAACGAACAGTTACTCCAAAACTGAAAAAATGGCTCGGTTTCGTTAAATCAACCACACTGGCAGCTCCATTTCACACCAAAGATCTCAATGCCCCATACTTACCCCAACTAGAACAAAAGTGCAAAATTAATCTGGTCCTCTCAATCTTCAAACATGGAGGCGACCCACTCATAACTCAAAATCTACAAGACTCCCTCTACAAACACACTACTGCGGGTGACTGGGGAAATGTGATCACTAAAATCTTCAAATCGGCCATCGATAAAGTCCGGGAACTGGCTTCAAGCGACACTACACATACCTCACGAACCTCTGCCAGGAGAATAAAGGAACTGACAAAAGCCAACCATGATCTCCACTGGGAAACACACCTACAAGAGCTACAAGTACAATCAAAGCTATCAGACATTATCCAGTTGGAGAGTGAATCCAATGCCTGGCAGCGAGTGCTTTATTCTCTCCCCAGCGGCCAGCTAGCATTTCTTCTCAGAGCAGGATGCGATACCCTACCTGTTGTGATACTTCATGAGCACTACTTTGTATGCGCGCAAGCACATTAGGTGAACAGTTCGCCCGCGCTCACTCTTACATTACGTCTGATGAATAAAGCTGCAGTGGCACAGAACCTGAGAATAATCTCCTCTGAGTTCTTCATTGATTCATCTCACTTCATGGTGGCAGCGGTGGTGAAAAAGGCCAGAGAACACCCATCACTCTCAACTAAGCAGAGTAACTGAAAACTACCGGATAGTAGCAGAAATTGTCTCCGCGACAACAACGTTTCCGTTGTGATCGCCAGTGTGAACTGTACATATCCATATGTGTACTCGCCGCGTGCGTAGATTCAGCGCACCACATCACACACTGTATGCCGCACACCCACCGTCGCCAAGCCCACTGCACACCGCACGCAACGTAACTGAAACTCAGCTGCGTGCGTAGCCTAGCCCGGAGTCATCGCCGGACTGAGCCAAGCCTAAGCCATCACCGAGCCAACGCTGAGACGGACCGCTATACCGTGCTGTGGACAGCACGGACAAGAGAAAACCCCTCGCCCCGAGTCGACCATCGGCATCATAGCGACAGAGGACTTTTTTGTCTTTTTCGTGGAGCTGAGTGAAAGCTGATCGAGCTCCGATTTGACGCGACCGCACCGGGACTCGACCGAGCTTACTCGACCCGTACACACGGTCGACCGGTCAGGGACCAGCCCGTCGCACCATCGCGTGACCAAGGCAAGTCACTACAATAACTTTGTCAAAAGTCTGATCTACGGGAGTGATCATCAGCCCCCCCCCCCCACCCAGCCAGTTCACGTAACAATGTACACCTTTGAATCACCTTCATATTGTTAAACATTGTTTCGCTATCGTGCACACATTCTTGTAGCTGTGCGTATGAACAAATAGTTCCGTGAACATCACAAGCCCTATGAACCGCTTCACGCATCTTTACGTCAAGTGTGACCTTTGACCCTATCACTCCGCATCATCGCCGGAACTGTGCGCTTCCCGCTCATCACAGTGAACATTCGCCGTATTCATCCGCCAGTGCCGGAACTGTGCATCAATCATATCTACGGAGGCCTGTACGGGACATCAAGTCAAGTTGGAAATCTGACAGTACATCGCTCATTTCTGTGGAAAAGCAGGACAAACTGTGCTTGGACATTCTTGGAGAAAGGACTGCTCACCAAACGAACTCTGGACATTTCATATATGAACAATAATATGTGTTTTG